GGAGAGACCGGGATGACTGAGAGTGCATCATACTCCACTAGTGGACAAGGAAGAAGGGTTCTGGTCAATAAACTGAAATAACAATCCCAGATAATACGGTCGTGCTTTGCAAAAATGAACGACGTGACTTGAAGAGAAATGAATGAGATTCCATCAAGACTCGGCCAGGGCGAACAAGTCGGTTGTGAGTAGGCCATTTCGCTCTCATTACCTCACCTAGAGATAAGAACAGTGATCTTTTGCCCCTGTTACCCCGCATTCCAGGCGTGCGTTAGCTTGATCAAAGCTAGTACATGATCCTGGCAAGACACGCTTAAAGCTGCAACACTTATCTCGCCTGATCTAGAGCGTATTTGACAACAACAGGAATAAGGTGATAATGATCAATCATCAGTGTGCGTGACATTTCAGATCACTATCATCATTTTGGCGCCGTTGAATTTGTCCAGAATGAGGGTCACTGGTGCTAAAAACATATGTCTCATGCCAACATTGAACCCTACCTTTCCCACTGTGATAAGGATTGATGCTCGACTGCATCCGCTCATCATCACCAACAAGAGCAACAGATGAGCCAACCAGATCCTCCCGATTTGACATCATGATTTATAGTTTCCTCCTTTGAATACAATTCAAAGAAAATTATGCCAATTCTCATTCAAATCAGAAATAAAGGTCCATTGAAAATGGCTCGAGGCAACTTTGGCTTAACAAGACAAGATCGCCGGCATGCTTGCATTTCCAAAGCGGGGCGGAAACTCGGTTTCCAGAATCCGAGGGGCCATGAGCCTGAACACAGGCCGGTATCCGCGTACCTCGGCCCCCGAGTCCGTATCGATCATCGATTTGCGCACCAAATAACATGCCTACTTCATGTTAAGATACAAGTCTTTCATTCTCGGGGGCAACCCTTGACCCCGTCACTGATTCTACTCCAATCCGAAGGATCCGCCATCATTATGCTCAGTTTTCTCAGGTCATCCCCGCCACCTAGACTAAACAGAGCTGCCGATAATCCCATCTTTTACGAGGATGGGAAGTCATGCCTTGAGTTCCGCAAAGGCTCGAAATACTTTCTGCGCAACTCGCATCCACCTTACGATGCCCTCAGCCCGTCAATTGTGAATCCCCCATTCCACTTCCATCTCTACCAGTCGGAGCACTTCAAAATTGTCTCCGGGGAGTGCCACCTCTACAAAAATACCAAAGATGCCCCCTGGAAGACGATATCGGCCGCAGATCCCACCGCCCCCAGAACGGCAATCATACCAAAGATGGAGTTTCACACACTTCAGAACGCATCGAGCACTGATCCGCTCGTTATCGATGTAAACCTAGCGCCTGAAGATTTTGAAGGCGAAGAAAGGTTCTTTCGTAATTTCTTCGGGTACTTGGACGACTGCAAGAGAGCTGGCGAGACCCCGAGCATCTTCCAGTTGATGGTGTTCTTGAAGCATGCCAATACTCCTTTGGGTTTGAGATTACCGACGCGTTGGCTGAGCCAGGTTGCAAGTCGAGCTTTCTTGAACATCATGGGTTCTATTGGCGAGTGGATTTTAGGATATGAGTCTAGTTATAGGGAGTACTATGTGGCTCGTAAAGGAATTTGAGAACATGATAGACAGCGCCTTCATATTTTAACAACCAGTTGTTGGGCTCGGAGCAATATTCGCATCTTTTGTGAACGTGATTGCCATTGTATGATCCAAGTCAATACCATTTTCTGGCATTTGCGGTGGAACTGTAAAACCAACGGACTTGGCGAAAATAGCAATCACAACGGCAAGAGAGATGACAAAAAAGAAGCGGAAGATCGAAGCCTGAGCTTTCACGTTAAGCATGCAAGCTACTCGCATACTGACCACCCGAATACTGCATTCCGCGGCCATCCAACATGTCCGCATCTCCCCCCGTGGCTTTGGGGATATGAGTCCGCTGTCCACAGCAAAGACAATTCGCCGTCTATCCGCTGAAGTGTGATATTTTGGGCCAATGCGCGCTAGATAGCCGTCACCTCCAGCTGATAAGAGCTTTCCGAGTTTCCGAAGATCAAAACCCTTGATTGTGTAACTAAAGCTAGTTTCCAGCATTGATATAAGCCTAGCAGCGCCTTCCAGTACATTGCTGCCAGTCCCTGACGTATTTGGTACTGGAAAGGTTGCGGTATTTTCAGAACCATTCTCATTTTATGCAATCTCTGCCAAACATGGGGATCGACGGAACTGAGAAATTCCATACACCCAAGACAAAGGGCTCGGGCGGTTCATCAGACGGTAGCATATCACTTTCCATCCCCCCCACCAGCGAAGACTTTCTAACAGGATCATCCAATCAGTCCCGCATGATGACACTGCTCGTCCATCCTCAGTCGATGATGGAATTCTAGTCGACAACTCATTTCGCAAAGACCTGAATTGGCTCGGGATTCTCTCAGCGGGCTTCAACGTCAGCAACAGCTGGCTCGTCGTCGCAGTCACTCTTACCATCTCGATTGGGTATGGCCTTGCAGTTACAGCCTGGGGTGTGATTGTAGTCACGACTATCTTCAGCTGCATTAGTATCACACTTGCAGAATTGGTTTCTGCGTATCCGACAACTGGTGGACAGTATCATTGGACTTCGATCTTGGCACCGAAGGCTGTAAACAATTTCACGGTGGGTCTGGACTCGTGCATTTGCAGATGGCTTCCTTGCTGATCGCATATATCAGAGCTACACTTGTGGGTTCCTGAGCTGGTTCTCGTGTGAATTGCCATGTCTGCTTCCAGCACGAGCGCTGTTTGGCCTTGCATCCACGCCCTCATTTTGCATTGGAACCCGAACTTTTCTCAGAGCTCTTGGATGCCGTTTCTTTGCTTTCAGGGTGTCAATCTATTGGTTTGTCTCTTTAATCTATGCGGGAAAAGACTCTTCTCACTATTCTATACTGGCGGATGTAAGTCCACACATGCTTCGGTATCGATCGTATCTCACCTTTTCTGAACAACACAGTCTTTCTAAGTCTAGGGGCATTCTTCGCCTTCTTAATCACTACGCTGGTGATGCAGAAGACCAAGCAGCCCTCCTCTGTGGTGTGGACCGAGTATACCCAAGAATCCGGCTGGTCTGCGGGCGTCCAGTTTCTCATCGGCCTGACGGCACCTGTGCTGGCATTTTGTCCCATTGATGGCGCCGTACACCTAGTCGAAGAAGTCAAAAACGCTCGACACGTGGTCCCTCGCACCATCATAACAGCCTCCGTCATATCTTTCGTCACCTCTCTTGCCTTTCTCCTAGCGACGTTGTACTGCATCACCGACTATCCCGCCGTCCTTGCCAATACGTCCAACTTTCCCCTTTACACCATCTGGCCACAGGTTTCGTCAGGAGATTTGGTGCCCGTAATTTTCACGTTGGTGACGATTGTTCTTCTGTCTATTGGAAGCGTCGTCTGTGCTCAAGTCGCCTCCATGATGACGTGGAGTCTCGGGAAAGACGGCGGTTTGCCTTTGGGGAAACATCTGTCGCAGATCAACGAGTCGCTTAACGTACCAGTCAACTCTCTTATCCTGGAGTATTGTGTGCTGTTTCTTATTGGATGTATCAATCTCTTCTCACAACAAGGTAAGTGTCACCAACTCTTCATACGTTAACATCATTGGAAAGTCTAACGTGAGGCGCAGCTTTCAACTCAATCGTTAGTGTGACAGTCATCCTACAGCAACTTACAATCGCATTTCCTACTTTCTTTATTATCTGGATTCGCCGCAGTAAGAAGGCTCTCCCTTGCTCTCGAACCTTTCATCCTCCCAGCTGGGTTGGTTGGGTTGCGAATTGTGTAACGCTGTCATTCACGGTGGTCACATCAACTTTCTTCCTGCTACCTAGCTCCCGCAGCGTAGACAACAGCAACTTCAGTAAGCCCTCCAAGGCTTGACATTGTCCATCGCCGTGAGGTGCTGACATATTTGCAGACTACGCTTGCGTAGTGGTGGGTGGTGTTTTCATCGCTGGAATGCTCAACTGGTTCTGTTACTCAAAGAGAGTGTACCAAGGTCCAACAAACGTTATCTTTTATGATTGATGTCAGTGTTACTCCAGGGTTTACCTGTTGGAATGGCATTAATCATATTGTGCAATATCATGTTTAATTGATTAGAGCAATCTGCATTCGATTTCGATACCTAGTAAAGTAAGGTAGTTTCGACGCGAACGATCAAATTTCGATATTTTAGGTATCAATCTAGTCGTGTCAATTTCTATTGTTCGCTAATTTCGTGTAAATGACAAGGGAAAGTCTCTCTTCAACGGTAGTACGGTAGTATTCCGGCTGTGCGTAGTCAGTCTCTTGTTGCCGTGTGGGGATGTCGTTCCCAGCGTATCGCAACATTGGATCACTCCACCAAGTCTCAGACGCTAGATATCGCGAACGATTTTGATTCGTATGTTCAATTGCCATCAAACATTTTACAGAGAAGCCGTAGTCAGAACGACTCAGTGACGGATCCAGGCGGCTAAGGGGAACAGACGACCGTACCCGCAGCAGACCCCGCACCGTGTCATGGTGCGCTACCCGACCATGCGGAACACCTGGACGGAACCTCCCAAGAGATGTTCAAACTAGTCTGGTTTACCACTATTTCTGCAATCCAAGTCAAAGCTACCCTGAAAGCAAACCGGGAACAGGGTCATGAAGCACCCGACGCGGAAAGAATCTCGGCGGCCCGGTGCATAGTCGCGTCTCCGGTGGGAGAGAGGGGGAATTGGGGCTCCCACGGGGAAGCATCTGTGCCAAGCGGTCATCCCACGGCCGTTTCGGCTTATGTGTGATGATGAGGTCGCATACAACCGGGAGCTACATCTACATATAAATGTCATCCGCGTGTCCAGAGTAGTCGAGCTTCATTCCAGGCTTCATCTGACTTCATCTGCATTTACACCCTTTATCCTCCTGTGAATCTCATACGACCTGCCGGACCCGATCTCATCTTCCTTTATTCGTAATTAGTAAAACCTTCAAAATGCTCGGCAAGATCGCTTTGGAGGAGGCCTTCGCCCTCCCGAGATTCCAAGAAAAGACCCGCTGGTGGGCATCTCTCTTCGCCGTCGACCCCGAGAAGCACGCCGCCGAGATCTCAGATGTCGCCGACATCAGACTGAACTACATGGACAAGCACGGCGTCGGCTTCACCATCCTGTCGTACACCGCGCCCGGCGTGCAGGACATCTGGGACCCCAAAGAGGCTCAGATCCTGGCCAAGGAGATCAACGACTACATCGCCCCAGAAGTCAAGAAGCACCCTAACCGTTTTGGCGCGTTTGCGTGAGTTCCTGCCGATTTTAGCGTTGGGGAAAAAGAAAGAAACGGCGTCAAGCTAATACGGTACCAGCACGCTTTCCATGCACGATCCCCAGGAGGCTGCAGATGAACTCAGACGCTGTGTGACACAATACGGATTCCTTGGCGCTCTCGTCAACGACACTCAGCGTGCCGGTGCTGATGGAGATGACATGATCTTCTATGATGGCCCTGAGTGGGACGTGTTCTGGTCTACCGTGACTGAGTTGGATGTTCCCTTCTACCTGCACCCCAGAAACCCGACCGGCACCATCCACGAGAAGCTCTGGGCTAAGCGCTCATGGCTTATTGGTCCCCCCTTGAGTTTTGCGCAGGGTGTTAGTCTGCACGTGCTTGGTATGGTCACGAACGGCGTCTTCGACCGCCACCCCAAGCTCCAGATCATCCTCGGCCATCTTGGCGAGCATATGTGAGTTTCCCAACATTCCAAGCATCCTGAATGCCTCAAACTAACGATTGCGAGCCCCTTTGACGCTTGGCGCATCAACCATTGGTTTGAGGACGTTAAGAAGCCTTTGGGGTTGTCGTGCAAAAAGACGATTCGCGAATACATCCAGGACAACCTCTGGATCACCACCAGCGGCCACTTCTCCACAACGACACTCCAGTTTTGCCTCACGGAAGTCGGGGCCGACAGAATTCTTTTCTCTATTGATTATCCGTTCGAATCATTTGCGGATGGTTGCGACTGGTACGATGCTCTTCCCATCAACGTTGTTGATAAGAGGAAGATTGGACGGGACAACGCCAAGAAGCTGTTCAAGCTGCCGGCGTTCAAGGACAGCGAGGCGAAACTGGCAAATTAGAATATGGAAATATCCAAGACTTAGTTATGGACGGGTTTTGTGGCATTAACTGCAGTTTAGAGAAATATCCTTGCTTCATTGAGTATGATGAGAATTCCAACATTTTGGAAACTCCCTCCCAAAGTCCGATAATACATGACCGCAAAATAAACATGGGATTTATAAATTCGATCAATAGTCCCATTTTTAAGAAACCCTCCCATCAATGACCGGCTTGCACATGTTCGTCGTGTACAACCCCCTTCAAGAGAGCTAGACACGTCATCATGCGGCGCCATTCCTCCAGCAGCACAGAGCTTGTAAACGATGACTAGCCATCTCTACCTGCATGCTCTTACTGAGCCCACGTGCCCAAAATCCTTCAACCCCAAATCTTCGTTATCAACCGGGGCGCAGTGACGTTGGCAGATGATGTGTGGGGTATGGGGTCCGGAATTCGTTAGGAACTTCCGTAGTGGGGTTCCGTACCGGCAGCAGGGAGATCCAGCGCCCCCCCCGGAAGCCGGCAGCCGACCCCATCCAGAAGGCTTGTCTGTGTAAGTCACCCCTCCAAACCCCAGATTTTCCTTTTCCCATTACTCCATGAAATTCAAGGGATGCGATTTCGCCATTCGTGCTAGTCGTTTCGCATTTTCTAAACACATCCCACCATGCCTCGCCCCAAAGTCCCTGAAAGCCTGCGCCAGAGGGCCGCGGAGGCCTGCAGCTTCTGTCGCGAGGCCAAGAAGAGGTGCAGCGGCACCGCGCCGTGTACGCAATGCGTGCGCCGCGGGCTGGAGCGGGATTGTTGCATGACGGAGCTGCCGCGAGGGTCGAGGACAAGGAAGATTTCAAAAAGCAGTGCGAGCGGAGGGACGAGGAGGTCCCGCGCGACGCCGGCGCTGGATAATGAGTCCATCACGGTTTCGGTGAGCTCGCCGGTTTCACCGAGGGATCGGTCGCGGAGGAATGGGAATGGGCAAAGACAACTTCGTCTGTCGCCTCCCGCTTCTCAGCAGGAGGATGAAGAGACGAGTATGAATGTTGACCCGCGGCCTTTGACGCCGCCGAGGGAAACGCAGATTGCGACGGATCCATCCTTGCTTGCAAACCCGTCGCGAATGCTTCGAAGTCTTCACGGTGAACAAGGTGCGTGAGGTCTCACGATAACTTCCCATACATGCTCACGCTTCATGAACAGTATACGTGGGAGGCGCCGCAGCGATATCCTTCCTCCAAACAGTCCGTCAAGTCGTGGCTGGGCAGATCGGGCCCTCTCCGTTCTCACACAACGATGACACCGAGACGATGCTCGAAGTCGAGTCACCAGAAACACGCGCCACGACCTCTCCAACGGCAGAAACCGCAGTTGAACTGAACGTGCAGCAAAAGCTGGCGTATCTGCATTGTTACTACTCTGCAGTAAGTAAACTCCTTCTCATATTCTCACACAAGCAACTCACCACGAAATAGACCGAAGGCCTCATCGACATCTTCGACCCGAGTGAACGCCAGCAGCTCTATCACCTAGCTCAGAGCCAGTCGTCAACAAACGCATGCGACGACCGTCCCTCAACACCGCCCAACATCCTTCCCGATCCCATCCGGGAAATGGTGATAGCGATAGGCGCGCAGTGCAGCAGTGCGTCCGAGGCGCAAACCATCGGCCGGAGCTGCTTCCGACGGGCCCAGCGCCAAGCATTCGCTGAGCTCCTCGAGGACCCCGACCTTCACATGGTCCGACTCTTCCTCCTGATGGCCTTCTACATGCTGGGCGAGTGCCGCAGGAACACGGCCTACATGTACCTCTCCATCGCCGCCCGCGCAGCCCTCGCTCTCGGCCTTCACAGTCCCAGCTCCTTCATGGGCAAACCGGACCAGAAGGGCCAACTCCGGTACGTCGTCCTTTCACTCTCAACCTCCCTCACCAATCTAACCAATACCCACCAGATTACGAGTCTGGATCAGCGTCCGCATCCTCGACAAGCTCGTCAACTCCCTCCTCGGCCGCCCCGCCGCCACAGCCGGCGTCCAGACCGACATCCGCGCCGCCCTCGACCAACTACCCCCCCACCCCGACGACTACGCAACCCAGTGCCTCACCGCGACCTGCGAGATCGTTGACATCATCAACGAGATCAACAACACCCTCTACCACGACAAGGACGTCTCCGCCACCATCGTCGAGCACCTCCTCCTCAAGATCGACGCCTGGAAGCGCGGCCTGCCCCCGTCCCTCAAGGGCTCCCTCCACCACCACCACCAGCCGTCCGAGAACGCGTCAGACTCCTCCTCGTCAACCCAGCGCGTCGCCATCGCAAAGATCCACGTCTCCTGCTTATACTACTTCGCCGTAACCCTCGCCACCCGCCCGATCTTCATCTCCTCCCTGAACAGCAACCGCCCCGACGCAAAGATCCACCACCCGCCTCTCGCCGCGGCCTGCATCGACGCCGCCGTGTATCTCGCCCAGACGTGCGCCGATGCGCTCAAGGCGGGGTTATTGCAGCGGAGCATGTGTATCATGAAGTATGTCTCTCCCCCTTGTCTATCCGTGTAATCCAACAATCACTAACCACCACCAACAGAGCCCTCGTCTTCGCAGCAGGCCTCGTCCTCGGCGTCGAAAACTTCGCCAAGTCCGCCATCGACATCGAGACCGACCGCGCCTTCCAGGGCGCCATCGACGTCCTCGCCTTCCTCGCCGCCCAGAGCCACCAGGCCGCGCACTACCTCGAGATCCTCACCTCCCTCTCCAACGCCATCTCCGAGCGGCGCGCCAAGCCCGCACCCGTCGGCGGCAGCCGCTACGTCTCCAAGCTCTTCAGCCTCGACCCGCCGTGTTCCGTCAGCAGCGGCAGCAACATGTTTTCTCAGAGGCACCAGGGCGAGGATGAGACCGGCTTCTGGCCGCTGATACGGTTCGAGCAGGGCGTGGTCGGCGAGGGCGGTACGAGCGGTGGTGGGCTGGGCGCGGGGGACCCGGGTAGCTGGCCCGAGGTCCAGCTTGACGATGATGATTTGAGTATCGACTGGGAGAGTCTGAATATCTTTCAGTGGGATAGCTTTCCGTTCAACGCGTGAGGTTAATGCGCAGCTGGAGTCTGGAGTTTCTACGAGGACGAGGTTTATGACATCATGTACATCTACGACTATATTACGATCTATCATTCTCACCGAATGAACCAAATCACGAATTAGACCAAAACCTTTCACAAGCCAAAATCTCTCTTACACAATCCTCCAAGACACGTAGAGCAGTTCATCCCAAAGTGACCACCACAACAACACCCCGCATCCGAAGCACCTCACGGGATCTAAAACCCCAACATCCGGCCCCTCCTCCGACCCATCCCTCCCCGAAAATGAAATCTGACGGATTCAATAGATAAACACCCAAACAGCACCAACCGAAACGCAGCTCCCGGCGCAGCTTGCGGCGGGTATGGGTGGTTCATCAAACACCACCAGCACCAACCTAAGCACAGCCGGATGGCGGGTAAGGGCGCGAGTGCGAGCCGTCGGATACCGCACCTCACCGCACCCCGCCTGCATACTGTACCATCGACGTCACCAGCAGCGATAAAGCGAACGCACGAAAGCCCGAAGCGCGAAGGAACGAGCGGGACAGCTGTTGTGCTCTCGGCTCCATCGTTCCAATCTACCCCAGCTGATGTGTTCAATTTGACGGCTGCCAGCCTGCCGCACTTGGTCGATATCCGCTTCTACCCGCAAGCCGCGCCCGGTCTCCGGCTCGAATGGTCGACAATGGTGGAAAAGGCAGTCTGTCAAATTAGACCGCGACCAAGACGCGAAGCAGCTCCGTGATCCATCCCGGTCACCACGGGAAGCCCGCCGACCCCGGGCCCGGATGAGAAAAGTGGGACGCCGGGCATTTCAACGGCGCTCGACACATAACGGGTCGACACAAAGACGTCAAAGTAATGAGTAATATAACAGACAAAATCTTAGAAGTTCATGCATTAAATTTGTATTCAATATCTCATCAAGTCCCCAAAAAACAACCATGAACGCCGTGTATATGCACACCAAACCCCCTTACAACCCCTTCTTCAGCCCCTCCGTGACCTCCCCCAGCATCCTCAGCCCAAAGAACTTGGCCACATTCCAATAGACACCAACCTTCCTGAGAATCTCCTGCCTCCTCACGCTCTCAACCCACTCTCCGGAGCACGTACAATGCTCCATAAACTCATTCAGCCGGAGCGCGCCGCACTTGGTGCACTTGAGATCCTGCGTGCTCCACTCCACCACAAACGCCTCGACCTGCGCCAGCAGCATCTCCTCGATGGCGTTGCGGTCGTACTCGGCCTCGCAGAACGTGCACCGCCACGGCCGCGTCTCGGCTCCCAGCCGCTTCCCGTCCGGCCCCACCTCCGGCAGCAGGTCCTCGTCCCTGCAAAAGTCGAGGTCGCGCGCCATCGTGCAGCTGTCGCACGAGAGCTGCAGCAGCTTGAGGCTCTCGCTCGGGTTCTGGAAGGCGCCCTCCTTGCTGAACTCCCTAACGTCGAACATAGCGAGTAGCTCCTTCCGCAGCAGCCGCGCCTCGAGCGTGATGTTCTTGTCCAGGCTGAGCACCTGCATAAGGGCCTTGACCAGCTCCAGCACCGCGTTCCGCGAAGACAGGTGCGCGAGGTGGCTGCCCGGGAGCTGGGGAAAGGAATAATCGCCCGCCAGCTCGGGGTGCAGGAGCTCTCTCTTCTGCAGGTTGACTAGGTTGGCAATGTCCTTCTTGAGGGGCTTCTCAAACTTCTTGCCGAGGATGATCTGCCCCTCGGCGCCCTCGGCTAGTGACTTTTGCGGGAGCTGCGTCAGCCGGGGCGTCGAGTCGAACTCACCCTGCGGGCGCTTGAGGCCGTGCATGAGCTGGATGAACTCAATGACCCAGTCTTGGAACGTGGGTTGCAGGCGTATGGGTAGGAAAGTGGCCATCTGCCAGTGCATAACCGTGTCGAGCTCCTGAACCTCCGCCTCGACGACCTCCTGGCACGCTTTGCCTCCGTAGTTGAACTCGTCGTACCACACCAGGTAGTCCCAGTACTCCTTGATCTCGAGATCGATAAAGTGAAATAGGGGTTTGCTCTTGATCGACTTGATAATGTACTGACTGTAGGCGTACGCCGTACCAACCTCCGCCTTGGTCGTCTGCAGAAGCAGGCGGTTCGAGTTGGCAAAGACGACTTGTGATCCGACACGGCGAAAGTCAGCCATGAGCTGCTGGAAGGCCTTGCGGGACATCATCTGCACGTAGTAGTGCAGCGCTCGGTCGTACAAGAACGAGTCCGGATTCTCGACCCAGCGGACAAGGTGTTGGACCATGACGTCTGCCATGGTATTCCCCTTGCACGCCTCCTGCCACCAACTCTTGACCATCTCACGAAGGACGAGGACGCCCGCGTTGGCAAAGGTGCCTTCGGACGTGATGACTTCTTCTCCGGCCGCAGAGTCGCCGGCGGGGTTGAAGGAGATGGAGTCGGCGCCCTCAAGCTCGTTGATCAGAGACGAAGTCAGAATAGTGTTGATGGCAAGATTCCTGACTTCCAGGTCAATGCAGACCGAGGAGAACGTGCCGGGGTTGTTGACGGAGGGCATCTGTACGGTTTGCAGCGGCCCCGTGATGTCGTCCTTCTCGTAGCCTGCGTGATCGGGGCGAGGGCTGCCGGACCACCAGAGAACAATATTGTTGTTCTGCAGACGGCGGGCATATGTAATGTCGATGAGGAAGCGGGGATCTTCTCGCTCCAAGTTGCAAAGAGGCACATCACCGTACCGGGCAAGGGTCGTCAGATGCAAGATCCAGGACCCCAGACCGAGGTAGTGTCCCACGAGACGCTTCGCTACGACGGCTTGCCAGCCAAGAGGCGGAAGGGAGCTGTCGGCAGGATCGTACTTGAGCGGAAGCACAGGGAAGTCGCCCAGGATCGGCACGTCAGTGATAAGCATATTGCGCTGTGACGACTGAATAACCATCATCTGCGGTCGCAGCTCGTCCTTTCTCATCTTCTTGACGACGTCGCTGAGCTCCAGGTGCGCCTTTCTCTTGGTCGTCACTTGCGTGATCTTGAAGGTGAGCTTCTCCTGGTATCGGAAGCAGTCCTGCCAGTTGGTGCCCTCGGCCTCCTCTGCGCGTCGACCAAGGAGTTCCGTGTAGATTCTGGAGACGTTGGGAAGGTCCTGTCCAGAGTCTCTACCCTTTTGCAGAATGATAACGTGTGCCTCGTCTCGTGTTGTTGAGAAGACTCCGAAGATCTGCTTGTCGCCGGCAGTAACGTGGGAGATGTAAATGTACGCCATTGGGGACGAATCGAGATACGTTCTGGGCTTCAACGGTCGCTTCAGGCCAGAGAGGTCGAATCCTTGATCAAGACCCTTTCCGAGCACAGCGTGCTGCTGCTCGTCAATTGTGCAGAGGTTACCGAGCTGGAGGACGGCCCTGATGTTCAGAGGAAGATGCTTCTCGTACACGCCCTCGACACTGGGGTGGTTGAAAAGCAAAGAGAACTTGTCCGCCTCGGCAAAGTAGGTGTCTTCGGGGACCGTAAGCTTGAAAAGATGCACAGAAGAGTGCCCGTTGGGAAGCGTGTGGTTGACTTGCTCCACCTCGCAGCCCGGGATGTCTACGTCCGGCATGTCGCCACTCTTCAAGTTCAAGAACACCTGCCGCGGGACCTTGATCTTGAGGGTGTGAATCTTGGCATCAATGAGGACGTGGGCGTTGACAACGCCAGGGGTCTCGGTGGCCTTGAGATGCAGAAGCTGCCAGGTGTTCATGAAGGTCATGTGCGCCTGCTTCATGAACGTAGCCTGGATATTGCTCTGGTTGCCGCGTCGGTCACCGAAAAGCTGTCGGCGTCGAATGCGGGCCTGCTTCTGAATCTTCCACTTTTGCTTCTGGTACTGGAGGAAACCGACATAGTCCTCTGAAGGGGATGGCATAACCTTTGGCAACGCAGCAAAAGGGTCTGCGTTCTCGGCGGGCTCTGGAGACTTTCTCTTTTGGGCGACAGGCGCCGGCTGCGAAGAAGCCACTACGGCTGCTACCGGCTTCGGCTTCAGCAGCTGGCTACCAAAGTCTTCCATGTCGTTCAGGTTTCGGCCATTGAGGTTGGTGATGTCCTCTAATGGGCCCTTGGTGAAGAGATCGGTGAGCTTCTTCTGCTTCATCTTGTCCTCCTTGATGTTGATCCTCCTCTGAAGCCAGTCCGGATGCGGCACGCGAGGGACGGGGTTGCGGACTTTCTGCAGCGCGGCTGGGATGGTGATGAGTTTCTGAATGACTGAACCCAGACGTTCAAGATAGTAGTCCCAGTCCAACAAAGCTCTTGGGTCCGTGTCCGCAGGCTCCTCCTTCAACCACTTCTTCAGGTAGAATCGTTTGGTGGTTTCCTCGGCGGAAAAGATGGCGACCGGCACGGCGCGCTCGGTGACTGGAGCATTCTTCGGCCTGGCGCAGATGATAAACTTGCAGTTCAGACCCTTGTCCTTGACCATCTGCTCGCCCAAGAAATCGGCCAGCCGCTTGGCCGTGGTAATGGACGTCGACTTCTGGCTGCCATACTCTTCGAGCGTCTTGGACATGCTTCTGTTTTCTGAAATGAGCTCCATGAGTTCCTCGTCCGCAAGAGTCACACCCTTGCTGTGCAGCACGTCCAGCCACTGGTTGGCCACCTTGGCGACCGCAGTGTAACATTCTGCCAGCGTCGTGCCCTCCAGGAAGAACTTGAAGATTTGCTGCTGGAAGATCTTGATGAGCTTCAGCTCACCTCTGCGCTTCACTTCGAAACCCTTCAACTCAGCCAGACTACCGTCGTCGTTGAAGACAGCGTATCGCTTCTTCAAGTTCTTGTCCTCCTCCTTCGACGTCGGCAAGATCATGGCCTTGTAAGGGCCGTCGACCTCGAAGAAGATGGAGTTGTCGCTGTGCGTCTCGTACTTGAACGTCTTGGGGTCCTTGAGCGTCTGGTACTGGTGGTTGGTGAACTGCGCGTGAACCAAGTGGTTCAACATGGTACAGGGGTAGGACACGGTGACTTTCTTGCCGTTCTTGGTCTTGAACGCAAAGTTCTCGGGAAATGTGGCTGGAAGCATACACCAGATACCGTCGGTATCCAGTTCCAGGGGGCGACCGAGACGCTCAACAAGGCTTCGGGCAAGTTGAATAATCGTAGCTCCCGTTAGGCAGGTCACGCCGGCCATCTCCATGGAGTACCAACGAGAGCCCTTTCTCATGACATAACCGTAGAACGAGTTCAGAATGACCTTGTGGGCAAGCTGCAGGGAATCGAACAGAATGATCATCTTCTTTGCCGCGTCCACCTCGGAGGACGTCGCGCCGGATGACTTAAGCGACTCCGTCTTGCCCTTCCACACCTTCGCCTTGCCTTTGTAGTCGTAGCGACGGTCACGGAAGTCGCGCACCGTGTTGATGTAGAAGGGGTTCTCGCGCTGGCAGATGATGGCCTCCTTGACAATCGTCGTCGAGTCGTGGATTTTGTGGTAGACCTTTTGCGAGTAAAGCTGCAGTCGTTTCCTCAGAAGAGCCGTCTGCTCGTCGGGGCTCAGGTCCTGGAATGTTCGCATCGGCGAGTTGGGCCACTTGCCCGGGAACTTTTCGTTTTCCAGTGCATTCCTGATCATGTTGTACTCGTCGCGCTTGGCAGGTAGGTACTCTCCTCTCCAAGCCCACGGCAATCGCCTGTCGCAAGTCTTGCCTGGCCTGTTGAAGTCGCACGCGGCGCAGTCCGACTCCTGGATCATGGAATCAGGCTGCAGTCGATTTGTCGTCATGATGTTGGGGTACATGGAAGCAACGTCGAGATGGTAGATTAGGGGGCGCTCGCTTCTGTTCGGTGTTTCCTTCAGTGAACGCAGTTTTTCCGCAATCTGTTCCTTGATCTCGTCGTAGTTGACAATGTCGTCCATGGACTTCTGCTCCTCGACCGTGATACTGAACTTGAGCGCAGCGTCCAAATCTTTCAAAAGCTCGTCTACTGCACCTGGATCGACTGCAAAGTTGACGGGAATATCTGCGCGGAAAACACCAGCTTCGATACTCTCAACGTGACCGCCGACGTACGTTTCTGAGTCAAGCAGGTGTCCTTCATAAAAGGCTTCTCTTGGTGCCACATGCTTGTTCGGCAGGACAATCTCCTTCTGGTACGCCTGGACCATCAACAACATCTCGCACAGGGTACCGGTACCTTTCCTCAGCGTGTCGTCACCGCCCAGCGGCAAAATCGTGCAAAGCGAGAAGATGAAGGGGTGGACGTATTTCATGTACAGGTAGTAAGTCGCCACTGCATCGGAAACTGAGTACTCTGCTAATGTCTGCGGGCGTTCTTGCGCGTAGGGTGTCATTAGCTCGGGATCGAGCTCGTCGGGGTCGTATCCAAGCTTCGCGACGGTAACTGCCTTCAAACCTCGAGATCCCTGCGGCAGGTAAGAGTCTCGATTGACCCAGTGGAAACAATCCATGTGCACGCTGTAGTTGCACTGGTACTGATCCTCGCTGTTCTTCTTCCAGCCAATCTCCTGGTACATGTCGATACCGTTGAAACTGGCTCTCGCCTCGACAAACGGCCAATCGAAAAAGTCACCGTTGTACGTCGCAATGACCGTGGGCCGCGCCTCCTTGATGTGCAGGAAGAATCGCTCGAGAACGGCCTTCTCGTCCGGCTCGTTAAAGATCATAAAAGGGCCGGGGTATTCTGGCTTGGGGGTGTAGTCGAAGTCGCCAATGTCTTCGGAAATGATCTCTCGGTTGGTGATGAGGAACCCCTGGCCGTCAATCATGTACGAAATCATCATGACCTGGTCGATGGCAGCGTCAGGAAACTTGAGGGGCAGCTTCGTCGTCTCGATATCGTAGGCCATGACCACGGGATCGGCCATGGCTAGCCTGTCTTCGTTGATTGTGACTTTTGTGACGCCATGCTTGACGTCCACGAAATACCATTTTCCCACCCGAATATCTACCAGGGTTAGCGTCATCCCGCTCGCGTTCGGAGTCAGACCTACCCATATCTATCATTACTCTTACATGGTACGGTACGTCGTACTCTCTAATATCGACAATGAAGTCGCTGGCGTCGGCAAAAGAAGCATTAGCTCGTCTATCGTCATCTCGTGAGTCGTCAAAAAGGTCAAAATCGCCGTTCGTCCTGTCAGATAGTCAGCAAAACCGCTCTCCCCACCAAAACACATACTCGCAGGGGCCAAAACATACGTCACAACCTCGGCATATGCGTCCATCGCATCCACATTCTTCCTGTTCTTCGCCGCAATGGGCATGATATCCTTCCTCGCCGCCATCAAGTCGTTCACGTTCGCGAACCGCAGCTCCAGAAACGTCCGGCGGTATCCCAGCAGGTGGTTCGGCATCTTCAGGTCCTCCTTCTCGACGCGCTTGATCGTCTTGACGACGCCGCCGCCCGGCACACGCTTGATCCACTCCTCGACCTCGCTCTCGCGACCCTTCTTCACGGCGATCAAAAAGTACGGATCGTACTCGACCGTCGCCTTGAACGTCTGCCCGTCGTCCTCGAGGAAGTAGCAGTCCAGCGCCGCGCGGCCGCTCGGGTTGCGGTCGTCCTCGACCGATGTCGGCTGCACGTTGACCAGCCAGCCTTCCTTGCGCTTACCGCCCTCGTGCCGCGCGAAGCCCATGTTCTCGTCGATCTGGTGCGCGAGCCGCGTGCGCTCCCACTTCTCGTCGGCCGAGGTGGCTTCGTTGCGACCTGATGCGGCAAAGGTGCGCGTTGTGCGGGCGCCATGGTATGCTTGTTTGCCACCGCGGCGGAAGCCCTTTTGCGGGCGCCGGAGGCTTGTGTTGGGCATCGTGGGTGTGTCTATGTGGTGGTCCTCTCTCTCATTCGGTAGCGGGGTGTATTCGACGGCGGGATGCTAGGACAAGATCGATGCTGAACTTTTCGTATGAGGTGGACTGGACGTCAAAGGGGGTATCTCAGGAGTTGTGGTGGCTTGGGGAACAAAAAGGGACGAAGAAAACAAATACGGTATGGGTATTGTCCAACACTCTGGAATTGGACGAGTGGGAGTTTGGCAATTGTCACTTTTGCGTACGTCTGGGGGGGGCCGGATGCACAACTTTTAGGTAGATCGCGGGCCGGGGTGGATGGTGGTCCAGAGCGACGGCCAGACGCGTTTCCAGGCGCGACTTTACGCGACGAATGCACGTCTCAGTGACGGACCCGCAATCAATTAAGCCAGCCGGCTGGCCAGGGGACCGGGGTGGGTGCATCTAGGGCGCTTCCATTGGGGAATTAGGTAAGCTTGTTCCAGTCCCGGACCTCAGCTTCAGTGCCGTCTTAATGTAATCGACCATGAAGGTTTGGTGTTTCAATTGGTGTTGAATAAGTTTTTAGACTCTACCAACTCCAAGGCAACTCATGTCTCTTCATCAACTTGTCAAAAGAAAATAACCAAATCAACTGTAACCCCAAGCCATCCATTCAATCGCATGGGGTGCCTCTGTCTCCCACCCAGACGCACAGACCATCTCAACCCAGAAATCCGTGGACGTCATCTCAGACCACGAACAGATTTTGAGTGAGTGAGAGAAGCTTAAGTGAAAGGCCGCACCGTGTTAGCCAAACCCAGCACGCAACAATGGCGCAAGGAACACCAGAGCCCGTCAGCATCCCAGACCCTCGTAAGGACGGAAAGGAGGGAAAGAAGCTGTACCTCTGGTCGAGGTCAACCCAAGGGCCCGTGGGCGAGGGCGCACCGGGCTCAGAGACATCACCACCGACGACAGCAGCGGCAGCAGCAGCAGCGCCGAAGCCCGACCCCAAGGATTTCCAGGCCAACTTCCCCGTGCAGGAGGGCGCCGCCGCGCAGAAGCCCACCACGGCCTGGGAGGTCGTCAAGAACATCAAGTCGGAGGATTTCACAACGTTTGCGCAGGCGCCTTGCGCGAGAGACGGCTTGCTCACGGGTATCGCGGCGGGATTCGTCGTGGGCGGGTTGAGGTTGGTCTTTAAGGGTAATGCTCCCCTTTCTCTTACATCTCATGACGCATCGGTAAGACGCATATGAGCTAGAGCTGACGCATATCTCATAGGCACAATCGGCAAGGCCTCAAACTGGGCCGTCGGCAGCTTCCTGCTCGGTGCGGCCGGCCGCCATGAGTACTGCCAGTACGAGCGCCTCCAGGAGCGCATCAGGATGAAGAGGACGGTCGAGGTCTACCAGGAAACCATGGCCGAGAAGCGCCGCAAGGAGGCTGCGGCGGCGTCGGAGCAGAAGAAGGCCGAGGAGGTCGTCAAGGCAAGCCAGAAGGCGTGGTATAAGTTCTGGTGAAAAAGCAAAAAACACACGTCAACCCCCATTTATGGAGGATCTCTTGCAAATCCTTCCGTGTACGAGTATCTCTTCTGCGAAGTGCAGAAGGCGTCGGTGGCATTGGGCATGACGCATGCGTCGTGATGGGAAGATGTAAAAGCTTTGTATCATCTCCAGTCCAATTCGTGTTTGGGGTATAAAAGAAAGACTATATCAATGTCGTCCACCCAGACTCCCTTGCTTGCTAGTAGCAAAATCGCAGTGGCGCTTCTCCTGCGTCGATGAAATAAAGATACCAGACTGGTCATCGTCTAATGACAGCGGTACACCCCAAGAGCCAAGCAGCGAATACCTCAAATGCAAGCCATGCCGTCGCCGCCGACGCCTGTGCCAGAATAACAAAACCATGTAAACGCCCATAAACACCGGCCTTCGTCCGAGCCATAAGTCAAGACTTCTCCAGCACAACCTCGTCGTGCCCACCGGCTCATCCATTCGTCACAATCGTATTCGGCTCCGAGTCAAACCGCACCCTGCGCACGCCGCTTCCGGAAGCTGGCTTCGTGTCAATCTTAACCCCCAAGCCCGCGCCGCTGCCGCGTCGGCGCTGACTCCGCCGGGCTCTTGCCTCGCTCTCCTCCCGCTTCTTATACTCGGCCAGCTGCAGCCGCCGCTTCTGCGTGCGCGCGTACGCCATCGCCGCCGTCGGCATGAACCCGACCCCGTTGATTCCCGTGCCATCGTCGTCCTCGTCATCCGGGTCGTAGATAGTAATCTCCTCCTCCTTCCACGTCAGCGCTGCCCTGACGGGATCCACAATCTGCATCTCCTCGTCCTCGTCTCGTGGTGCTGCCTCTGCGGCGTTCTTGCCCTTGCGGCCTTTGAGGGGCGGCGTGCCGGCTCGTCTGCGTCCTCTAGCCTTTGCGTCTTGTAGCCGGTTGAAGAAAGTCTGTGGTCGTTGCAGGCCCGGTGTGGCCGCCGTACTCGTAGCGGTAGCCGTTGTGCCGTCGGGGGAAATCTCCGCAGCAGCCTCTGCCTCAGGCGCGGCCACGCTCACACCCGTCGTCGGGGCGAGGCCCGGATCACTTCTGACCTCAGGGTCCGGAACCGCGACCGGCTCATCCTCGTCGGCGTCCTTCATCTCCAGCTCGGGTATCTTGACTCTCTTGCGGCTCGCAAAGGGGTCGTCGTCGTAGGCTCCGTCGCCGCTGTCACCCAGGTCGCGAGTCGGGTCGTAGGGGCCCTGGCGCTGAGGTTGTTGGCTACTGCCCTGTTGCTGGGCTACCCCGCCCCCACCACTACCACCACCACCACCGCTGAGCGCCAAACCACGGAACTTGTGCACCACCTTGCTGCGCGGGCTCGCGCTCCCGTCCTCGTCGCTCTTAGCATCCGGGAGCTGGAAGGAGAACTTGGCCGTGGTGTAGATGGGCGACAGCGGAGGGGCCTCTTCGTCTCTCTTGCGCTTTGGCGTCGCCGTCGGGGTCGGGAAGGCGTCTGTCATGATTGATGGATCGCCCCGTCTGGGCGGTGTTGAAATGGGCGTCTGACTCGTTGGGGGTACTCCAAGATTGTCAGTTTGAAGAATGCAGAGCGTCGCGGTCGCCGTGAGTCTTGAACCGCCTAGCCTGTAGAGAGGTTTTATTTCGACCAGGGGTATCTCGTGTGTAGAAGAGGAAAGTCGCAGTCGGTGAGGGAGTTGTCGAGAGGTTGAATTTGGCGTTCGTTGAGTACGTTCGGCAGTTACACTTCGGGGCGATCCTTCCTTGGAGGTTGGCAGTCCCTGCGCTAACCGTTGCGTTGGCGCGATAAGCAGCCAAAGGACGCTAAGATAAAGCTAGCGCCCCTCGGTGAGCTGCGCACCCTGCGAGAGCTCGTCTTCGTCCCATCTTTTATGCTTTCATCTCCATCATCAGATCAGTCACACCGGCTATTTTTTTCATGGCACACGGGCGTGTAACTTATGAGCCGAATCAGGCGCTTACGAATTCCCATCCGCAGGCCCAAGCATCAAGGAAACTCACCAAGGTCATGCACGATGAAGATAGCGTCTGGCGGGTGATTACGAGGCCAATACGTTGATATCATTACTTTCATCCTCAATTCTCATCAAGCTTCATTCCCAGCACTCAGTCAGTCGCTCCAAGCCTTGTACACGATGCGCGTTCCATAAGTCTCGCCCTTCTTCAGCAACATCTGGCTCTTCCACCCGTCCACATTGATCGCGTTCACCCACCGGCTCGGCTCAACACAGAATCCGCTCCTCTTGCCCCTCGCCGGCGCGCCCTCGACGGCGGGCACGTCGATGCCCTCGCCGGTGTAGAACTGGAAAGCGGGCTCGGTGCTGAGGACCTCGAGGTTGACGCCGTTCTTGGGGTGCTTCGCGTGCACGTGGAGCTTCAGCGGCTCCTTGCGCGTGTCGATGGGCACGGAGTCGGGCTTCTCGTTGACGATGAAGCAGTCGTCGACCTCGGGGCCGTCGACGCCGAGCTCGAAGGCCTTGCCGCCCTCGATGCCGGGGAACGGCGCGGGGCCGCCGGTCGGGATGCCGTTCTCGCGGGGCAGGTAGGCGTTAGTCGCCAGCGTGGCGATGGTGCCGGCAAAGGTCTCGTCGCCCGTGAGGTTGAAGTAGGAGTGGTTCGTCATGTTGATGGCCGTCTCGTCGGCCCCGTCGACCAGCTTCGCCTCGTACTCCATGCCCAGCACGGAAACCTCCTTGCCGTCGACTTCCTGGGTGCCGGCGGTGTAGATCACGGTGGCCTTGACGGTGCCAGGGAACCCCTCGTCGCCGTCCTCGCTGGTGAGCGAGAACTCGACGCTCTCGCCGCCCTTGAGACCCTCGACGCCGGGGATCTCGCGAGTGCCGACGGGCTTGGGGCCCTCCCACACACGCTTGCTCCAGGGTTTGTTGCCGCCGTGCAGGTTGTTGCCGCCGTCGTTGGCGGCGAGCTTGTAGGTCTGGCCGCCGTTGAGCGACTTGAGCTGTGCATTCTCGAGGCGGTTCGCGACCCGACCGACGGTGACGCCAAAGTAAGGCGAGTTGTGCTTCTCGTAGAGGTCCTGGGTTGGGAAGCCCTGGACGATGTTGGTTCCCTTGACCTTGAAGGACTGGAGGATGGCGCCCAGGGGCAAGAACTCGAAAGGAGCATCAGTCATTGTTACGGATGTAGGTGACGAGGTCGTGGGTGAGAGGCAATGGGGAATCCAATCCGAGTATTTGGGTCACGAATTGCCGGATTCAGGTAATGTTTACGACGTGTCCAGGTGAAATCACGCAACGCGGTAGAGGGGATGTGTCTTTTAAGTGTCGCAAATCTGCCTTGCTTCACTGGGCAACGCGACGAGAGTTGCAATTCAGGCTATTACTGCTTGTATTGCGCTTGTTGGCGGATGCAGTGGGGTGGTTGGACGAGGATTGGAGGGGGAAAGTGCTGAAGAGAGATGACGGCGTCGGCGGGGCACTCGCTCGTGGCGGGGTAAATTGGAGACACAAGCATGGGCACTCGCCCGCCCAAGCTTGCTCGTACTGCGGAACGCGCTCTGCTCACGCAACCATGGACGCCAAATCGGCCCCGATCAAGCCCCTAGCCCCGTCTCCAGCGGCCATGCTGACGTCTGACTGGCGCGTTTAAGAAGCCCACAAGCAGCTTTGAGCCGTCGGAACCAGTTGTTGTGACAGATGGATAGGCAGACGTACCTGGCCCTTGAGAGGTTCGCTTCAAGTGCGGATTCCCACCAGACTGGATATCGGCTCTGGCCGCAGGGAACTTGCCAAATGTCAGAGAGGACCCCCAATCAGAAACCAAATTCGCTGGATAAAAGCTACGCGTGCCGGGGTTCCTAATGGCATCCGACTCCATATTCATTACCGCCTCGGCCGACATTCCGCGATGACCCCCAAACATCATGACAATGCGTGCGCCAATGGTATATAGTACAGTACAACCTGCAGCAAGTGCAGTCAGCCAAATCATGCTCCAAGTCCGTGAGAAAATGCTCCTCTGTACGAGCGCCGGTGATCAATCCGACTCTTCATCGTCGTCGCCGAGGAACGCCAGGTCCGCACGCGCCTTGCCACGGGCACGCGACGACACAACTGCCTCTTCCTCTTCATCATCATCACCTTCATCGTCCTTCTCCTTCTCCTCGCCAGAGAGCTCTGGTTCCACAACCTTCTTCGCCGGCTGACCGCGCGCCTTGCTCCTTGACGATCGGCCACCAGCACCCCAGTTCTCGTTCATTTCCTGCACCGCCTCCAAATCGGCCTCGAGCTCTCTGCGCTCCTTGATCTCCCGAGCTCTGGCTTCCGAAAAGCGGCCGTCCATACCAATGTCCTTCAGCATGCCTCTGAGGTGCTTGATCTTCGCCTTTGAATTGTCGCCGTATTGCTTCAGCTCGAAGCCCCAAATCTTACGAATGCCGCACTTGACCAAGTGAGACTGTAGCTTCTTGATTTCAGCGTCGTCCGGGTTCTCCGGCGCGGCCGCCTTCTTCTCCTTCTTTTCCTTCTTCTCCTTTGGCGCCTTGGGAGCGCCGGCTTCCTTCTTCTTGCGCTTCGGCTTGGGCGGCTCGTCTATAACGTCAGACAATTCGCTGGTCGTGTCATCATCGAGCGTCGGGTGTTCTTCCTTCTTCTCGTTGGCAGCTTCCGGCTTCTCGGCAGATTCCTCATATTTAGCTTCGACAGGTGACTTCTCCTTGGCCGGCGCCTTGGGAGAAGCCTCGAGCTTCTCATCTTCTGCCTCGTCCTTGTCACTCCCGGCCTTGTCATCGTCACTCTCGGGCGGGGTGGACAGCGCATCGGAGTCGCTGTCTTCGACCTTTTCTGCTTTTTTGGCGCGTCCGTTCTTGGCTTTGGAGGGTTTCGCTTTGACGGAGCTCGGCTCCTCATCAGAATCGACGGTGGCGCGCGACTTCTTCCGTGGGGCTCCCTTCTTCTTGGCTTTGGGCTTCTCGACCTCCGACTCTTCGTCCTCAGGTTCCTCCTCTTTGGCGGCAGATGCACGCTTCCTGCGCTTCGCTGGCGGGGACGTCGCAGCCGACTGACGTTTTCCCTTTTTCGGTTTCGCGACAACTTCTTCCTCGGGTTCCGGGGATCCGGGCCCGGCGAGTAGTTCGTTCTGCCACGGGGTTCATCAGCTGCTGTAGATCGCAAGAGCACTTGCGCGCGCCCTGCCACTTACAGCGAGTTCCTTGATCAGCTTCTTGCTCTTGTCCTTCCATTCGCCCGTAGAGAAGAATCCATCCTCAAGATCGAGGTCGCTTTCGACGCGCTTGCGAATGGTGTTCACAGTGAGCTCATCCTTGTCGGACTCGAAGACCTCACGGACGGTCTTGAGAAGCTCCGTCTCGATCTTCTTGTCCGAGGAAGCCATGGCCTCGCGTGATAGGGATAAACAACGAAAAATGTCCCTTTTGTTCGAACAGAGAAGCTCACAGGTTCTCGATTAATGAACGTGGCATTGATACAAGTGTTCCGGCAGAGCACGAGCAGCTCTTCGCGGTTGTCGTCGCGTCGCAGAGAAACAAAGCCGGCGCGCTTGCCCGCATCTCAATTGAAACCGGGGAGCTGCTGCGACTGGCTTAAGTGGGGCTCAAGTCACCCGACACTGGTCTGAGCTTCTCGCTACGTACCTGAAGCTCTGGAAGCAGCGATGGGAATGATTCCCAAGTCATGGAGGAAACCTTGAGCGCTTCCAGCATGATGACATGCACTCATGATATTATGAATCTTCAGTGCCCCCATAAATTGAAAATATACTGTTACATGCCTTATGATTGCTTTCAAGGACAATGAACCAAGCGATGCACCATCAGGTTGGCTTGAAAGAATACAAGCAGTAGAAGATGATCAATTGAAATCACCTGAGAATATCCGTCTGATTAGATTATGAGGAACTGTAAGGAACTAGAATCTACCAACGAAGAAAATCAGTCTTTCCATGACCGGTGCGAGGGTCAATTCGGGCCGGGAACTAAAGCAACCCGCCCAAGGAAGTTTTGGTCCGGATTCCCGGGGAGAAAATGGGCCCTTCGATGCCAGCCTGCGGTCGCCCAACGGAGACCTTGTGGGCTGGATGATTGGGTTGGAGCGCTCTTGGGCTTCTGGCGGCCGCAATTGGCCAGCAAGACGGGTTAAACGTTGAAAGGTCGCTCAGCTGCCGGGGCGGAAGCTCCTTTTGAGGGCCTCTGCAACTTGTATCAACCTGGTAACACCTTTCTGGCTGGACCCGTTTCCTTGGATGCGGACTACGGTTCACAGATGACGGCACGCTTGCGTTATGTTTGGGGGGCCCGACAGGTCAGGGTTCACCTGTCAGACATGAGGCTCCCTTGTTGAAGATTTCCAGTCGTTGGCGCAGTGGATGGAAGGAAAAGTTCAGAGGCATCGTGAACATTCTGTGTTTTATCGCCGATGTGGTGCCCACTTCCTCGGCGCTGGCCTCTCCACCGTCGAGCGGGTATCGTCAAGGTCCTGGAAGTACCGGTACCTGATTTATTCGCTCTCTCCCTCGAGGCATTGGGCCTTTTCTGGGTCGTTGCAGTCGGGCGGCTGAGGAGATCCGGCTCAACGGCCCTGCAGATTTATATCGCTCACTATGAGCTCGGCGTGATTCCCTAATTGTCCGGTGACCTCCTCGGTAAGACGAGCAAATGGGCATCTCAAGTTGGCCAAAGAGAGCAGATGCATATGCCGGAGGAGGACGGAATGGCTGGAGGGGTCCAGAACGGGCTGCGATTAAATCAGCATAAAAAATGACAGAGACGTGGGAAGCAGTGACAGACCGGAATTTGGCCCCAGGACTAACACGACATGGGTCCACGCCAAAATTACGTAGATGGCACCTCAGTAACGCCAGGCCCCAGGTTAGTTGGTCAACAACTTTAGATACAGGTAAGCTAATCTGCAGTTTGGCTGCGTAAAACATTTCTCTGAGAGTCTCGCCGACGCACTTTACCTATGAACCTAAGGTAGCTTTTCCTGTACGTACATCACCTGCTTTGCCCAACCTGCCCAGCAAATCACACGAAGCAAGCAGGTACCTCTACTTCTGGGAGCAGCAGCTGCCCTGTCTGATTACCCGTTGTCCTTGCCTCCCGTCCCTCCTCTTCAACACCCTCAAAACCCAAGGCACTTTGTCACCTCTCACCGCACACCTCGCATCTCCCGTTTTCTTCTACTGCCACCCTGGCTCGGCCCAGACAGAACGAAGCTCCGTCACTTCAGTCAACAAACGGGTAATGGGACGTTACGAAAGCACGTTAGCCAACCATCGACTAGCCGCCCTGTTCCGCCTCTTTCCATCCAGCCATCCATCCCAAGCTACTTTTCTTCTTTTCCTTTCCTCCCAGACGAAGACCTCCTCCACCACGCTGTATTGCACTTGTTGTGCTGGCTTGTGTCACCCTCCACGCACTTGGTGTTCTCCTGGGATTCGGGCAGCCCGATCACTGTTGTTCTCTCCATCTACATACCGCTGTCTCCTCCCGCTGCTTGCTTGCTTCATTCACGGCTCCGGCTTGAGCAAGCGAACCACCCCCAAAAAAACCAGCTCCCCACCAGCAACAAAGCTAGGTAGGTAAGCTTGCATCTATCCCTGGCTCACAATCCCATCGCTTTTGGATTACAGCGACAAACACCCTGGCTCCTTATTGCGTCGCTTGCACATCAGGCACCTCATAGTGCAGGACACCAGCCGAACCTACATTTACCCCTCCATTCCCCCGCAAGCTCATCCCAGCCTGACAACGACTCAGCTAACACCTTTCCCACCGCCACAGGACCACTAAGCTAGCTGCTGCTGCTCCCCAAATTCCCACCCGAACGAAGGAACCCACGATTTTCTTCCCTTCCCACCTTTCAACTCAAACGCACCGCCGGGCAACCCATTCCCACCATGCCTGCGCTCGTCGACGATGACACCGCCCCCGGGCGCCTCTTGCTCCTCTCCAACCGATTGCCCATCACCATCAAGCGCTCCGACGATGGCAGCTATTCCTTCTCCATGTCCTCTGGTGGTCTCGTCACCGGTCTCAGTGGACTGTCAAAAACCACAAGCTTCCAATGGTACGGCTGGCCTGGCCTCGAGGTTCCCGAAAACGAGATCGCCGGCATGAAGCAGCGTCTCAAGGACGAATACGATGCCCACCCCGTCTTCATTGACGATGAGCTTGCCGACAAGCATTACAACGGCTTCTCCAGTGCGGACAATCCTCCCGAATCTGCCTTCTGCAACAGTGAAACTGACAATTCGCTCTACAGACTCCATTCTCTGGCCCCTCTTCCACTACCACCCCGGTGAAATCACATTCGACGAGAGTGCATGGAGCGCCTACCGCGAAGTCAACCGCCTGTTTGCCAAAGCCGTTGTGAACGATGTTCAGGATGGCGACCTGATTTGGGTCCACGACTACCACCTCATGCTCCTACCCGAGATGCTGCGCGAGGAGATTGGCGACTCCAAGAAGAATGTCAAGATTGGCTTCTTCTTGCACACCCCCTTCCCATCTTCCGAGATCTACCGCATCCTACCCGTCCGCGAGGCGCTCTTGACGGGTGTTCTTGACTGTGATCTTATCGGATTCCACACATACGACTACGCTCGCCACTTCTTGAGCAGTTGCTCTCGCATCCTGTAGGTTCACACCTGGGACTTACAGCAAAGTATTGCGACTAACATTTCCCAGCGGAACCCCAACAACCCCTAACGGCGTCGACTACAACGGCAAATTCGTCACCGTCGGCGCATTCCCCATTGGTATTGATCCCGAGAAATTCGTTGAAGGTCTCAAGAAGCCAAAGGTCCAGGAGCGCATCGATGCGCTCAAGCGCAAGTTTAATGGCGTCAAGCTCATCGTCGGTGTTGATCGTCTTGACTACATCAAGGGCGTTCCCCAGAAGCTCCACGCACTCGAGGTCTTCCTGACAGAACACCCCGAATGGATTGGCAAGATCGTTCTCGTCCAGGTTGCCGTGCCCTCGCGTCAAGATGTCGAAGAGTACCAGAACCTCCGCGCTGTCGTCAACGAGTTGGTCGGTCGGATCAACGGAAAGTTTGGCACAATCGAGTTTATGCCCATCCATTTCCTTCACCAGAGCGTCTCCTTCGACGAGCTCACCGCTCTGTACGCTGTCTCAGATGTCTGCCTCGTCTCTTCAACGCGCGACGGCATGAACCTGGTCTCGTACGAATACATTGCGACTCAGCGCGAACGTCACGGTGTCATGATTCTCTCCGAGTTCACTGGAGCAGCCCAATCCCTCAATGGTTCCCTCATCGTGAACCCGTGGAACACGGAGGAGCTCGCAAACGCCATCCACGATGCCGTCACCATGTCTCCCGAACAGCGCGAGACGAACTACCGCAAGCTCGAGCGCTACGTCTTCAAGTACACCTCGTCGTGGTGGGGCCAGTCATTCGTCGCCGAAATGACCCGCCTATCTATGGAAACAACCCAACAGAAGACCCTGAGAAACATTAGCGGCAACGTCGTCGGTCAGGTCAGCAAGGCTTTACAAAGCGCCGTCGAGGGCGTCCAGAACCTAACAGTCAAGGATGGCGAGGAGAGCAAGCAGGAGAAGCAAGAGGCGTAACGGGCCGCTGTAGGCGGCACATTTGACGAAAGCATGATGAAGAAAAGAAGAAACACATACATACCCCAACCTCTTAAACCACACACACCCAGCAAATACTCGTCACGCCGAAACATAGCTGTTTGGGAAATGGTAGCACATGAGCGAGGCGAAATCACCAGTTAACGTCAGGTTGGGCAGAGGGCATCGAGCCAAGCGGAGTTTGTTTTATTACGGGATCTTTCCTCTCATGCTATCGTGGGAAGGAGAGGGTATTCGGGAGTGTTAGACAACACAGGAACAATATCTCTCTTGTCCCATTTGTATTTTCGAGTTTATGTTGGTTTAGCATTAGACTATCTACCTACTGAAGGAACGGTTTTAACCAATGCAGCTCAAGTGTTGTTGTGAGACCACGCCTCCTAAACCCCATAACGTCAGTAAAGACAATTTGCACGAAACAACAGCGATCACCATAAGCACACTAGATAACAACGACACTAAGCAGGGAATTGTTTCATGTAATTGAATTTGTTCTGATGTCAAGAGGTATCTAAAGGGGTAAAGTGACTCTCTCATGTGAGCACTCGAGAGAGACACACAAAGAATAGAAGCAAGCGAAAGGGCTGCATTTGAATGGTAGCAAAAAAAGAAACACATCCGTGCCTTGGAAGGAGCAAAAAAAGAAACACATCCGTGCCTTGGAAGGGGGTTGGTGGTGCTGTAAATCCATTTCCGGGGAAAACGCCCGTCGTCGTGAAAAAGAGACGTTCCAACATCAATGCGTACACAAGCCTGGGAAACAACGCAGAATGTGTGTATACACACACAAGGTCGGAGGGAAATCAGTAAGGCGAGTCGACGATGTCGTCCTTGCCCAGCTTGTAGCGGCTGCTCTGCGGGGTTCCGATGCGGCCCGAGTCTCTGCTGCGTCCTCCGCCCATGCTCAGTCTGGCCCATCCGGGGCCGGCGATGCTCTCGCGCGTGGGTCGCTTGAGGCCCTGCTTGCCGACCATGTTGACCTCGTTGGGCAAGGCGACGATGACGTTCTTGTCGGAGCCGAACTTGAAGTCGTCGGCCTTGACCTCCTCAGCGTAGCGCTTGATGAGGTAGGGCGCCTTGGCGCCACGGAGGACCTTCTTGAGGTTCCACTCGACAATGTACGGTCCCGTGGCCGTGATGATGCTCTTCTCCTCTGCGTCCGTGCCTGTGTTAAAGCGCGCGGGGGTGAAGGAGACGGGCTTTCCGGTCTCGTGAGCGAACTGGGCCACGTGCTCAGGCGTAAGAGCGAGACGGCGCGGCTGAGGCTTGGAGTCGGCAGCGAAGGACTTCTCAAAGCCGAGCTTGCCCTCATTCTTGCCTGACTTCTGCATGGCGTCGATCAAGAGGATGTAGGTCCTGCAGGTGGCAAGAATCCAGCGACCGTCGGCGGAGACGTCGAGACCGATGATGGCCTCACCGAGGGCGGGAATGTGCGTCTTGGCGTTGATGCCCAGGCGATCGAACAGGCGGACGTCTCCCTTGTTGGACGCGACGGCAATGTAGCCCTTCTCTGTCGTGGAGATGGCGGAGAAGTCGTTCTTGGAGGCGTACTGCTTGAGCTGGGAGTCGACAAGCTTGGTGCCGGACAGACGGGGGTCGACACGGTAAAGGGCGTTCTTGGAGATACCCAGGAAGGTGGGCTCATGCGTCATTTGGGCGTACTTGTTCTCTGGCGCGAAGTTCAAGACGGGAATGTCCTCGTGAACGTTCCACTCGTCGACGACCTTGCCGTACTCCAGGTCCATGCGGTAAAGCTTATTGGGGTCCGTCTCATTCTGCAAAATCATGTTACGGTCCTCGTTGTGAAGCATGACCTTCTTGGGACTGAACAGTGTGCCCTTCGGCGTCTCGACCTTGGAGATATTGGTCGAGAATTCAAGGTTGTTGTTAGGCGTGTGCTTGAAAACACCGATCTTGGATCCGCGCACGACAAATGATCGGTCGTGCTTGTAGCCAACAGCAAGCTGTGAGTTAACGTTACCATCCTCGTCCTTGGTAGCGACGTCATCCTCCTCTTCATCGCTATCGTAGTGCTCGCTGCGCTGGGCATCATCCTCGGCGTCTTCGTAATCCTCTTCCTCCTCCTCTTCTTCCTCGGGGGTATCTTCCATCGTTAGGTCGTTGAAGGCATCCGTGATGTACTCCTGCTCCCTCTCCTTGATCTTCTCCCACTTGGTCTCGTTCAATTGCTCCCACAAGGCACGGAGAAGAGCGTCTTGGAACCGCTCCAAAGTTGGCTGGTCTTTGAACCGAAGAAGCCAAGAGTAAGCCGACCCATCAGGGGAGAACTGGTTGAAAATAAAGGACAAAAATTCGAAGTTGAAGACGGGGTTGATATCGGCTACGATAGGAATGCCGAGCCAAGCGCGGTCCTCGCTCTCGACCTGCAGCCAGTACTCCCACTTGCCGACCTCCGTAACAGTGGCAGTGACAGCGGCATCTTGCTGGACAAACGAGCCAGAGGGGAAGTCGAAGAAGTGCAACTCTGCCTTCTCGGCAGCATAAGTGCTGAGGGCCTCAGGAGCCTCGGCAGACTTGGGCGGGGCCGTGTCCTTCTTCTTCTCAGGCATGATAGGCGTCTTGACGGGCGTTTGCTCTTGTTCGGCGGAGGTGTTTGCGGCCTGGGGCGGGGTCTGGGGCACAAACAAGCCGTCGGAAGAGTCGATCGAGCGCGTCAGCGTCGGGCTGTGAATAGGGCTCGCCGGAGGAATGGGATGCTCCTCCTCAAACTCGAACTGGTCGAGGTCGGCGTCTGAAGCGGTAGTGTGTGGCTTGCGGTACTTGCGTTCGTATTGGCACTCCTTCGCGATGCGGTCGAACTGGGAGACTTGGCCGGGAGAGACGACGTTATCGCAAACAAACTCGTAGACGTCGCCGGTATCACCACTCAGATCACGCCAGGCAAGGATCTTGTCACTGCCGTCACGAAAGTCGACTCGGAAGTGGAGTGCCTCGTCGAGCAGGAAGGTCTTCTCGTCTCTCTCGGCAGCGGCAAGTGCGTCGATCTCGGCGTCTTCTCCTTCCTCCTCGGCCAGAAGCTCAGCCTCGCCTTCCTCGTAGACTCTCTGGATGACGAGCTGGTACTGGAAGTCCTGTGCGGTGCGTCGGATGCGGGCGGCGGCGTCCTTGAAGATGAGTTCGGAGTAGCCCTTGGGCGAGAGTGGGCGGACGAGGTAGAGTTGTCCTTGGGGGAGTTCCATCAAAGACTCTTGGTTACTGGATCCGAAGATGAGCTTGCCCACTGTTGAACGAGGTGTATTAGCGAAAATTTCGTATGAAGTGTGTGTGTAGTGCAGATGTCGCAAATGAAGGGAAAAGTGGAAAATGTCGGCCAACCTGTTGGTCGCAAACGGAGATGACGAACAGGCCCAACCAACAAATCTCACATGGAATTTGCGGTCGCGGCACAAGAGCAAACAGAGTGGCAGAACAGACCGTTAGCAACAGGTGGGTGGCGGGGTAAACTTACCGTTTCTGAGGACAAACATTTTGAGAGCTCGAGAGGGGAGGAGGGGCTCGGTTTGAGAAGGGAATCAGTCGCGGACGCAGTTGCTTGTATTTATGATCTTCGCAAAAGCAAATAATTCCCGTCGGCGTGGAATGAGAAAGAGGAGGAGAGAGCGGAAAGTGCCAGGCCTTGGCCACGAAATGAATAGAGAGAGACAGATCAGGCACTAAAGGTACGACCGGGAAGGAAAATGCGTCATAACAAAAAGGTAGCTTTCCTGGGTTTGGGGGTCACGGTCGTAGCTGCTGGTGCTGCTGCTGCTGATGGAGGGGACGAGGGGTCAAAGGTGGCTTGTGGCGGTGCACGTCCCTCTTTTTTTCCTCCAATTTTTCTCGCCACGGCAACCTGCGGATACGTCAGCCACAGCGGCAGGGATGTCACGGGGACCCTTGGAAGCCGGGGGTGGGTGGTCCTGCTTGGTCTGGGCCTGGGCCGAACAGCACCTTGGAAGGTAGGTACCTACCGGCGCAAGCCGTGAGTGACAGCAGCACCTTCCCGCCGCCCGGGTTCCCTCCCGTCTGCTGCAGACTGCAAGAAACTTGGATCTTGTACCTGCTTGCAGCAGGTGCACGAAGTATATTTTCCTTTTTGCTGAGTAAGATACCGTTTTCCGGCTCTCTGAAATTTGATAACGCAGTTATCATTCAGCCATGTCTTGAAGATTTGATCCCTAGCGACCTGAAAGTATGTGACTTCCCGGGAGCTTCTAACTCCAGAATATCAGCTCACTTTTTGTTTGAGTTGGGGGGATCTCAGCCGTTGGATGCACTCATCTGGGTTCTCAAACTCAGACTAAGCCATTTTGTTTGTTTGTTACCAAAAAACACTTCATCATCCGAGTGGTTCGGGAAGCTGAAAACTAACCACTTACTGATGTCGGGTGTCTCTGTCAAAGTGACATTTTGATTGTGCATTGAGGCTTATAGAAGGTTGAAGCTCGCCACGTCCTCCCCAGGGTGTTCCTCACCAATATGAGTTATCATAAATGAGCCGTGAAATTATCCATCCTCGTTCCTGGAAGTGCATTTGCGCATGTTACACCTCAACACACGTGTTGATACTGTAACATGGTGGGGCTCATCACTAAAAACCAACAAAAAAGAATGATCCAACAGCAGTTGTTCAAAGTCAGAAATCAATCTTACAGTGGTAATTCATTTGAAACGAGCGCTGTAATGAATAAAAACATGACCAATTACGCCCCAGCCCATAGTAAAGACAGCCTATAGCTCATCAGCGACAACCGGCTCCTTCTCCGTTTGCTCAATCACCTCCTGGGCACCCTCCTCCACCTTCTCAATCATAACCGCCTCCTCCTTGACAGCCTCAGTAGAGACGGCAAAGTCCTCCGCAATTAGCTTGGCAACATTCTTGCCCATGAGCGCGCTGGTCTCCATGCAAGAGATGAAGCTCTCCATGCCGGAGAGGTAGTACAGGCCGTCTCTCAGGATGGGGTCCTGGAAGGTGACGCGGGGATACTCGATAGGGTAGGAGTGGAAGACGTGAGGGTGGTACCACGAAATGGGGTCGACGGCCTCGGTCTTGTCCTTAGAGACGATGGTTTCGGGGACCTTTACTCCGAGAAGCTGCGAGAGGAACTCGGCGGTGACCTGCTTAGGAGAGAAGATCTTGTAAATGAACTCGTCCTTGAGGGTTTCTGGGTTTGTGGCCGTTCTCAGGGTGCTGATGGAGTAGAAGCCGGCCTTGCCGGCCCCCTCAGCCCCAGCCTTGGCCTCGTCGGCAGGGTTGAGAGTCGTGAGGACCGTGTCGGGCGCCTTGGACCCGGGCTCCATGCCAAAGTACTCGGGCGACAGACGGAATGGAGAAGCGAACAGCGTGACATGGAGCTTGACGTAAGGAATCTCGTCAATCTTGTGTTGGAACAAGTCCTCAGCAACGCTGATGTCGCTGTATTGCCAAGGGGTGGCAATGACGACGTTGTCGAAGGCGACGGGGTATTGATCCGCCTCGACACCAGCATCTGCGTGAGAGTCCTTGGCCGAAATAAAGTACTTGGAGCTTGTAGGGCCAGTCTTGACCTCCATGGAGGTTACGGTAGTGTTGCGGTTCACAGTCGCGTTAGTCTTCTGCAGCATGGTGTCGAAGATTTGCCAGTTGCCGCCAATGACTTGCTTGGCGCCCTCAGGCGCCATGGATACCATGGTCTCCAGACCATGTATGTACTTCAGGTTGGAAGCATAGTTGACGCGAGTTGCAGCTTGGATGATGTGGTCAGAGAACAGCTCGCCAATCTACATCAGGTGAGCGAGCGATCTAGTCTGACGCGTGTGATGACTTACATCATTGTTGGCGAGGAACTCCTTTCCAGTAACCGAAGTCGCCTTCAGAAGGTCCAGCTCAAACGCCCTTTGGGTCAGAGAGCGGAACGGGAAGTGAGGCGCCTCATACAATTGCAGGAAGGTATCAACGGTAGACTGGACGAGCTTCTGCGCCTTGTAGGGAGCCAAGCCGTACTTCCAAAACAGCTTGGCCAGGTTCCACCATTGCCAGGAGCTGTCGTCCTGGGTGTACACAAATTGCTCGCCGTCCCAAATGCCCAGGAAGCCGTCACTGCCGGACTCGGGCTCCTTGAGGGGAAGGCCGAACCGCCTGCTAGCATTGTAGAGAATCTGATTGGCCTCGATGAAGATGGACGCGCCCAGCTCGACTTGCTCAAGCGGGTTGTCGTAAGCTTCAACCGTCAAAGTCCGACCGCCGATGTGGTTGGTCTTCTCAAACACGGTGATGTTCACTTCAATGCCGTCTGCCTCGGCATACTGTTGCAGGTAGTAAGCGGCAGCAGAGCCACCCGCGCCAGCTCCTGGAGGAGGATTAGTCGCTACATTTTACAAATAATCCAAATACTGTTGAGGCCGGCGGTGCCTACGAACCAATAATGGCGACTTGCTTGACACTGCTGTCAAAGGCGACGATCTCGACCTCTGTCTCGGTCGCGGGCACGCCAGTTCCCGTCAAGCTGAGCGCGGAGAGCACAGCTGAGAGCTTGGACCCCCACATGATGTATTGTTGGATTATCAGTCAATCTCGAGCTTTAGAAGGATTATATGAAACAGCAAAAGCAAAGAGTGATGAAGAATTGAAGAGAGATAGATGCAAGATTTCAATACATGTTTTTGGGGGATGAAGAGGATGAAAGGGGGAGCATGAATGAGATTCGTAATTCGTACTGCCCGGGAGGTCCCCCAAATGAATTAAACTCTGGGTGAGTAAACAAACCGCCGCTTTATTGGTGTTACTCCTGTGGCTCCCTGCCGGACCGGGGTGATGCGTGTTCAGGGGAAGCGGAGGTCGATATGGGGCATCTTTCCGTACGAGAACAGAACAATTCGTGAGTTACCCTTCACCGACGATTTACCAGACGGACTTGGTTTGACAGAGCTGTGCCTCTGAGAAAGGCTGTCCTGGCGATGAAGCTCTTCCCAGCTCCTGATAAAGCAGCGGCTCATAGCTTAGTGGTAGAGAGAGTAGAGGTTTCACTCGGGTGGTACCCCAAGACCCCCAAAGTCCCTGCTCCCGCCTGCCGTGCTGCAGTAGCTATCGGCCACCCACTAACGACGCACAGACCATAGAACATGCCGTCAGTATCTGCTGACACATGTAGACTCCTTTAGATGCATATCCCTCAAAGGTCGATTGGGCATATGCAGCTAAGAAGAAGTCGCGCCAACGAGAAAGCACTCAGGCACTGAGCCAGCACCTTCCACCACTAGCTGACCGCCTGCCACCTCAAGGCAGAAAAAAAGTCACCACCAGAGTCCCGCATCTGAAGCTCCCCGGACCAGGCCAGGTCAACCCTCGAGAACACTCCACGTCAGGTCGCCAATCCAATAACCTCACCGATCGATACCCCCCTCACGAGCCTCTCGACGACCTCCAGCCATCATGTCTGCGGCCCAACTGCTCAACCCCAAGGCCGAATCCAGGGTGCGCATTGCCCTTTTTCTGCCGGGCCTTGTTTGTGTTGCTAATCAGCAAAGTAGCGGCGGGGTGAAGCCCTGAAGGTCAACATCAGCGCTGGTGAAGGCCTGCAGGATGTCCTCAAGTCCAACCTCGGCCCTCTGGGCACCATCAAGATGTACGACACCAAAGAATCTTTCTTGTTGCTATAATGTTTGCTAATGTCTCCCAGGCTTGTTGACGGTTCCGGCCAAGTGCGATATACCGCCCTTCCTTACCCCTGGACCGCTGCTAATGCGCGCCGAACAGATCAAGTTGACAAAAGATGGAAACGTTCTCCTCAGGGAGATGCAAATACAGAACCCCACCGCCGTCATGATTGCGCGAGCTGCGACTGCCCAGGACGATATCTGCGGTGATGGTACGACGTCAGCCGTTTTGTTGATCGGTGAGCTTCTGAAGCAGGCGGATCGCTACATCTCGGAAGGACTGCACCCTAGAATTATCACGGATGGTTTCGAGATTGCAAAGAACGAGGCTTTGAAGGTGCGTCTTCTGCAGATGGTACGAAGTAAAGAACGTGGAACTGACTGGATACACAGTTCCTCGATGGCTTCAAGCTCGCCAAGGAGGTCGACCGCGAGTTGCTCCTTTCCGTCGCCCGCACATCGCTGTCTACGAAGCTCAACTCCAGCCTCGCTGCCAAGCTCACCCCCGATATCGTCGACGCCGTGCTCGCCATCTACCAGGCCCCCGCCAAGCCCGACTTGCACATGGTTGAGATTATGAAGATGCAGCACCGCACCGCCTCGGACACCCAGCTTATCAAGGGTCTGGCTCTGGACCACGGCGCCCGCCACCCCGACATGCCGAAGCGCGTCGAGAACGCCTACATCCTGACGATGAACGTGAGCTTGGAGTATGAGAAGACCGAGATCAACTCTGGATTCTTCTACTCTAGCGCGGAGCAAAGGGACAAGCTGGTGGAGAGCGAGCGCCGATTCGTCGACGCCAAGCTGAAGAAGATTGTCGAACTCAAGAAGGAGGTTTGCGGAAACGACCCCAACAAGAACTTTGTTATCGTCAACCAGAAGGGTATCGACCCCCTGTCTCTGGACGTCCTGGCCAAGAACGGCATCCTCGCCCTGCGTCGCGCCAAGAGGAGAAACATGGAGAGACTGCAGCTCATCTGCGGTGGTGTTGCACAGAACAGTGTCGAGGACCTGTCACCCGATGTCCTCGGATGGGCCGGTCTCGTCTACGAGCAGACCTTGGGCGAGGAGAAGTACACCTTCATCGAGGAGGTCAAGGACCCCAAGTCCGTCACCCTTCTCATCAAGGGCCCCAACGCACACACCATTACCCAGGTTACCGATGCCGTCCGTGACGGTCTGCGCAGCGTCTACAACATGATTGTTGACAAGAGCGTTGTTCCCGGTGCCGGCGCTTTCCAGGTAGCCTGCGCGGCGCACCTGAAGAGTGATGCCTTCTCCAAGACGGTGAAGGGCAAGGCTAAGTGGGGTGTTGAGGCATTCGCCGATGCCCTGCTCATCATTCCCAAGACCCTGGCTGCCAACGCTGGTCTCGACATCCAGGATGCCCGTAAGTGTTTTTGTCCGTCTGTTATTACGCTTGAACTAACACATTGCAGTTGCTGCCATGCAAGATGAGCACGCCGATGGTAACGTTGTGGGCTTGGACCTCGCAACGGGTGAGCCGATGGACCCCGAGCTTGAGGGAATCTTCGACTCTTTCAGGGTGCTGAGAAACTGCATCGCCTCCAGCTCCAGCATTGCCTCCAACCTGCTGCTGTGCGACGAGTTGCTGAAGGCGAGACAGATGGGTAGACAAGGCGGCCCAGGCCCCGGTATGGATGGACCTGAGGAGTAATGGGTTTACCGGATTTTCGTTGTAAAGTATTGGCACGGTAGACAAAAGGCGTTGCTCTTAGACCTGTCAAAAGCTTGAGAACTGGAATGATATCCATTTACGAACAAGCCATGAGAATTTTAGCGTGCAGTGCCTGTTTTATGCGTTTGAACTGGTCCATGAGTGAGAGAGCTAGCTTAGGATGTTGTTGACCCCTCGCCCGCCACAGGTGCGATAAGATAAGCCCCGCATCGAACATTTTCGACGGCCAAAAATTCTTGACCCCACGTACGGCAGCAGCCCAACCCAGCAGACCAAAAGTCACATACACGCAGGCAAAGGAAAAAAGATGGCAGACTACGACAGCGATTCCTCGCAGGAAGAATTTACCGAGACCAATGTTCTACTCGGATACGCCACGAGCGACGCTGACGAAGATACCATCAGTCGCCTGGGCGGACGCCCTGTAAGTCCTAATCGCAATCCCTCTGATACCCCTCCAAAAAGCGCATCTCAAACTGACACTGCTTCTTCCACAGGAATGGCTGAACCCAGAGAAACCCGCCTCCGCGGCGCTCGCGCGCTGCAAGGTCTGTAACGACATCATGGTCCAGCTTCTCCAGCTCAACGGCGAGCTGCCGGAAAAGTTCCCCGGCCACGAGCGCCGCCTCTACGTCTTCGCCTGCCGCAAGCCCACCTGCCGCCGCAAGCAGGGCAGCATCCGCGCCGTCAGGGGCGTCAGGATATCAAAGGACGCACCCGCCGTCGCCGCCAAGAAGGCCGCCCCCGCGCAGAAGGAGGCCCCGCGGAAGGAAGAAGAAGAGCCCAAGAAGGAGGCCGGCCCGGGCCTCGGCAGCGCGCTGTTTGGCGGAAGCGCCGGTGGCTCTGCCGGAGCGAACCCCTTCGCCAGCAGCGCGAACCCCTTCAGCACGGGCTCATCCAGCAGCAGCCCGTTCAGCACCGCCGCGCCGGCGTCCAACCGCTTCTCCAAACCCGCCGAGACGAAGAAGCCCGAAGACACGGCCGCAGACGATCTCCCCAAGACCTTCGCCGAGACGCTCTCCCTAAACAACCCGCAAACGCCGTCGGGCCCGCCGCCCGCCCCGGAGCCCTGGCCCGAGGCCGCCGCGCAGCTGAAGCCGTACCGCCTGTCCTACCTCGCGGACGCGGAGTTCGAGACGCTCGACCCGGAGCCGGCGGCGATCCCGCAGAACGCGCGGATGGAGGTCGACACGGACGGGCCGGGCGGCAGCAGCGGTGCGATGGACACCAAGGACGTGTTCGAGTCGTCGATGGACGCGGTGTTCCAGAAGTTCGCGGACCGCATGGCGCAGAACCCGGAGCAGGCGATCCGGTACGAGTTCGGCGGCGCGCCGCTGCTGTACTCCAAGGCGGACGCCGTGGGGAAGGCGCTGACGGCGAGCGGGGGCCGGATGCCGCGGTGCGGGAACTGCGGCGCGGGCAGGGTGTTTGAGGTGCAGATGACGCCGAACGCGATCGCGGAGCTGGAGGCGGAGGAGGTCTCGCTGGAGGGCATGGACTGGGGCACTATTATTGTCGGGGTGTGCGAGGCGGATTGTCAGGAGAGGGGGGTTGAGGCGGGCGAGGCGGGGTATCTTGAGGAGTGGTGTGGTGTGCAGTGGGAGGAGCTCGCGAAGCGATGAGCGTTTGGTTTGAGGCGTGATGTCACACAACGGGGGATGGGAAAAGCATTGTTTATAGACACGTGGCAATGAACAACATCATACGACACTCTTAGACAGATCTTCTTTGTGGCATGTCTCATATTCGGGGATATCCTCTATGGCTCTCCCAATTCCAAAGTCACAATGAACGCCGGTAATTTTGCCGCCATGCTTCTCTTCCAGCCCTGAACTCCATTAACGGAGCCGTCAAGCAGCCAAGGGTACCTCTTTTCTTCTCTCTTTCTCTTCTTGAGAAGGTAGAGTTGATTCATCCTCTCACCCACAACATCCAGAACTGTTGGCCCTCAAACCTTTTTTATTCTTCTTAAGCCGTCTCCTCCCATGATCTGCGGAGAACCCTCGAGAACATGTCAAAGTTGACGTCCTCCCTGATCTCGGCCTTCTTGGCCTCGTTCTCGGCGTTGCGGGGGATGGAGACAATGCCGTTGTCACCGACGGTCCAGCCGGCGACCTCGGAGGCGAACTTGGCGGTGGCATCGGCGCTGAGGCCGAGCCAGGACTCGAGCTGGGAGAGGGAGACCTCGCGGAAGGCCTGGGAGACCTGGCCGGCGATGTTTGCGCGGATGAGGTCCTCGAAGCCGGAGATGTCGGCGATGAGGTCTGCGCAGAGGTCGTCGCCGTCGATGGTGTTCCAGAAGCGGGCGTACTGGGCGCCCTCGAGCTGGGAGTTGAGGGTGCGCAGCTTGGTGACGGCCTCGTGGAGCTCGCCCTGGGCGGCAGCGGAGGCGTTGATGAGGTGGAGGGCCAGAGTGAACTGGGGGGAGGGGAACTGGGTCATGGCCTTGACGAGGATGTTGGTGACGACCTCGTCCTTGATACGGTCGGGGTTGAGCTGGTACCTGTTGGCGGAGAGAAGAGAGACTTTGTTAGCCGATGGTCGTATTCGAAACAGTGCTGATGAAGATGAAGGTTGTTTTCCGGTGTTCGTTCAGGTATCACCACGGTTTGACTTCATTTGCGACGTTTGGTCGGTTCATGACGGAAGCCGGACCGGCGCAATGTCAGGTAATAGGAAACGTTTATGGTCATCATGTAAACCGGCGCAAGACCAACAAGATTGGGCAAGAGTAGAAGAGACTTGGTTGTTTCGGTTCGGAGGCGAAAGGGGGCCAACGACGACGAGGACAGGAGAAGGGAGCAGACTCACAGCTTCAGGAGTGTGCGGTTGGCATTGCAGTCGCTGGTCTTCTGCTCGCACTGCTCCTGGAGGTACGCCTCAAGGGTGACGACGGCCTCGGGGTTGTAACGCTCGAGGCCATTGATGATGTTGACAATGTAGTCGGGCCGCTCGGGCGGATCTTCGCCGTTCAACATGGCTGCTGGTTCTGAAGGGGGGGAGATGTGGTTGTGGTGGGCGGGGGGTATCACGGGGGTGTGAGGTGTAGGTCGAGGTCGGATTCGAGGTTCGTTCACGACGTGGAGGGGGGGCGGGCTTCGTGAGAGAAAACCGCCTTGGTGGGGCTGCACTCTTTTTCGCTGTGGTTTGGCTGGCCACACACACGCGCGCGCACACAGCAGCGGCAGGGAAAGATTTCTCAAGTTGTGTGAAAGTCGCTTGATGGAAGGGGCTTAGCGCCGGCGACGGAAAAGGGGTACCGCCGGTGTCCTCAACTCTGGAGACCCACTTGTACCTGATGACTAAGACGCCTTTCGGGAGCTTGGGCCTTCTGTGTTTGGATGGCTGGTGCAGCGTCATTGACTGAGGCGCTGGGCGTGCAGGGGACGAGGACGGAGCTGCTGTAAATGCCGACCCCAAAGTGACTTGTTTATCGACATGAAGTAACGCCGTTTCTGATTCTTTATTCACTCAAGACCTTATCCGAGCCACGTCATTCGTTATTTCAAACGGTATGATTTTTGCAACGGCTTTTCCCTGTTGATACCGCCGCCATGCCCAGCCCATCCAAGAAGCGGAAGCTCAACGACCAATCCTCATCCGGAGTGCCGTCGAGGGGACTGGAGTACTTCTTTTCAAAACAGAGGCAGAATGGAAGCATCACGCCCAAAGAAACGCCAAAAGATGCACCAGAGGCCACGCCGAATAATCACGCAGTGAATGGTGAGAATTCGGAGTTGACGGACGAGGAGCTTGCACGGAAATTGCAAGCCGAGTGGGATGCCGAAGTCCAGAATGAGAGAGCTGCCTCAACGCCATGTCCTGAGCCTGCAAAAGAGTCTACTCCAGTAGAGGTATCTAAAGCTCAGGAAGTACCATCAGCTGTCGCCGAACCGTCCAAGCCAGCTGTCGTGCTACCGCAGGCGCCCAAGAAGAACACTCTGTCACTGACTTCGGTGGCCAACGCGGAAGACACCGCATCAGCGACGATTCCCCTAGATCAAAGTCCACTGACGTTTGACCCATCAGAGTTTGCCCCTCAGCTCAAGGAGCAGTGGGCATTTGAAGGAGGCCATGCATCTTACGCATTCCTGACAAGATGCTTCGTGTTAGTGAACGGCACGCAAAGCCGGATTAAGATCGTCGACACCTTGGTCAACTCCATCCGGGTTCTGATCGAAGCAGATCCAGACAGTCTTCTACCCGCGGTTTGGCTAGCGACAAATGCCATTTCACCTCCCTATATCTCCTTGGAATTGGGTCTGGGTGGGTCGGCGATATCTAAGGCACTGAAGCAGGTATGCGGCTTAGACGGTCGGGCCTTGAAGACAATATACGACAGGTATGGCGACGCGGGCGATGTGGCATTTGAGGCGAAGAAGAAACAGAGCTTCACACTGCGTAAGCCGAAGCCGTTAACAATCCAGGCTGTTTACCAGTCCTTGGTTAAGATCGCAAATAGTCAAGGGCAGGGCAGTGGTGAGGCCAAGCAGAGAATCGTTGATCGATTGCTTCAAGATGCGCGAGGCGGAGAAGAGAGCAGATACATTGTGCGGACTCTGTGCCAGCATGTGAGTAAAGCCTCTCTTCACAGACGTCCCCAAAACTGACACGACCCTCAGCTACGAATTGGCGCTGTGAAGACGACTATGCTGATCGCCCTTTCAAGAGCTTTCCTACTCTCGCGTCCGGCAGGAGCAGAATTTCCTCTGCGGTCTGCGAAAGACTTGCAGAAACTGAAAAAGGATGAGTTGGCCGAGGTATGGAGCAAGGCAGAAGAAATCGTCAAGGCATGCTTTGCGCGGCGGCCGAATTACAACGACCTCGTCCCGGTTTTGCTAGAGATTGGCGTCTGCGACGAGCTTCTGATCCGCTGCGGCCTGACACTGCACATTCCTTTACGACCCATGTTGGGCAGCATCACAAGAGACCTCTCGGAAATGCTCACCAAGCTGCAAGGGAGAGACTTCGCATGCGAGTTCAAGTATGATGGCCAGCGCGCACAGATCCACTGCGATGAGAAGGGAAAGGTCACTATCTTTTCGCGGCACCTAGAACTCATGACCGACAAATACCCCGACTTGGTCGCGTTGATGCCCAAGATCCGCGGCGAAGGGGTAGACAGCTTCATCATGGAGGGTGAAGTTGTGGCGGTGGATAGAGAAACCGGAGACTTGAAGAACTTCCAGACACTCACGAACCGCGCTCGCAAAGATGTCGCGATTGGAAGCATCCAGGTCGACGTGTGCATGTTCGCGTTCGACCTCATGTTCCTAAACGGGCAGCCCCTGCTGGACAGACCGTTCCGAGAGAGGAGAGAGCTTCTCCGCTCCATGTTCATCGAGGTTCCACACCAGTTCACTTGGGTCAAGAATCTGGATGCCACATCGCAGGATTCCGATGCCGTCCTGGATTTCTTCAAACAAGCGACAGACATCAAATGCGAGGGCATCATGGTCAAGATCCTGGATAACCTGACAGACATCCCGTATCAAGGCGACGACACTGCCGAAGCCGACGGAGAGACAGTCGAAGAAACCAAAGCGCCCTCCAAAACGAAGCGAGGGAAGGGCACCAAGGACGAAGAAGCCCCCAAGAAAAAGGGCCGTCGCAAGCCTTTACTCGCAACGTACGAGCCCGACAAGCGCCTCGACTCGTGGCTCAAGGTCAAGAAGGACTACAGCTCGAGCTTCGACACCCTCGACATGATCCCCGTCGCGGGCTGGCACGGCCAAGGGCGCAAGGCCAAGTGGTGGTCGCCCATCCTCATGGCCGTGCGCAACGAGGACACGGGGTGCCTCGAGGTGGTGTGCAAGTGCATGTCAGGCTTCACGGACGCATTCTACAAGGCGAACCGGGACTTTTACGATGATGGCGAGGCGACGGGGGAGGGGCGCAACACTCGGGGGCAGAAGCCTGCGTTCGTGGAGTACTCTGGCCCGGAGCCGGATGTGTGGTTCGAGCCGCAGGAGGTATGGGAGATGGCGTTTGCGGATGTGACGTTGAGCCCGACGTACACGGCTGCTATTGGGCTGGTGAGCGAGGACCGCGGGCTGAGTCTGCGGTTTCCGAGGTTTTTGAAGAAGAGGGAGGATAAGGGGCTCGAGGAGGCGAGCACGAATGAGTTTCTGGCTGGGTTGTGGAGGAAGCAGGAGGCGAAGGCGCCAGTGAAGGAGGGTACCGCGGCGGGAGATGAAGATGAGGAACGAAGAAGTTATTGGGCGATATTGTAAGCATTTGAAGTCGAAGATACCAATATCAGATATGTCAAAGACGAAAGACGGTTATGGGAGGGGATCGTCGGAGCTGGCTTGTCGACTTCCGAGTGTTCGGAGATAACTCGTTGTACCTCCCACACTAGCCTGCAATCAATCATCGCTTGATCACACCCACCCAGAAGTTTAGCCAAGATCATTTGGGCAAAAAGATGACGCAGGTCTTCTGCCCGCGTGGAGCTTCCTGAAAGGGACCTGATTGCCGGACGTGTTGACGGATAAAACGATGGCCATGGGAATGGATATGCAGCCGCCCGTTTATTTGGAGACAACACCCATCCCACCTGAGCCGACCACCAATATGACGACCGCCGACGGAGAGCAGATCCAGCCGGAGACGTACTTTGTGAAGCGCACGGAACACTGTCCCAATAGCGATTTTCCTGTGCTAGTGTATCGTGGAGTGTTGGGCACTGGCGACGAGCTGGATGAGGATGAGGTATCAGAGAAGTTGCAGCAGTACGGATGGGTGAAGAAAGTCGGTCATCTAGATCTTCTACTTATCTACCATCAACTGACGAGGTGTTTGTTTGGCGTAGGGGACTTGGGGAACGATCACGTTGAAACATTTCCATCCCAACACTCACGAATGTTACGGTAGCCATTCATCATTCTCTCTAGACACATTCAAGGTCTCTCTCACTGAGTTACATCCAGGCATCTTCCAGGGCCGTTCTGAGCTCGTCTTCGGCGAGGGCGGCTCTGATCCCGCCGGCAGCGGCGTGCGGTGCTGGGTGCGACCCGGCGATGTTGTTGTCGTTCCGGCCGGTGTGGCGCATGCTTCCGTCGCTGATGAGAAGGCGGCACCGGGGGAGAAGGAGTATCGATATGTTGGAGTGTATCCTGAGGAATCTCCGCAGTGGCGGAGTGAGATGGGGAGGAAACCGTTACAGGAGAAGCAGGGTCTAGTCGAGGAGGTCGAAGGGGTGGGTTTACCGAGGATGGATCCTTTGTATGGAGTCGATGGGCCGTTGATAAAGATATGGAAGGCTGCGAGGGGTTAAGATTTGAATCGTACATTGTCTAGCTTCAATTTGGAAAGCGGGATTCATGTTCGGCATTGAACCCTTTTCTGATTGTTGGGTTTACGAGACATGATTTCTGACGAATAATTTACTTCAAGGGAAGAATAATTCTGACCAAGATCAAGTGTTCTGGTTGCCATGTTGGGGTCGAAACTATGCCCGTGAATGGGAAACAAACGTGGTATGCGTCGGCGCTTCATGTCCGTAGACCTGAAAGGCTTAGAATGCATTCGGATGCTTGAGTAATTAAAGTAGTCATTATTCATGCTGCTTTCCACAGCTCATAACTTCATGCTGCGAATAGTCCTTGTGAGCGGCGACTTTGAACAAACCCTTGTGGTTTGTTCAAAGCAAACAGTCTACACGGCTGTCTTATGATCCGACCTTTGGCCGTCATTCAGTCAGGTCGGCCAGCTGCCGCCATTGCAGGCCTGCATCGCCAGGTGCTAGAAAAGCTCCTGCCGATCCGAACGTGAGATCGGAGATGCCAAGAGCTGTTCGTGCAAAAGATGACCAGAGTTGATCCTGATGGATCGTCGACTCTGAGTGTGTCGGTGCCGTTCTCGCTGGACGTTGCAGGGGTGATTGCACTCAAGCCCATACGTCCATCGGGTGCAAACGCCAACGCCAAGACCCTCGGCATGTCGTTCCTTAATATGAGAACGTCTTGTAGCTTCAGCTATTCTCACTTGGTTGCGTTCATTCTCTGAGCTATCAGACTGAAGATTGCAACCGAGCTCATGAAGAGCACGGCGTTGTAGAACTGTAAACAGAGTGTGAGCAGAGTACCGCCACATCTTCTTGTCGTTGAACTTACCGCTTTCCTCGATACTTCTCGTTCTTCATCATCGGATCTTGCCTCGATGAAGAGACGACGAAGATTGGGTAACGTTGCCTTGACGACCTTTGTTAGAAATACAACAGTCAAGAGCTTCGAGGCTGTAACTTACCATGGTGATCCTGGTTGTTTACTTTGAGGTGAAGAGGGGTTATGATTATCGGGTCAACGAAGCCGCCAGATCGAGATTAAGATCTATAGATTGCTTGCTATTCACAAATAGTGTGATTTCTCTCTTGAGTATCAGAAAATAATCGAGACTCTGGTGATGAGAAAGTGCGGGAGGGACTGATGTAAGAGCACCAAGAAAGCAGGTACCTTGGTATCTCTGACGACGAGCGACCCGATACATGCATGCAGCTAAAGTGGGGGTTTCCAGGGGTGAGGTCCATTCACTTAGCGGGAAGGCGGCGCCTCAGCCAGGCATTGCCAGACTGCCAGGCTGGCCAGGCCGGGATTAAGGTTACGCTTGCCTGCGCAGTAGGGGGGCATTCCACTGACAGGTACTTCTTCGACCACCTCATCTTCTTGGCGAATTCCGACTAGGTGCACTCGCTGCATCTCCCGAAAACATTGACGACACAAAGAAAGCACCCGCCTGTCACATCGCCGACGGTTTCGTGTCGGATGAGCTTGTCCAGGTCCTGATCGGACTGGCCACCTCTCCCACTCCCCCGACCCGCTCCTGACGCGAGTTCACCGTTCCATCTTCCGTCCTACCACCGCACCCATCGAGCCCCTCGACGACACGCAACACACCCAGCACCATGGCGGTCAATCGCATTCGTGGGGCCTTTGCTCCCCCGAGGAAGGGAGAGACTTTCGAGCTGCGAGCAGGTCTTGTCTCTCAGTATGCTTACGAGCGCAAGGAGTCCATTCAGAAGACCATCATGGCAATGACGTTGGGCAAGGATGTCTCAGCTTTGTTCCCCGACGTTCTGAAGAACATTGCGACTGGAGATCTGGACCAGAAGAAGCTCGTCTATCTATACCTCATGTGAGTTTCCGCAGGGTCGGTCGCTATCACCAGCGACGACTGTGTCAAAGCAAGTTGCTGACAGGGGCCAAAGGAACTACGCAAAGTCGCACCCCGACCTCTGCATTCTTGCCGTCAATACCTTCGTTCAGGATTCCGAAGACCCAAATCCACTTATCCGTGCATTAGCGATCCGAACGATGGGATGTATCAGAGTCGATAAGATGGTGGATTACATGGAGGAACCGCTGCGGAAAACGCTACGAGACGAGTCGCCCTACGTTCGCAAGACAGCCGCCATTTGTGTAGCGAAGCTTTTCGACTTGAATCCGACCATGTGTATAGAAAACGGCTTTTTGGAGTCCTTGCAGGAGCTCATCGGCGACCCGAACCCCATGGTCGTCGCAAACTCGGTTCAGGCCCTCTCAGAAATCACCGAAACCGCCCCAGAGACGAGAGCCCTCGTGGTGACCCCAGCAACGCTCAAGAAGCTCTTGATGGCTCTGAATGAGTGCACAGAATGGGGACGCGTCACGATCTTGACCACGCTGGCCGATTACCCCGCGGTGGACGTTAAGGAGTCCGAGCACATTTGCGAGAGAGTAGCACCCCAGTTCCAGCACGTCAACCCTAGTGTCGTTTTGGCTGCTGTCAAGGTCGTCTTTATCCACATGAAGGCGATCAACCCCGAGCTGGTGCGGGCGTATCTCAAGAAGATGGCGCCTCCCCTGGTTACGCTTGTCGCCTCCGCTCCCGAAGTTCAGTACGTCGCTCTGCGCAACATCGATCTCCTTCTCCAGGCCAAGCCCGACATTCTTAGCAAGGAGCTGCGTGTTTTCTTTTGTAAATACAACGACCCCCCCTATGTCAAGCTTCAGAAGCTTGAGATTATGGTCCGGATAGCCAACGACAAGAACTTTGATCAGCTTCTCGCAGAGTTGAAGGAGTATGCGTTGGAAGTCGACATGGACTTTGTTAAGCGCGCAGTCAAGGCGATTGGACAGGTCGCGATCAAGATTGAGAGCGCCAGCCAGAAATGCGTCAATGCGCTGCTGGATCTGATTGCCACCAAGGTCAACTATGTTGTGCAAGAGGTCGTGGTTGTCATTAAGGATATTCTGCGTAAATATCCCGGCTACGAAGGCGTCATTCCTACGCTATGCCAGCACATTGATGAACTCGACGAGCCTACCGCGAGGGGATCGCTTATCTGGATCGTCGGTGAGTATGCGGAGAAGATTAACAATGCGGATGAGATTCTTGAGAGCTTCGTAGACGGCTTCATGGAGGAATTCACACAGGTTTGTCCTTCTTCCCTCTACATGTTGATTCCAGCGCTAACTACAGAAGACCCAACTTCAAATTCTCACAGCAGTTGTCAAGCTCTTCTTGAAGAAGCCTGGCAATACACAAGGCCTTGTACAGAAGGTATTGCAATCGGCGACGACCGATAACGACAATCCCGATATCCGCGACAGAGCTTATGTCTACTGGCGTCTGTTGTCGGGTGACTTGGACGTCGCCAAGAACATCATTCTCTCACAAAAGCCTGCCATCTCCACAACAATGACCAGTCTTCCCCCTGCCCTCTTGGAGCAGCTGCTGGCTGAGCTTTCCACTCTTGCATCTGTATACCACAAGCCACCGGAATCATTCGTCGGCAAGGGTCGTTTCGGAGCGGACGAGATCCAGCGGGCGGCCATCCGCGAACAACGGCAGGAGGCAGCCGAGAACCCTATCGCCGCGTCGGTGGCGGCAGCTGCCAACGGCAACCCTCCGCCACAAAACAACATCGAAAACCTGCTCGACATCGACTTCGACGGTGCTGCTCCTGCGTCTGCTGAGCAGAACAGCAATGTCAACACTCCAGACAGAGTTGCCAGCCCCTCAGGTGGCGCGCCATCAAGTGCTATGGCTGATATGATGGGTCTGTTCGACGCCCCGCCGCCGCAGCAGCAACAAGCAGCTGCGAACCCCATGAGCCCTGGAGCAGCAGGAGGTGGCGGCATGAACGACTTGATGAATGGGTTCTCCGGCCTTGACTTTGGCAACACGGGATCAGGCCAGCCCCTGCCGGCGGCCATGCAGTTGAACCAGACCCAGAACCCACCCGCACAACCAAGTGAAGGCAACGGAAAGAAGACGAATGAAGACTTGCTGGGGTTGTTTTAGATGTAGGACTAATGGGGGCTGTTTCGTCCGGAGTCCAGGCATGCTGTTTGGAGCAGCAAGTTTCAAATAGGTTGATATATGACAAAGAACGAAGCCACGAAAAAGCCTGCTTCCTTTTTTCAACTTTTCATTGACATTTCCCGCAAACCAAAACGTATATACTCGAAAAAATGGGTGTCTTGGTCCAAACACCTATCGCGCCGTCCGAGAGATCCTGATGATGTCCACCGTTTCATGATATCCGAACCTCGTGCCGCATCGTCAAATATGCCATGTTTCTTCCCCACAACCCGTAGACCGTGGAGAAGTGAAGGAAGGGGCTGGGTATGTATTTTAAGAAAAACGTTCCTCCTTTTCCCATTACTGCGCAACGCCCTCCACCCGTCCGCCGACCGTGCCGTCCAGAGGGGGACCATCGGCGGCGGCGGCGGCGCGGTCGCGCTCCCACTCGGCGGGGGTCTGGCACTTTGCGCTCCAGGCGTGGATGCGGGCGATCTCGTCCTTGAGGGCGGCGTTGACGAGGCGGTGGCGCTTGAGGGACGTTTGCTTCTCGAAGGCGGGGGAGACGATTAGCGAGGTGAAGGATTGGCCGCAGCCGCCTGTGTGAGGAGAGAGAGAAGAGGTCAGCTGTTGCGTGGCAGGTCATGTTGGGAGGAGGTTGCGCGGATCGCGGAAGCGGCACCGGCGCCGGCGGGGTATGACGTTTTGGGTATCGTGGGAGGGTGGAGGGGGGGTGGTTTCGCGTACCGGACATGTCTGTGACTTCGACGTGGACGGCCTGCAGGCGCTGGGCGAGGGCGTCGCGGAGGGAGGACTCCGTTATTTGGTCGGCCATTGTTTCCTTTTGACGGAGAGTGATTGTTGCGACTGCTTGGAGCGAAAAGGGAAGGAGGAGGGAGGAGTGAGGCGCCGACGATGGGTTGGGTTGGGTTGGGGGGAAGGAGAGGGAATGGTTGTCGAAAACGTGAGGTGCTGGGGATGTTTCGGTGATTAGATTGATAAGATGGTGGGGTTTTCCTATCGGGCGCTGGACTGAGGTGCAGCTGTGAGTGCTGTCAGCGCCTGGCCTGTCGGGTGGGTTCCACTGCGGCGGTCTGGCTCGGTGGCTTGGGCCGTGCGGGTTGGATTTGGGGGTACGTATCTTCGGTGTTGCCCCGAGATGTTTTCTCGTGACAGGGGTGTGCTTTGTTTGCACGACATCTGATGCTTGGGAAGTTAATATTGCTGCGTTGGATATTATTTCATGGCTGTGTGTATTTGCGGAAGGTGCTACTTCACCTTGAGCAACAGTCCTCAAAGCCATGGACGGCTCCAGTTCTCCCAACCGCTCCGAACGCCTATATCAGGGTACGGGACCCGAGATGATCACCTTGAAGTCTTCGCTTCAGAAGGTCTCTTCGAGCGTCGTCTTTCGCTGAGGATGGAGACCTTTGGCTCGCATTCACGTCTGGTTCGGCTCTCCAGCATGGTTCATCATGACTTGTTCAAATGTTTGCGTTCTTGAAGAAGACGCTTCTTCGCCTGGACGGTGTAAGCGACACCCGTCCCGATGCCATTGATGGAGATTGGCCGTGGCCGTGATCAAAGTATGAAAGACCGCGGCAAGGTTGTAATCTCATTGGTTTGATGTGTAAATACACTCAACAGACTTTCCTTGAAGAGAAAAACGAGAACACTGGAGATCGAACCGGAAGGCAGAAAAGCAAGAGGCAAGCTCCTTCCCCAACCTTGAAGGCCTCGAGGCCGACGCGATCGAAGGCAGGTGCCTGTGAATGGCCACATCCAAACTTTTCGCTCATCCTGGCCAAGGCTACACAAAGTACAGTCTTGGCCAAGAAGCACCTGACAACCAAGCCCTTCCAGTCAGGTAATTCGTAACACTGCATCCAAGCTTAGTTAGACCCATGGGTTGGGGATGCAGCCATCCAGTAGCCTGCCACATCTGCACAGCACAGCATTAAGCAACAACAGCACTACATAAGGGTGCTGCGGCTACTGTTCGATCTTCCTTGAAATATCCTGTAGATCTACTGGCAATTGACTGATCCAAGCAACCGGTTCTTTGCATGCAAGCGAATTGGACCAGCGCCGATCTCTCATTTCCTTCACCGGGAGAGGCATAAACCTGACTGACCATCGACGAAACTTGACGGGTGAGAGAGACAATATCCACCACAGACAATCCAAGTGCCTCTTCTTATTGGTTCCGAAGTTGTATGATGTAATCAAGACAGAACATCTAGCAGATACGACCATTCAAGCATTGGTACTTGTGTGCCTTGCTTTGTGCAGCTGTTTGATGTGATTCTAAATCCAGAAAATCCTGTGAAGTATTGAGGATCCTGAACAAGCATCTTCATCTTGTCTAAGGTGACAGCCCGGAAAGCAGACAGATGTGTGGAGACTTCCAGTAGGTGTGTAGATAGTACTGAAGGAGAGAGAGAATGCTCAACCAGAGACTGTGGACTCTGAAACCAGCGTCCAGCGAAGATCCGGAGCATAGCTCTCCTGCCTTCCCTCGCCCTCACAGACCCGCCCTGCTGTCTTCTCGAAATAACATCACATGAGCGCTGCTCGGCCGACAAATTTACGAAGGGCCTTGAAGGGTCGAGCAATCCGCAAAAAGATCCCTTATATTGTTCCCCAAGCGTTTTCAAGATCACCCGTAACTCCCTCGCCCCGAACCTGACGCGCAGCGAAGCGTAGCGGAAGGAGCTACGCTTAGGGAAATAGGCTGGAAGATGCCGGTCATTCAGTGCGTGTACATCCGTCTGGTCTCTTGATCAGGGTCCAGAATGTGACAGGAGGGCTTCGCAACGGCAAGCGCCGCCAAAGGGCCAGAGGCAACCGTTCCGGTACGCGGAGAGCTGCTTCTGGTTCTTTCCGCATTTTCATCTGAGTGGTGCGTTGGCAAAGACTTGCAGGCGCAGTGGAGAGAACATGCTAGGTTCAGGGCCCGCATCAACGGAAATGCGAGTCTCAAAGCCACGACGTCCTTCCACCACTGGATGGAGCGTCACAGCAAACAGTCGAACAGGGGTTTCGGCCACCAGCCCTGAGAATGATAACCCAACATTCACCATGTCCAGGACGGTGCCGTTCCCCTTCTCCCGAACCTTTTTGCAGTCTTCGTGGCATCGGTTTTGACCTCATCAACCAGCCTGACAATACTGTTCATTCTCACGACACCGTCCACTCTGACGACGCCGCCCATTCTCACAACGTCACCCCTACTCTCTCCTCGTCATCTTCCGCCAGCTCTCTCCATGGAGAACGATGCGTTTGCAGGGGCCCTCAACCCTGGCCGTCCAGAGTACAAGTACACGGATCGTGAAGGCGGTTGTTCGAAGATCAGTGAGGAGTTCGACAACTTCCACCTGCCGTTAGATGGCCAAGTCGAGTGGGAGGAATCAGAGAAGCTGATCAAAGAGGGTGTCGACCTGATCAGAAGCATCCAAGACGGCAAATACGCCCTAAAGAACCACGAATTGGTAGACCCTTCAACTGTTCGGCTCTTTCCTGCGGTGAAAGCCAACACCAGCCATCTGCCCGGCACCGAGGAGGACGCAATCAAGGTTGACGTCCGGCATTGGACTAATGCAGTGGACGAGATCATCCGGGCATCAGAGTCCCAGCTGCCCAAGAAGGTGTCGTGGTGGCTGAGCGAGTCCTCAGGCAGTGTGGCCGGAGTTAACAAGGCCAACACAGCGACAACGACACAGATTGCCATAGACAGCATCTTGTTGGCTATTCGCAACGTCATGGCAACCCAGCAGGACGGAAACTACAGCACCCCTGGCACTAGGCGGGCATCCACCGCCCGTAGCCGGCGTTCTTCGGCGGCGTCTTACCGCAACCGCTCGCCAATTCGCATGACTACAAGTCGCGGCAGCCCGAGCGCAGCCGGCGGTGGACGCGACGGTGGAGGTAGCCGATCCCGCGGTACGCGTGATCGTGAGCGGTCAGCTTGATAACCTTCGGAAGTGGGCCAAACGCGAGCCCGTAGAACCGCCAAAGCGAGGTCGCGGCCAATCTTCCAAGTTTCCATCGGTCGGCGATAACCCCAACATCACGGGAATTCGCAAAAACGCTCGTCAGGCAACTCCACTGAACGCTGGCAACTTGCACCTGCTGAAGCAGGGGTTCGGCTACATCTTTCAACACCGTATCCGATGTGTTGAGCTCACAGACAGCATTGGCTCAGTCTTCCTCGAGGCCCTAGGCCTCAAGATAGACGAGTTTACAACTTCGCCGGAGCTCTTCCGGCAGGCTCTCAAGTCTGGACCCATTGGAGCAGGCAAGCTGCGCGTCACTGCCATAGAACAGCATCAGCGCGAGCATATCATTGCGGCACGTGTCGCCTTCCGCGACAGGGCTCGACGTGGCGTGCCTGACAACATTGTCAGCGAGGGGCCCCAGCCCCGCCCTGCGGACCACTATAGGAAGCATGAATTCACGGATGATGAGATTCCGCAAATGGAGGAGTTGATGTACGGCGTGTGGCTGAGCCCGAAGAGGAAGAAACGGAGCGTCTCTCGTGAGGAGTAAACTAGGATCAGCTTCGTTCTTGGGGAGGAGTTGATAGGAACAGTATTGCGGACAGTAGAGAGGACAGTATTGCGGACAGTAGAGAGGACAGTAGGGAGGACAGTAGGGAGGACAGTGGAGAGGACAACAGAAGGAGAGAAGAGCAGACGGGTTTACATGTTACTCATAGAGCAGACCGCGAGGCCTCCCTGGTCGTTGCTGAATTTTTACCTTTCACTTGGCTCAGCGTTCAGATACCCTCTACTTTCTCCATCGTGATAGGCGTGATGCTGCGAAGAGGATTGCGATGGTTCCATTCCAATGTCATCCATGGAGGCGCACCGGCTCGGTGTGGGGCCGAGATCAGCTCCGAGTACACCTTTTCAGCAGGGCTAAAATCTCCTCCGCTGAGTGCCTGCATGAGGGCAGATGAGACTAGGTTGCCTCTTTCTCAAGTCTAGGTTAAGGCACTAAATGAGTTCAAGTGATTGATCCTTAGCTTGGTAACTCGGAATATCTCAGGTCAAAACCCTTGCATTGGGGGACGGCCTCGATTTCTGGGAATGACCTGCTTGCCAACTCGCTCGCCTCACAAACGAAACTTGGCAGGGCCAAAAGGGAAGGAAAGATTGACGATGGGAAAGTGATGCACCGTCTGCCTTTTGGCCCGTGTTAGCAAATCCAGACGGGTCCCAGGTTCAAAGTCCCCGCCACGTCGGCAGTTGTTCGGGGGACGTTGCAGTGAATGTGGCTTGGGGTCACATGCGGCAGTGGCACAGCACCGTGCCTATCGATAGAGAGATAAGATAAGACAGACGGGTCGCGATAACATAGAGGGAGGGGCCGTCAACAAGCGCGCTCTCAGAAGTCGGCCGACGGACCTAGACGCGTGCCGATCTAAATTGTACGGCCAGATTAGCATCGCGACCGGGCTGTCACCTCTCACAACGACCCCCGCCTCCGGCCGCTGACAGACGACTCCCTCCGGCGGGGAAAACAACAGCGTGTCTCTGAACTTTCGGTCAACGGCGAATAACAAAAAGGGGGGGCTACTGCGGCCATGGAGGAAGCGCACCGCAAAATCGAGCTGCAGTCCAACGAGGACCTGGCATACCTGCTCGACAACGTGCGCCGCGCCGCGCAGGACCAACTCGACAAGGCCTTCCCCCAGATCGAAGGGAGCAGCGCGCAGGAGGACGAGCTGAGGGCGCCCATCGAGCGTCTCGTCAACGAGGTAAGGGCCCAACTCCACCAAACACAAAAAACCACAGCAAATCCAGACGGAAAAGACACTAACCTTCTCCCACGAAAAACAGTACATCAACAAGACATTCACCTACGCCGCCCCGAACCTCTCCATAAACGGCCTCGACGCCGACCCCGCCGTCTTCCTCTCCCCCAACCGCAACCCCGACGAGCCCGAGGAGGCCTACGAGCCCTGGGACGCGCGCCTGCGCCAGCGCGTCGAGGACCTCGCCCGCGAGGAGGAGGACCTCCTCAACGAGATCGCCGCCCTGAAGAAGAGCGTGCCCGGCGGCGTCGCGGCCGCCATCACCCAGGACTTCAAGACGTCGACCGCGGCAGACGAGGCGGCGGTCGAGGCAGCCAAGAAGGCACGCGAGGACGAGCTGAAGGCGAGGGATGCGGAGGTGCTGCCGCTGGACGAGGTGGAGAGGCAGGGCGAGACGAAGGCGGCGTTCGGGGGCGCGGTGGAGACGCTGGGCAAGCTGAAGAAGGATATGCCTGCGACCGTGGCCAAGATGGAGAGGGCGAGGGTCGCCGGCGAGTATACCGTCACGGAAAGATCGTAGGGCGGTTGGGTTCAGGAGTTTTCGGCGTTGGGTTATACCACATGAAGTCTGCCGACGCGTTTCTACGCGTTAATCGTCAAAATCTCACTTCTATCTATGTTGGATCTGGTTGTCACGAAATATGCTAATTCACGACGAGAAGTTAAAGTGAAAGCGATAGTATGTATATTGTAGATAAGGTAACATTTCAGCCAAGGCCAACGCGTGTATGAGCGACTCTACAACAGAAGCTCTTATTTTTAACCATCCCCAAGCCCGCTCCAATTTCATCAACTCTCATGCAACAAGCCTCGCCAACGCCTCATCTTTGACTGGTGTCGTCCAGTATCAATAGCGCCTGGCCCCCAAAACAACAATCTCCCCGAGCTTCGACTCAAGCATGGCAATCTATCAGGAGACGCTTATGCCGCAGCAGGGGCCTTGGCGGGGTCGGCAGCACCGTCAGTGGTGACGGCGGTGCCGGCGGGGGGCGCGCCGCCAGCGGGGGCGGTGACGGTCTCGCCGCCCTTGTTCTCGATGACGTCGCCAGCGGCCTTGGGCTTGGCCCACCAGGGCTCGTTCGTGAACTCCTTCTCTTGCCACGGGCCGGCGTCGCTCCACTCGCAGCCGCCCTGACACTCGCACTTACCACCCAAAGACTTGGGCAGGTTCTCGGGCGGGATCTGGTTGAGGAGCTCCTTCTGGTAGCCACCGCCGAGGATGTTGATCTTGGAGACGGTGACGGGGTCGAGCCAGCCCTTGATAACACTCCAGGCGGTGGAGAATCCCCAGGGAGCGTTGATGATGTAGAGCTTTCCGAGACGCTCGGGGTAGTAGTTCTGGGAGATGACGGAGGCCTTCTTGACGTAGTCGTAGACCTGGGGCAGGCGAGTGATGGGGACTCCCTTCATGTCCATGATTGTGCAGCAGGTCTCGACAAGGTGGTTGTACTTGCGGGAGCAGGCGGGGAAGCGGGGGTCGGCGCACTTCTCGTACTCGACAGCAAGGTTGGTCAACATGCGCTCGGCCGTGGTGATCTTGTACATGGCGGTCAAGTCGATGCCACCGTAGTGCTCGATGTAGACGGGACGGCCATCCTGTTGTGATCGTTAGCGAATCTTGCCTATGGACCAAAGGTGTTTCTCAATTCGAACCTTGTCGGTCTTGTGGTAGTACTGGGGGTAGTACTTGAAGATGTCGGCCTTCTCGGGGTAGTCCCAGCCGGCAATGGTGTCGTCCAGGTTGGTCGTTTTACGCCAGGTCTCGAACTCGACGAACCTGGAAACGGAAGGTTAGTCGACGGTCTTGTGAATCGTGGAAACACGGCGGGCAAGCTCACATCTGCTTGGAGAGGTTGACATCGAACTTGCGGGCGCGCAGGAAACGCAGCTGTGTATGCCATGTTAGCCGGGACTGGACACGCAATCCTTATCTTGCGGTCTAGCTTCCGGGAAGTCGTACCAGAGTCAGGGTATCGAGACGCTTAGAGTAGCCCTCAGACTCGAGCATCAGACGCAGCTGGGCGACCTGAGCCTTCTGCTCCTCGGTGAGGTGGCCAGGGTGACCGGGCTGGGCCGTCGGGGCGACAGTCGGGTAGTCGAACTGGTCATACTTGGGGTCGAGTTCGGTTTGGGCCATGGTGGGGCTGTGTAAGGGTCTTCTTCACGAGGAAGAAGAACGGTGTAGAGGGAGGAGGTGGTTGTGGTTGAAGAGGGAATTTCCCAAAAAGGCGGGGTTGGAAGAAGAAGGGAGAGGCGGTGGTTTTGAATCAACACGACGGTCAGTCAGTTGTTGTTCCAAGGAAGAAGAGCACAGAGAGGGCGACCGGGATCGTAGGTGTTCAGGAGAGAAAAGACACTGGAGCTGGCCTGGCTGTGGGGAAGGAAGAGAGATCTCCTGCACAAGTGTAGGGGCGGCTTGAGAGGTTGAATTAAAGTGCACTTCGCTGGCCGTATGCCAAAATTCGTCATAGCGACCGGTCCCGCACGCTGTTGCCCCTGGTTGCCCCTCAAAATGGTACTAGCCAGCCTACACCGCACTTGCGCACCCGCATCTAATAGATACGAAGTACGTATGCTCTTTCCCATCAGCTCCATGAGCATCGCCCGCCACGACACTTACGTAACCCACTAAACCGCCGCCCACGCGCGGCCAGAGGCGCTGTAGATTGGTAGATTAGTGCATCTCGGCGAACGGCACCCAGCCCTGCCAGTTAACCTGGAACCCGGCCAGCCAGCGTGGTAGCATGCAGTGTTGCAGCACTGATTCGTTGGGCGACATGAGTCGAGCAACTCGAGTGGTGGCAGTGGCACGGAAAAAAGTGGCTGACTGGCTTAATTCCGGCCCTATGAGACATCGGATGGTTCTCAACGAGGTCGCTGTTGGGACGTGACATATGTCTGCTGGTGGGCGGTTCGCTGCGCTGGGACGATTCCGTCCGTGGTGTTGCACGGAACATTCTGTTAGGCTCAAGACACCATCGGCAGCCGGGGTCTTTCACAATCCGGACTATGTATTTGATGGCTAAGCCACGCTCATTAGGCCGGTTGCCCGTCATTTAACCCTGGGACTCGTTTGAGGCTCTCAATCTCCGGGACGGCATCATGACGAATCTTTTAGGGGTTGGAAAATCCGCACACGAGGCCTCCTGGCATTGCTGAAAAAATCATGAAATCTTTTAATTGGTATCAACTCTCCGACTAGCCACCGGCCTTGGTCTTGTCCTCGTCCTTTTCGGCGCCCTTTCCGTCTTCCTTGTCTTTGCGCTTCTGAACAACCTCCCAGTTGTAGACTCTCGCAATGGCAACTTCCATGGTCTGTTCTCTGTCAATGGCGGTGCCCTGGGCAGCTCAAGGGTCGTGAACGTACCGTAATCTGCTCTCTCAGGAAGTCCAAGTCCTCCTCGCAGTTTGATAGACTCAGTTTCGCCGTCGACAGCTTGGATTGCAGCAGCGTCTCGGCCTCGTCGATGGGGTACGACAGCATCACGTTGGCCTGGCTTCGATCAGCATCATCATTACGCCTTCTGTTCAGAGAAAACGCACGCCCAGCCAGATGTAGACCTCGTTCGTCGGCGGGATCTTCGCCTTGGAGTATAGAGTGTCGTTCAGCTCGAAAGTCGTCTCAATCGGTTCGTCCTCATCCTGCGCAGTGTCAATACCCCCTATCTTGTTGCCCTGCAATTGGTGACTCCGACCTGTCTGAGCTTCAAGAACTGCACGGAGTCGAGCGTCTTCTGGATGTCGGGAATCTTGTCCTTCAATCCAGCCATGCGCTTCTGAAGGTTCAGCTCCATGAACTGGTATTTCCTGCGCGCACACCAAGTGTTACCAAATTGTCCTGTCGTGTGCCCCTCTTTCGTCGTTTTGGTGTCCGTCCCGATTCGAAGTGCGGGCGGGCGCTCGCCTATCGCTGGGCGACTCACGAAATCATCTCCTGGAAGTTGCGCAGAGTGGGCTCGACATCTTCACGGGTCGTGACGTAGTCCTCGACCTTGTCGACGAACGGCGCCTTGGGGATTCCTCGAGGGTTGCTAGGCGTAGCATCCTTGCTGCATACAGAGAAAATCGGTCAGCTTCGTCGAAATGACTGAACATAAACTGGGGGCAATTACCTGGCCATCTCCGGCTTGTTTCCCTCTGCCGACATTGTAGAGATAAAGAGATGGTGCTTCAGCGCATCATCTGTTGGTTGGAAGGAGCTTGCGATTTTTCGCCAACGGTGTGGAGGGGAGCTGCAGTGACGGTCCGCTACTCACCCGATCTACGGTGGCCTGTTCACCGAGGTGAGGGGTACCTTCCCTGCCACCCAACTTGACTTGGCACGGGCGAATGGTGGGGTAGCTAGCTACCTTACACAGATGCCACACCGAGACACCGAGATGTAAATGGTCGCCTCAAACACTTCTATACGATTATCCTGTTCGTCAATGGGAATAGTGGTTTCAGATTTCTTGCAAGTGCGCGTTAGCTTCTTCAGCTGATTTAGCACCATGGTAAGTAATTAGACTTCGAATCATCAACCCACTGCCGTCTTCGTCGTCATCTACACGCGCATCGTTGTTTCAACTTGCATCGACTCTTATCTTTCACGGCCTCAAATATCATTAACCCATTTACAGCGCTGGAAGCCATCTCCCCATACCGCCTGGGAGCAACTCATAAGCTTATCCGAAGCAAAAAATAGTAAACAAAGGCAAGAGAAATGGTCATGTTCCGAAACCGAGAATCGAACTCGGGGCTATGCCTAACCTCGCATCGAAGATGAGAGGGCATCATGTTGGCCACTACACCATATCGGATTGAATTGTTGAAGACCTGTACCGTTGCGGAGACTTGTGTGTGGTGGAGCGGGGCCGCAAAGCCTGCACGATCCACGAGTGTCCCGCGATTAGGGCCAGGAGTGGAGGTGGCCGGATTGAAGTGTTCATTGGTCCCAAGATCTTTCGTTCATCATGATATTCTACAAAGCCTTTCATGCCGCCGTCGTATAGGTCTAATGCCCCCTTCTATTCCTTATTCTCAACCCTGCGCTGCAGAATGTGTCTCGCGTTCGCGGGGGTAAGCGTGTCGATGATCAGCTCTTCCAGCGTCTTCTTCGCCTCCGTGTTATCAGTGAACACCCTATCGCTCGCCTCCTTGAGCGACAGCCCTCCCTCGACAGGCTCGGTCGGCAGGTTGAGCAGTTTCAGTGCATCGACCAGACTAGTCATCGACGCGACGCCGTTGGGGATGTACCTCTCCACGAGGGCAAAGATGGCGTTCACGTCGCGGGTGAACTGCGCTGCACCGAACGCCGTGAAGCTAGCCCTCATAAGAACCTCGCCCCAGAGCAGATCCTGCAGTTTGTCGAGGGTGGAGCGCCATGTGCGGCGGAAGGCGGCGGTGCTGAGTGCCTTGACGAGGAAGTCGAGGTTGCGCTTCAGGATCCTCAGTGGCTCGTCCAGCTCAGGGGTGACGGCCAGTTGAGACGGGTCGACTGCGGCAATGTTAGTCCACGCTTCAGTGTTGGTATCACAGGTCCACTTACCCTCTGAGCCACTATCGCTAATGGTCGTCCACTGCGTTCTCGTCGCATAGGCCCTGAAGGTCTTGTAATGGGAGTCGGCAAGTGCGTTGACCAAGAAATCCTGCGCCGTCTTACGTCGCAGACTATACGCCGCAATCGTCTCGTCGAATAGGATGCCATCGTCCGTATCAGACCCGACGGCCGTGGACGTGCGATCCTTGACCTCTTCGTAGCTCATCTCGCCAGACATTCTGGAAGGCTCGCCATCTTTGGTCGCGCGTGATTGAAGCTGGTCCCACAGCGTGACGAAGAACTCCTCGTTGCTCCAGTCTTTGAGGGTGTTGACAACGTGATCGGCACTCCCGTAGACCTTGCATAGTGATTCGAGAGCGCCCGTACCTTCGAGAGCTGCGAGCTGTTCTTTCGTAACGCCGTGCAATGTCCTGCCGACGGTTGATGTGAGCGCTTGGTAGGCCTCGAGAGACCCGCGCAGGCGATCATGAAACTCGTCAAGGATGTCGAGCTGGATGCCGATCAAGAAGCGGATCTTGTGCTTGAACGTCCGGACTCTCTCGTACTGGGTCGTGATCGATCTCAGCAGGTCAGTAACCCGCACAGCGCCAAAGGTAGGCTTCGTCTTTCCGGTGCCAGTATAGTCGTAATCGATGTTGCGCGCGTCTGGTGTTGCCATGATGGCCTGGAAGCGTTCCATGGCGAATGCCTTCTCCGCCTGGAACCAGGGCTCGAACCACTCCTCCAGAACCTCGGACGCAAGACCAGGCCAGCCTTGTTCCGCATTTCCGCCGTCGTAGTTGAACTTAGAGCGGATGTTCTCATCAAAAGTCATAAGCTGGCCCATGAGACTGCTCAAGAATGTCGGGTTATTAGCAGCATCTGCGGTCGCGGCCTTGACCTTTTCCCTCATGACAGGGAGCATGCTCGTGATGAAGGCGCAAACTGGATCGACGTACACCAAGCTGTTTCCAGCAGGGGTATCGCGGAGCTTCGCAGCCAGAGTGAAGCCCAGGTTATCCCTAAAGAAGTCCTCCCACTTTTCAATGGTCGCCAGAAACCAAGGGAAGCAGTGCGTCCCTATCGCATCAGGCTTGCTTGTTGGTTTGTCGCTCATGAAGTGGAAGCGGAACTCTGATACGAAGATCTTGCTCATGACGTCAAACGGAAGAAGGCTGACGATTGACTTGTTCAGTATGACCTCGGGGATTTGCAGGTCGATCAGCTTCTCGAAGCATGCCAGCCATTCGTCGTCCATCTCAGATGTCGGATCAACCAAGGGCCACGACCTCTTGCTCAGTATAGCCTCTAGCTCGCCAGACATGATCTTCTTCATCTCGTCCCACAACTTGTCAGCGACGTTGCGAACATGGTTGACGAGGTGCACAGCAGCGTCGTCCGCCGGCCCAGATAGCTCCTCCAACCGCCTAGACAGCTGCTTCAGCTTCGAGTACGGCTCCAGCGCGGCCTTGGGGCTTTCGGGGAGATGCGACCGGGCTTCAGCCCTCAGCCTATCCACATCCTGCAGGAGTACCAGGTATTTTTGCGCCAGCTCAATCGTCTGCAGCTTCTTCATGGGCCTTTGCAGCCTGGCAATGGCCTGGTTCGGCGCATCAGATGCTGCGGCGATCTTGACACGGACGTCGATGCTGTGCTGCAGCTCCTGGAAGTCTTGTATACGCTGAGCGAGCGAGGACTGGCGATCGCCAGCGGTGCGGCGGGCTTCGTCGAGCTGTTTGACGGCGTTGTCGAGCTGGGACTGGAGCTGGCTGCGCTGGACCTCGACATTGGCGATCAGGGAGTCGAGGTTCTCGAGGTCGGTGGTGGATTGTAGCTTGTCGTCGAGGAAATCTTCGACTCGAATGTCTAGAGCGCCGCCCGTCTGGGCGCGCGCATCGGATATAGTTGCCATAGCGGGCTGGTCCGGTGTGGTGTTGCGACAGGGCGAGTCTGGATATTGAGATCGCAACGTATGTATGGTCTGAACAATGACGTGGAGCTTGAGCTCCGCTGTAGTGGGGTTATATGCATTTGTCGAGCTGTGTGCTTATGTACGTTATTTATGTAATTAGCCGATGTTCTCCAAACACCTTGTTGAATAGTGATGGGATGAACTCTTCACTCTGGGATCAATACGGAGGAGAGGAACCTTTGAAAATACTATTTGAAGTCTTGAAGAAATTAAGAGGACAAAAGCTTGACAAACCTCACGCTAATTCAACCTCTTGGGTTGCATTCGACACTTGTGTGTCTAACATTATGTCACCAGGAAGGACAGATGGCCCCAGAAGGAAGACTAACGGTAAAACTTTTGAACACTGGATCCGACTGAAAAATGAGAGCTGGACGTAGATTCTTGGTAGATGAGGACTGCTGCGCTGACCTCAAGCGCAAAGACTGCCCCACAATTGACGCCAACACGGGACGGAGCGGGCATGTGATATTGAAGCAGGCCGGGACCGGTAGACCCACAGTTCGGACCGGATGTGTGGAGGACGTGAGACACCGGAACCGACCGAGCTATAGCAGCTGGCATAGAGCTCGATGACCTTGTTTTCCAGGGAGCTATGCCCGAGACGGTCTAATTTTCCTGTGTCTGCGTGACTGTATTTCCTACGTATTTAACTACTTACATCACGAGCGATAGTGACGATAACGACGACGACGAAGACGAAGACGACGATAACGACATTAGTAACAAAAAGTCACCGGCGCCCTGCATTCCCTCCGTTAGAGTTCCAGGACCATATTGGACGACCGACAATAATTTCATCGTATACTCTCGCTCCTGTATGCCATTGGAAAGGAAATAACCATCTGATTAGAGTGGGTTGGACAAGGCTGGCCGAGGCCACTGCGGAGACTGCTGGCGATCGACCCGCGGATCGTGAAGACGACACTGGAGCTGCCGGGGGAATGGTCTGCATTGCAGATCCAACTTTCACTTCCGCATCGAAGACGATGTCCGCAATCTTGTCGACTGAATGGAAGCCGAAGCAGATGCCAGACTTTCGATAGATCCTGGGTCAAGAGACAGCTCAGCAAAGTGCACAGACTGAAGTTAGTCACCAGCCACATATTATTGTCAACAGACGCAGCGCTTCGGCACCTCCAACATCCGCCAGCCCAGCAACAGTCAGTCGCAAAATCTCATAAGGAGGCTTGGTAGCGCTTGGTGAGATGTGGCTGAGGGTTTTCACGGGGTGATAGTGAGTCACCATGGGATTGTTGTTGCACTGAACAGCTGGCTAGTGTACTGTCTGTGTATCCGTGAAGGAAGCTGAGAGACGCAGGCAGATTGCGTCAATGGCTTGTGGCTTGGTTCTGTGCGAACAGATGGTGATGGCGGCCCTTTGATGCTGTCAAGTACGCCTAAAGATAGCGATGTTATGGGAGATGGCTGGAAAGGTTGAACACATGGACTCCCGAGATCTACACAAATCGGGTGCCGGCGAGCCGGGCATTTTAAGCCAGTGGAGGCAAGACAGCGTTAGCGCCCACCAACATCCGTCCATGCGGGATCGAGAGACAGCAGTCAGCTGAAGTGACAGATGTCGATGGGATGGAAGATATTTTTGTCAACGGGCATCTTCGAACGATGCGTGAGAATGGAGATCGTTGACCGCCATCAGAGACGCAAGCGGTGTGTTGGGCAACGGCTGTCCGACTTTGTGTGGTGGAGTTGATAGGAAACCGATGGGTCTCGACGATGGATAAAAAAGCACGGAGCCGTCTGGGGTTCCTGCGAGAGGGATCCGCCCAGCAGGGGAGCAAGTCGACTGCGTATATCGTCCAGAAGTGGCAAGCTGTAGAAGATAAAGTAGCTGACCGTGTCTGTGGCAGGATGCGCCGAGTCTGTAAGGTCCCACGAGAGGATTCTTGGCCCGTCGTGTTGGGTTATGGGATCCGAGATTCAGATGCAGTCGCCGTGCCAACAAGGGGTGGGCAAAGACGGACGGGCTTGGGATGCCGGAAACAACGCATCACCAAGAATCGACGACAGCGAGTCGAAGAGGGAGAAAAGCAAGGCAACAGCTGGACCCATGCTCCGGGTGTCATCTTCAAATGCAGGAACCCCCGAGGCCTTGTTCCCGCGTCGAGTCGTGTGCATGCTTGGATTGGGTTAGGTGAGCGGCAGGCTGAAGCAAGCGACGGACAAACAGGGAAAGCTGCACGATGCGAGGCGGTTGGCGGCCACAATCCCGTGGTGGTGTCGTTACCCGCGTCGTTGAAGAGGAGCTGAGTGCAAGAGAGAAGAGAAGAGGACCTGAATTGCGCCCGAAAAGAGCTTGGGCTAGAATTCGATGCCAGGAACAACAGGTGCGCTAAGATGCAGACTTAGATTTGACGGGGGGTGAGCGCCTGGACACGATGGGCACACCTGGCACGGGATGGGGGGGACCCCTGGAAGAAGGGAAAGACGTCACCCAGCCACCGGGCTTTTTTTGCAGTTGGCGACAGGCTAGAGTGGGCCCCCGCCTTCCAAGTCGGGCAACGCAGCAGCCACAGCAGCTAGGGAAAGGTACGTACCCAACGCCTGGAAGGCCACCCCCGGACGAACCTGGGAGCCAGAACAGCGTCAAAGTGGGGCTGCCCAGGAACCGCTGCAACGCTGTGAATCGCCCGGACAACGCTCTCCTTGCGCCACGAGTAAATAGAGGAGGTTGGCGTAGCTACGTAACGCCTTGCAACAACCGCACTTCCTGTCCATCTTGGCTGCGTTTGGGTCCTAAGTGGGATGGCAGGACCAATTGCACCTCATCCTGGAGCCTTTTTTCCCATCCATCAAGATCCATCCATCACCCTTTTTCTCTCTTGCCCATCACCCAGCCATCTGAATATTCACCTCTGCAACCGCCTCTACGTACAAACCTCCCGTCCATCCCGAATCTGCGGGCACATCCCGCCTTCAAACTCTGGACACACCTTTTTTTGTGCGGGAACCTGATCCAGAGACAAAACTAAGTCCACCCTTCCCTCCCCTTGAGCTCCCCAGCCATCCCAATATCCACGAGAAGATCTACCTACCTACCTCTTCCCGCGCCCACCTTTGAAGACCTTACCCGTCACATCCACTCTACACTACACTCACTCAAACACTTTGCGTCCTTCATTCACCGTCAATTCCAAAAGAGACAGCATCCAAAAAGTGGTAGTTTGTTTAGTGTCTGACATACAGGAAAGAGTCTCCATCGCCTACCTCGCAGGTCCAACACCGTCCCGCATTCCTCGCGGTGTTCTCCAGCGGTTCGGTTTTTCTTCAACCCAGCTCTACATTCCTCACTCTTGGCGAGGTATCAACGCCATTCATTCCCGAGACCTCGCATTCCTCGCACCACGAGTCGACTCCCCGCGCGATTAGCCCTTCCCCAGACGACAAGGAAAGACAAGCAGCGTGCCAACGCTGAAGGTGCCTGGACCAGAACCCGACCGTCGCTCCGCTATCACGGAGGACGGGCGAGGGTTGTTTGAGACCTCTCGTTAGAGTGGAGGAGTAGGAACACAGAGTCAACATGGCGAAATTCCAGGTTGGCTGGTATCGTGAGTCCACCCCTCCCCATTCTGGAAAAGCGGCAGCTTGAGCTAACACTTCCACAGGGTTTGTGCCGTTCCTAGGATACCACCATGTCTTGATGATCTTGATCGCAATTGCCATCATCCTTCTTTGTAAGCTCCATCGGTCGCCATCTCCAAGAACCATCACTAACGCACCCGACAGCTCTATTACTGGCAGGCTGCTCATCGTCATCACCTTTGATCCCCGATATCTTCCTCCTGTCCCTGTACTATGACAGTTACACTGCCGTCCCCGACACGGCGCAAGTAGACTACAATGTTCACACCGCCATCGAGAACATCGCTGGCGACGCCCGTCTCGCCGCTCGTGTCGGCTACTTTGGTATCTGCATCAGCCCCGACGGTGGCAGTTGGCTTTGCAGCAACAATGCCACTGCTCTGGCCAATGAAGTCTCCGTCGACCAGGATCCTCTTAACCTGATCTGGCTCGCCGCCCAGTTCAAGGACATGATTGTTTTCCCCTACCTCATGTGAGTCCCCTCTGCTAACCACCTCTGAAACCGCCTACTGACAACCACCAGCATCATCGCCATTATCTTTGCCTTCGTCTGCTTCCTGCTTCTGGCTACCTTCCCCGGGTGGCACGAGGAGGAGGACTCTGAGGGCTCCGACCGCGAAGTGAAGCCCTTCCCCTCGCGACCCGTCTCCCAGATCTCCCTCGCCATCATCTTCATCGCCTCCATCTTCGTGCTGGTGTCAGTATTATGGCAGCACACCGCCTCCGTAGCAGCTTCCATCATCGCTCAAGACTTTGGCAACGGAGCCGTCAAATCCGGTGTCGGATCGTCCGCCATGGTCCTCGGTTGGTTCAGCTTCACACTACTCATCATCGTCACCATCGGTCTGCTAGTCATGATCCTGAGTATCCGCGTCCTGAGCCAAATGGTCGGCTAGTCGCGCCAACCGAGTTGAAGACATGAACAAGATTTGACGACGACGACAAGATGTGTAGAAGATGGGGCCCGAAGCCCGAAAGGAACACTTTGTACATGGGGAGAGCGCGATTTTACGCCTCACCGAGACCCATCAGCACATTCATCATCGTCCAGCACAAAAAAACACACCAAGCATCAGGAACATTGGCGTTTTCGTTTCGAATTGTGTTTTTGTTTTTATACTCTATTTGCTGTTTTGGCATTTCAATTTTTTGGGCCGGCAGGGGGCCCACGACACCAGGAAACATGTCGAAGTTTCCATGGGACCCCCCATGTTTTTAATGTTGAACGCTCCCTCGCAAGCGGCGGATGAGCAAAGAAAGAGAAGAGAGAGCATGAAACGTATAGACGATATCAGCAACGCCGCGCGGGTCTTTTCAGCCACTTCTCGCTCATGACCCTCAACTCTTACGACGACGACGATACCGAGGCCGTGGCACACGGTCACTTGAACTCTTTGGATTAGCACCCAAGGGTAATGAACGGGACGAGTCGACGAGAGAGGATTGTGGTATGTGCAGCACGAGAACAAGAGAAGACCGAAAAGAGAACGGCATGAGGGAAATGAAGGGAAACAAACTTTTTTTACTTGGACGGATCAATGGGATGGGAAATATGTGTAGGAGTATGTCGACCATGATTACGGGATAAGAGTGTCATGGCCTCGAACCAAAGATGAAGATGAGATGAGAGGAAATGAAATTGAACATGCCAAAACACACACACACCTCGTCTCATTCTGCTTGCGGTGACTCCACGATAACCTATCCCTTGAATAATGATCGACTTTTTGACTACGTGGAGAGTGGACAGGGAAACATCACTTAGAAAGTCACTGTGAAGCCAATTAGGTAGCTTTTGTTTTTGCACTTTATACAAGAAAAGAGTCAATCGACCAATACAACAAAAAACCCCGCGATTCAACACGCCCAAAACGCCATGTTTACCCAATTGCCTTGTCCCGCCGTGATATCTCATGCTTGACTGTTCCTCTTCCCCCCTCTTTCTTCTCTCTTCTCTCTCTACCATCTCTCTCTCTGTTTTTAAACGTAATCGTCTCCTTCTCGCTCCGCCATGCACGCAACGCAGCAACGCTTGCTAATGCACCAACATGACATCTACACAGGCCTCTTGAAAGGGTGCGCCTCCGTGTTGAGGACGTAGTCGTCGAGGCTGATGAGGTCGGGCTCCGAGTACAGCAGGTAAAAGTACTTTAGCGTCTCGGCGACCCAGAAGCTCTCCATCTCGTCGACGGGCTCCGGGGAGCTGGAGAGGATGTTGTCGACCGCGCTGGCGCCGTGCTCGGTGCGCGTCGCCTTGATGATGGCCTGCCACATGTTCCAGCCCTTCTCCTGCCAGATCGGGTCGCCGGTGATGCGGTACATGTACCACACCGATTCGATAGCTTCGGGTCTGGGTGAAGTGTGAGTAAACAGAGCAATGACAGAGTGAACGCGGTTTAGGGGAGACTTACCGGAGGATGTAACGTCTAGAGTTGATGTTGACGAAGCCAGGCGGGATCTTCTCCTCGTCGAGCATGATCTTCACGTATTCCTTGTGGGACTTGGGCTTGGGGTCAGGGATTTCCTCCTCGTACACGGGAATCGTGCCGACAATGCCTCCGCTAACGGGAGCATCGTTCGAGACGGTGCCCGAATCCGACGCGTCGCTGTTGATGTTGAGCTTGTCCTTGAGCGAGTTGCTGGCCTTCTCTTCGGACGTGCCCTTGCGGGGATCCTCTGAGGCGGGGGGAGCTCTCTTCTTCAAGAGGTGCTCATCCACGTTGGACGGCGACTTGTTGAGACCGGGCTCGGGGGCGGGCCACTCGGTCTTCTTGACATCGTTGACCTTCTTCGGCTGGTCCTTGGGGACCTTGACATCAGCGAGGGGGTCGACCTTCATCTCCTCCGCAGGCGGGGGCATGGCCTTGTCAACAGAGAGTCTGTCGACCGCGGCTGCTCTCCTAAGCTCCTCGTTCTTCTTCTCCTTCTGTCGCTCCTCCCACTCCTTCACCTGCGCGTCGCGCCAGGCAGCAGAGGGGTCAAGGTGCTCCCACCAGAGAGTCTCGTTCCAGGGGCAGCTCTCGAGAGACGCGCAAGGGACGACGGAGGCGCCCTCGGGCATGATACCGGAAGGCATGGATTCGTACGCCCAGACGCAGCCATCAGTCAGCTTCTTGGCGATTTCCAGGTCCTCGGGTCTGTCAAAGATCTTGCTTCCCAAACCAAACATGCCACCAATGAAGCAGGTAAGGTGAGTGACCTCATACTCGACTCGGGCATCGTACTCGGGGTCACCAGCCGTGGAGACCTTTGCGGAGAACAGAATGTCTCTCTCCTTGGGGACCATGGGCCTGTAGAGCAGCCACTTCTTGACAGCTGCGACTGTCTTCTCGTGCATAATCTTGTACTTGGGTTCAAGACCGCCAAGCATGAGATATTCCTACTACATTAGCTCAAGCTCTGGGAAAGCGCTGTGATGAGAAGACTCACCTTTGGGAAGTATTCGTAGGTTGAGTCCTGGCTTCCACCCATACTGTACTGCTCGTATCCCCAACCGCCGGGCGCAAGTCCCTGAGGGATGCACTCCCATTCGGATTTCTCCTCGGGAGAGGTGGGAGATGGTCTACGACCGCTGTTTCCGGGATACAAAGGCTGCTCGTTCACGATTGGCTTCGGGAAAGCCTCCTCCTTGTCGACATTGGCGTTCTTCACCACGGACTCCCCATCCTCGGTAACTCCTACAGCCCGCTTCGAGAGGCCTGTCTCACGAGGTGCCACGGGCTCGTCGCGCTTCTCGTCCACGGCAGGCTTGTGGCCTTCGGGCTCTTTCATGTGCGCAGCAACGGCCGCGGCGCTTGCAGCCGCAGCCGCAGCCTGCTCCTCCTGGTAGCGAATGGCCTCCGCGGTCCTGTTGCAGCCTGAAGCGTCGAGTTGCTCGGGGAAGATGCCGTTCAAGGTGGTGCCGCGGTTCTGGAGATCCTCGAAAGCGTCGGTGATGCGCGCAATCGCATCGTAGTACTTGTTCTCTCCGGTCAACTGAGCGAGACGCGTGAACTCCATAGTCATGGAACCCAGCTCAGCGACGCCGACGTTGCCAGCGCGGTGCGGCTGGGAGGCGTACTGGGGCTGCCAGTTGTAGTACAGAATGGGCATGCGGTTAGGGGTATCAAAGACGCCCATCAGGATCTCGGCCAGCTCAACGGCCTTGTCCAGCAAAACGTCGTAACCACCCTTCTTTCCTCCGCTCACGTCGTACGCCGCAAGCAACCCGCCCAGATATCTTATAATGGTTTCGAACACGGGAATGTCGCGGCGCGTGGGGCTGAAGGTGAAGTCGATGTCCTTGACGGCCTTGGCAGCCTCGTCGAACTCCTCCTTCATGCCCATGATCCAGAGGGTGTCGAGACCGTCTACAAGCGTAGCAGCCCAGCCACAGAAGGGGTCACGATAGCGAGCGCTGACGGGGGAGAGCTCGTCGTGCATCCAGGCGTACTTGCGGTACCCGCCCCAAGAACGAACCATCTCAGCCTTGATCTGCGCCAGGCGCCTCTCGCGCTTCTCCTTGACGGCGGTCGTCTCGGGCTCGAACTTGTACTGGATCCTGGGGATGTCCTTGGGCTTGCCGGTCGGAAGGGGAATGATCTTGTCGGTGGGAACGGGAAAGTGCTCCTTGACCTTGTGCCAATGGATCTGGGAAGTCGTCGTGGAGGCGCTGGACTCGGCGTTGTCGGCGTTGGGTCGGCCGGGAGGCTTCTTGGCGTGGAACTCGTCCTCGGCCGGGATCTTGGCGGCTTTCGTGACCTCGGGCTCGTTGTCGGGGTTGTAGACGGGCATCGTGGGCGTGTTTGCGGACTTTGTGGGAATGCCCTTCTTGGGGGTCTCGGTCTTGAGCTGGGGGATCTTGACGACGGTCTGCTTGGCCGTCTGCCGCATGGGGTTCTGCTCGGGCTCATCCTCCTCCTGATCGTGAGCGTGTTCGCTGTCCGGGGGAGGGTTGTTGTTCAGAGGCTTGTTGGCGGGGGGTTCGTTGACGGGAGGCTGCTTCGCGGGCTCGGTCTTGCCCTTGGCAGGTTCATTGGGCTTGATGCTGCCGGTATAGCCTGTCGCATCCCATTCAGGGTTTTTGAAGACTTGGTACAGCATGAAAGCCATGACAAAGGCCACCAAGAGCACATAACGGCTCCTCCTGCGGGGCATCATGATTGCTTGGTTGCTCGCCGGGGCGAGTCTCTGGGGCGCAAACTTGGGGGAGTTGGGTGTAAGATCGGTCGCGTGCTACACTGCAGGTAGCGGTTCGACCGTCGATCGAGGACCCAGGGGTCCAGGGAAACGAAGAGCGGCAAGGATGGCAGTGAGTTAACGCAGTGTCATTTCTCGGTATTTGGGTGATGGTCGGATTCGAAAGGGCCCTTGAGCAGGCGGGAAGAGTGATTCAGTGTAAGGAATGGAAGAAGGGAAGGAAGGAGAGTAATTGGAGTGTGATTGAGGCAAGGCAAGACGAGGAGCAGGAAGAAAAGATACGTAGAGAATTGGATGGGATGCACGACAGTTGAGGTAAGGTGCCTACGGTAGGTCAGCAAGCAGGTAGGTGGCATGTACAGATTGGCTTTCGGCTCCATTTAGGGGGGCACACGGAGCTGCCAGGATGGCCAAGATGAACTTAAGTGTTCTAGTGCAGCGCCTCTGAGGGGAACGCGCTACGGATACAGAGCAGGGCAAACTAAGCCTTTAGGTAATATGGAGGTGGGAGGTGGGAGGTGGGTGTGTGGATGGCACGCGCATGAGCAGATACAACGTTCAGCAGCGCCGACAACGCGGCACAGAAAGTATTTCGACATCAGACCAGCACTGCACAGTTATGTACATACGCAGTAGGGCGAACAGGCCGCCCGCCACCTGTGCGCCGTGGGAGGTGGAAGCTGCCCGAGAGCAGCAGTCAGCGCACATGAGGCGAGAGAAGAGCAGACGGGCCGGGAGAGGCTAAAAAAGGCACGACAGTTTACAGACGCCAAGACGCGAGATCTGAGCTTTCCCCGTGTCGGATTGAAGCATCTGGCTCCAGCAGGTCAGGGGTTCAAGACGTCTTTTTCCCAGTGGTGCTGTGCAGAGGCCCGCACCCGTACACTGGTATCCGCCCTGTATGTATCCAACCTTTGTACGACCGGGTTCTCCTTAACGATAGCTGTCACGGATTCGAGATTGCCCGTATGGATGTCTGAAGATCCTCTCTGTCAAAGACGTTTCAACCCGTCTGGCCAACTCTGTCAACCTCTCATTGGTGCAAAGTTTCGCCCTCAGCCGCAGATACGCCCGCCACTTGTCTTGAAGTCAAATCATTCTCAGAGTGGAAGCCAAGTAGGGAGAGAAATTACTAGACACTTTTTTTTTTCCTCTTGTGCACAAATGTCTCTGTCCTTTGCCCCTTGCTTGCTCAACCGATTGCTACCCCAGACACACATGGGCAACTTACTGAACAGTACAGAGTAACACACAAAGAATGGCGCATGGCAATTGGCTCCCGTGGCGGGTCACACCTTAAGTGATGAAAGGCCACGGCGGCCCTCCCAGCTCGCAGCCAATCCGATGGCAGGGGACCGGCGCACCTTAACAGCGGGGCGGAACGGATCCAGATGGACCTTATTTTTCCAGGGAGTCGGTGGGCAGCTGCTCCTCCAAAAGTCGTATCCCAAGATGGATGATCCTCGCAGTAGATTGCACCAACCTTTGGGTACGAGGACGCTGGAGTCCGAGGATGATTTTGGGCAAACTATTCGTCTCGACTATCCAATACTCTTAGTAGGTAGGTACACAAAAGAGACAGAGGCGTGCCCATCAAGTCACCCGACCTCCTTTACTACTGTCTGTAAGTAGGTACCTAAGGAAGCCAAGCCGGATCCCCGCCGTCTCTTTAACCGTGCTATTGTCTTGGCACGAACAGCTGCCAGAGCTTCTGCTTCCGGCAACCCATTCAGCCCTCTCTCTGTCTCCTCCCAGGCTCTCTCTCTGAGACTCTCCACATCGAGCCCCCTTGCGCCCCTTGGCAATCAAACGACGGACAGCCGAACAACAACCGGTTGTCAATCGCTTCTCCTCGGGCCAGAAAGAAAGCCTGTGCGACGATCGCAGTCTTGTAAGCGCCAGCCTCTGTTGACGTGCAGTGCAGTGACACGAGCAGCCGCAGCAAACACGCTGACCGACCGGCCGGCCGTGACACGGGGGGCCCGCTGTTCAGAAACGCCGTCTTCAAGCCGAAACACTCGAGCCTCAAGACATGACTTCAGCGTTCCCGCATCGCATGAGGCGCGATTGACTGGAAAAAAAAAAGAGACGAGCCGATAAGCAGGTGCTGGACAGGTCTCCGCGGCATGCAGAGAGAAAGGGAAAACACGAGACGAAAAGGGAAAAAAAAGAAGGTTTCGGGTTCCTGTCTTTCATCACCGCCCCGAGCAGCAACATTTGCCGAGCATCTCCAGGGTCCCGCCCCGTCTCCACGAGATCTGCCTTATTAAGATGCGAAAAAAAAGAGACAGTCCGAGAAGTTTAAAGATTCCGTCATTCCGTTGCGCAGGTGCATTTTTTCGTAGTCAGCACCGCCCGGAATGCAGAGGGCCCTGCATCATACCCCATTGAGAGACAGGTCGGTCGGCTGCCGGGCCTCCGATGCCAACCTCCCCAAATATGCGGGCGGAGCGCGAGTGGTTCAAATCGGGCAGGTTACCCTCCGCCCGCATTTGCCGGGCCTGCCGGAGGAGGGGAGGGGAGGAGGGGCCCGCACGCGACTACCATGTGACCTGCAAGAATGGCGGAAGAATTCCAACGACGGCAGGAACGTTAATTGGACTTTGGGGAAGGTGGTGTTCCCAACCGGATATTTACCACACTGCGACGTGAATATGCTTAATTGATCAGATATAGCACGAAGTCCTCGGTTCGACGGTTCTCGGCGGCAATGGCTCTCAACTCATGAGACAGCTCCTTCCCAGATCTCCCTCCTGCAACCTCCTGCGAGGCACCACATTATTGAGTTACGTTTCTTGAGAGCTTCTGGGAACGGTGCCATGGCTCCACCTGATTGAAGTTATCGTGAAACTCAAAGACACTGGGGACTTCTAGACAGTAGATACCAAAATGGTTCATGGCAAGAGAAGGTCGCTAGGGTTGTGCAAGAGTGGTGGCAGGTAGCGATGACATGAAAATGTAGTTGAATGAGTCTCCTTAGGTATTCCATAGATGGGCATCTTTTCAGACTTTTGGAGACAAGCCTCGTCATGAACCCTGGGGGCTTTTCTAAAACGAGCACGGCATTTAAATTCTGCTTCTACCTTGATGATCATCAAAAAAGAGTTTTACTAGTCGGGCAGTGTCCACATACGCGTGTTTCCTCTCAAAGCGGCTATCGTCGTCGTTGTCGTCATTATTATCATCACTACCCCTACTGCTTTCTCTACTGTTGTCGTCCGTATAGAAGCATTGGGTTTACTACGATACTGCCGAGTAGCTGACTGACACTGCCCAGCTAGCAAAACTCATCAAAAACGCTTTTCATCAATCTAACGCTTCTCAACTCCTACTCGATCGCCAGCGAATGAGCAACAAAATCGGCGGCCAATATGTACGACGACGAGTGGAACCGACTGACTCCCAACGAACAGCACAAAAGGCGCAGGGAGCACGGAACATGGCCCGCCAGATTCCTCAAAGCCCTCCGGTTCAAATTACACAAGAAGCAGTCCCCGGAGCAGAGAATGGGTGCCACCGGCGAGCTCACCCGCCGCCGCCGTATCCAGCTTCACTTCCTGGAACTGTACTTTTCTCCGGCCATGGTCGCGAGGATGCGACTACACTTTCAACACTTTGCCGAGTACCAGCTGTCACTCTCTAGATATGTCAGGTACCGTTGTAAAGACATGCTGCCCCGTGAGTTTTGGAACCTGCCGGCCAACTCGCCGAGCAGAATGACGAAAGCTCGGCTTCTGCTTGTCATCAGCCTGGTCTTCCATCCGGATGTCAGCGCTCAGATTGCTTCCAACATTGAAGAGTTCGATGAAATTGCAGGTATCGAGTGTACGGACGCGTTCATTGGCGAGACTAAGTTGCGGGATTGGTTGAAGTACCTGCTTGACTACACCCTGTCAGGGTTGGCTGGCGCAGGTTGTCCCTTTCTCAGATATGATGTAGGCTCCGGATAACGGCGCATCTTTGTTGCACATGCTGACGATTGATAATAGAAAGCAGCGTGGTCTAGTACTGACGATGAGGGGAATCCCAAGGAGCTACACCCGGGACCTAATCCGGACTTTCTCAAATTTCTCAGGCCTGTCGCAGTCGATATTGAGCAGATAAACTTGAAAGGCACAAACATTCTTGAGGCATGGAGGAGTCATCCAGTCACACGATCTCTGAGCCGCCTCAAAGACGGGCAGGATGAGTTGCGACACGACCCGACTAACTTGGGGCAAACATGGACGCCCGCAACACCAGGCACCAACTGCGTATACACCAGTACAAACGAGCATTTCCTACGCGAGACATGGTACCGACCTTTCATTCCCTTGAACAGAGAAATCGAAGAAAACCAGATGACGCCCGGATTCGTCGATGGTGCTATCACAAGATTTAGCCCTCTCCGAGAGTACCTCTGGACAGCCTTCCGAACGCACATGGTATCTCTAAAACCACCAGTAGAAGAGCTCCCGCACCTCAGAGCTCCATGGACTGCCCGAGATCGAAAAATCTACCGAGGGGTGTTGTTGACCCGGTACAACAGCACTCAGCCTGCGCCAGCGGAGCTGTCCCACTACATTGTCCCCGAGGGCCAGGAGACAGCCTGGGGGGACTTGTCGCTTAACCATTGGGTCGGAAATGCAAAGGCTTGGGATCATTATAACCAGATACACGGCCAAGGCCATCGCGAGTGGCCTCATGTGGTTCATGTAAAAGCATATCCTTCGCCATCACCCACAACACATCAAACTTGCACAAACATGTGGCGAACGGCTTGGAAAGATGGGTTTTACTCAGAGCACAATCGTGACCAAAAGGCAATTATGTACTTGAGTTCGCAGTACAAAGCCACGTTTGCCGTTTCTTTCGAGAGGACAACAACTGGTCCCCGAGCCAGCTGAAACCACGCGAGCTTACCAGGTTTCAGTGAAATAGTCGCAGGTGGGAGTGAGATACAATTCAACGCGATACCGCAAAATGCGGCTCAGACATCAAACTACAACAGAGGCCCTAGAGCATGTCAGAGCATGTCTGCCGTTTGACTCAAACAAACAGCTTCGGCATGGCACGCTTCAACGACAGGTAAGTGTCTCGCGAGAATGACCCCAAACTATCGAAAATGGTATCAGTCCGTTCCATTTCCACAAGTTTAGAGCTAGAGCACCTGTGTATGCGGGGGTGTTCCAGCGGCATCGCTGTTGTTCATCTAGGCCGTCGGTCTTGGCCTTAGGACAATACGAAGCATCAGCAATGCTGGAACACATCTCGAACGGCCAAAAGGATTGCACTTAAGTTCCAAACAGTCCAAAAGCGCTTAGCCCGCGTCGTCATTACGGTTAAGATTGTGCCTGCTGCGAAGCAGGCCTCCTCTTCGAAAGGAGAGTCATCGATCAAGAAACCGCCCTATGAAGACGACGAAGACGACGATGGCGACCAACCTAGGGGCACCAAGAAGAATAAGTTCAAGACGTTGCGAGGCCTCAAGCAGGATGCCCCAGAATCCGAATTTCGACTTCGGCAAGAGGCTCAAGGCATGGTCCAACCAATCCACGGACTAATGACTTCGCTGCGGCTTTCCATACACAACTCGAGGGTGTTCGGTCAGGTGTAAGAGTGTCTGTTCTTCTAATGAATGATACGAATAATCACTAAGGAACAGCCAAAGATAACGGAGGTCTTACCAACCAAGACCTCGCTCTATAGCCCGCGCACCTAAAGCCCCCTCCCCTGGCTCCACGGAGCCTGAGAGGGGACGGACTGCACGAGATCATGTAAGCTATCATACGCAAATGTGAGACTGAACCCCTAAAGAACAGTGGTAGATATAAAATATCCCCTGACTAGTATCTTGAACAGCATGGGCAATATTGTCCATGCCTTGAACGCAAAACCCGGCGCTGTCGATGATACTAAGCTCAGAGGAGAGGCAACCTACATCAACAAAAAAGGACCTCCTGCCTCAAAGAGCACCGCTTCAAACCTCCTTTCTTCATTCTCCTCAAGGTATTGCCCCCATATCCCAGGGTATTCAGACTACAGTGCTTGCAACCCGACCGGAAACCTCCAGGAAAGTTGCCAGGCCCAAGCAGACCAGGCTGAAAGCACCGTAGCTCGCGTTTCTGTTTATAAACACACACAGGTGGAGAAAGGAATCATAGATTGGCTGTGGCGAAGCGTTCTTCGCTGGTTATCAAGTCGCGCCCCCTTTATATAGACACGTTCGCTCATCACTTTACACAATATTTATCCCCTGTTGGTTGGTTCCTTTCTCCAAGAGCATACAAAGCCATTCAAATTGCTGAAGTAACGAGGTATTTCAATACAAATGTTTACCTTCAGAGTCATCTCTTCAAAACAGCAATAGAAGTTTCGGTTGTGATAGGCGAAGGGCCAGGTCAGCGGTGATGCTCTTTCCACAAGTACGAACCAACCAGCTCTCAGACATCAAGAAAACAACCCCATTCTAGTCCGTCGCTTTCCTCCCCTTTCCCCCTTCGTATTCTGCTACTTATCCACGTCCTTAAACCACCCGGGGCAATCCCGTATCGCTCAGGTATCTCACACCTTGTCATGAGCTTAGCTCGGTGACTCCATCCAAGGCAAAGCCTTGAATCAGACGGTCTCGACGAATCATTTTTTGTGCTGCGTAGAGAACATACGCCACGCAAATTCCTTAACTAGTGAGTCTAAAAATGCCACCAATCGACCGTCCCGATTATCGATCCCTTTGCTAGGAGAAATTCCATCTGACACCAGTGTCTGTATAAAACCACGCCTAAGTTCTCATAGAAGACCCAGCAAAATCAAAATATTTGTATTACCCGTGGTCTGGCATCAATGACCTTAGCTTGACAAGTAACTTGGCAATAGCCATGACAAAAGCCCCATCTACAATGTTCACACCCACGAAACGTTCCACCACCGCCACCCATACTTGTTTTCCTCCGTATATCTGACCCCCTCTCTAAGCGTACTGAACAAAAAGTGGTAGGAAACATTGATATTTACCTGAGTAGCTATAACCTTCTCGAGAATCTCAACCAACTTACACTACCACGCATGCAACCCAACCCCCCTAACCGCAAGTCCGCAACTCAGAACCTTCATCATCTCACAAAGTACCCCAACCCAAACGGTATAAAAACCCCACACCCTCCCCTTCTTCCTAGAATCTTCAGCATATCAGTTTTCATGCTCGATCGGTTCCTGCTGACCGAAACAATCCCACAAGCCAAGCACAAAATCACCCGCATCGTAAAGACAGACAAGCACCACCTGACATCCCGACAACCCTTTCATCGTCCATCGTTTCTCGCCAGGGATACCGTCCAAATCCCAGATCAAACACCACAGACGACCCATAACCCGAGTTGAACCTCCACCCGCAACGAGATACCTTGAAATCATCGTGCGGACCCATGAGACCATCCACCAAAGGGTTCCATTTCCTCGCCGCTAACCCCTGAGAAACGATTAGTCCGTTTCGCCGCTTTATCGCATCTTCTTGGTTTAGATCTCCGTAAGACGGGCTGGCTCAGATGGCTTACACGAGACATACACACTCACAACAACACCATCACAAGGCATCTCACAATGCGCCAACCAACTCCATCAATATATTACCCGCCTCGATATATACCTCCCTTTCCCCTTGCCTCGGTGCACATCCACCAAACCTCTCCATCCCAAATACAACCAAGCAAAGCTCAAAAAAAAGCGCTCCGCAAAAACAGCAAAAAATCCCCCAAGCCCTTGCCATGCGCCATCGCTGCAACAACGAGCGTCCAGTGTTTTGCATACAACGAGAAGAAATGTTTCACCGCTACCTCGTGGCCCAAGCCACGTCTCCCCCTTCTTTTCAATGTTTCCCCTCCTCCTCTTACTTGTTTTCACCATCGGGTACTGAGTTCCCCTCGCGCTCTCCCCGTCAACTAGACGTCTTTGCCGCGAATTTTGGTGTATAGCCCGGTATCGAAAAAGTTGTAGTTGGGATCCAGCTCGCAGAAGGGGTGCTGCGAGAGCAGCACGTCTGCGGTAGGCCGCTCCAGTGGGTTTCTATCGATTGTTAGTCTGGCATGCTGACAGAAGAAGTCGCAAAACACTTACACAGTGAAACAGTCCAGCATAAAAGCAATCGCCAGCGGACTGATAGTTTCACGGACCTCATCTGGGATAGGCGGCGTCTCTCCGTTTGCAATCTTGTAGATGGCGCCAACGGCTTCCTCCTTGGACCAAGGCCGTCGACCGGCAAACATCTCCAGCACAACGCATCCCAAACTCCAGATATCGACCTTGGCGCTGTATCCCTTGCCCTCGGAGCGGATGACCTCAGGCGCCATCCAGAACACGGATCCCTGCATCGAGTTGGACTTGTCATTGCCGTAGATGTTGTCTGTTTTCTTGGAGATACCAAAGTCGGAGATCTTGCAGGTGCCATCGAGATCCAGCAAGATGTTGTCGGCCTTGAGATCGCGATGCAAGATACCCTCTCTGTGGAGGTATGCAAGACCAGACAGCATCTGCCTGGTAAGCGACGAGACTACCGATTCCTCAAACTTGCCGTGCTTCCGCAGGCAGGATCCGATACTGCCACCGGAAATATACTCGAGGAAGATGCTGATAGATGTCTCCTTACGCTCGCAACCAAGGTACTGGACGATGTTGACGTGGTCGAGATGCTGCATCGTCTCGATTTCCTGGTCAAGAGCAGCCACCAACTCCCGCATCTTCGCCTTGTCGCCCTGCGCCGCCTTTGGGTTGACCTCGACTTCCTTGACGGCCAAGAACTCTCCAGTCGTAGCATTCATACCGAGGTAGACGCGACCGTAGGTACCCTTGCCGATAAGTTGACCCTTGAACCAACGGAACGTAGTCTGGCGCTTGGGCAATGTATCCTGGGGAATCTGGGGCATGACCATGCTGCCTCGTTGATCGGGCCGGATCTGCACAATGTTGGCGTTAAACATCTTTGTGCTCTTCCTCCTCATCAATGCCGATGTGTTCTGGCCATTTTGGCCCTGTTGCGTTGTTGTGGTAGTAAACCGCTTGTTGGCCTCGTGAGCACCACGAGCAACTTCACGGATGGACTTCATACGGCCGAGACCTCCAGAACGTCTCACGCTGCGTTGAGCGACCGAGGCTACGGAAGCTGGACGCTCAAGCGCCTTGAGAGTAGACTCATCCGAGCCCAGGGTATCGCTCTCGTTGTAGAATGACCGATTTGCCTGGCCCATAGCCACGCGCAAGCTTGGTGGAGGAGATTGCGGAAGCGCCGAGGGTCCAGGGGCAGCTTCCTTCTCCTCGGACTCGGAAATAGGAGACGGGGGCGATGCATCCGCTCCTCCCTCTTCGAGCACCGGCTGGTCAAGATCCAAGTTCGGGAAGAAGTCGTCGAGGTTGTTGATAAGGGCATCGGTGGTGGGACGGTTTGCCCAGACGTCCTTCTCCACAAACGACTTTCTTCGGCTAAGCTTGCTGTCTTCCGACTCCCATCCCTCTGAACCAGGTGTGTTGGGCGTCCTGCGTGAGCTCTTGCCGCTGCGAGCACTCATGAGAGCCTCGTCTTCTTCACCCTCCTTGCTCGAGCCGCCGAACGACTTGGGCGAGTTGAATGATACAGAAACCTTCTTCTTCGACTTGGCAGTGTTCACCGTCAGGGTCGGTCGTTTGTCGTTGGCCTCATCAGGCGAATCATCGCCATCGAAGATGCGCGTAATCTTGGTAGGCTTCTTTTGCTGGCTGGTCAGAGGAACGGCAAACAAGCCATCATCAGAATCGTCACCAGAGTCGTCATCACGCTGTGCAGGAGGCTTGTCAAAGCTGACTTCCGTATCGAGGAAATCAAAGTCTGGCCCATGTGATTTGCGGCGAGGGGGCTGGGGTTGTTCAGTCGGGGGGATTTGGGGCGGGTTGAGGGAACTGGGGCTTATTTCACGCGAATGTACCCGTTGTGCTGTTGATTTGATTTTAGCGACCGTACCATTTTGAGACCTCTTCCTTGACAGCGGAGTCCCGCCGGGAGAGTAGTCAGGCACGACGAAGGGCAGATTTCCACGGCTCCATGTGAGAGAGCCAGGTGAGCCAGACGCCGTGCGAGGACTACCTTGATCCGAGCAGGACTTGCCAAAGTCAACCGACGACATTGCTCCCTTACCTCGATCTGAGTAATCGCCGCTCATGTTAGAGTGCGACGACACTCGCTTGGGCGACTTGGACCTGCGGTTGTTCGAATGGCCAACCGCCCCAAGGCCTCTGCCCATGCCCACGAGGGCTGCACCAATGCCACCAACAGGCTGGCTGTTTGTCTTCTTCTTTTTGTCCGGATTTTGTCCGGGAAGCTCCATATCCTCAAACAAGGTGGATGGTCGTCGCGGTGCCGACGAAATGCTGCCGTCGGATGACCGCATGGCGTGTCCAGTCTTTCTGCTTAAAGAGTTTGCCTTGAGAAGAGTAGCAGAAGGGTCGCTTGGCGGCGCAGGTGGCTTCCGCACAGGGAACAGTACTTCCGGCTTCTTGTCCTCATAAGGTGACTGTCGGGGCTGATCAAAGTCGACTGTGCGCCCGTGTATGCCGTATGGGGTGGAAACGCCTTCCGGCGCGTTTCTGCCGTCCTTCATGGCTGCTTGTCTTCTCTTCTCGAGGTATTCGCGCTGCTTGCGTTCCATCTCGGCACGGTATTCACTAGCTTCCTGTGCGAGCATCTTGTCATCAACTCTCTCACCGGTCAGTGTGTTTTGCCTTGATGTCGGCGGCGACGAGCTGGATCTCGTCCTCGATAGACCGTTCAAACGGTTGTACGCCTCCTCGTCGAGGGACGTGTGTGCCGGAGCGCCATTAGCCTGGCCCGAGCCTTGGGGCACGTAACCGGAAGGACGGATGAAGAGCTTCAAAGACCCTGTAGCATCAGCTCTGACCTTGCGTTGTGTCGTCAACTTCTGATCGTCGAGCGGCTGGTCGTGGTCAAATTTGCCAAGCTCGGTCAAATATATTTGAGAATTCAAAGCATCCATCAAACCAAGGCTGCTGCAAACAATCTGTCGAAGATCTGTTGCCGATTCGGCTTCAGTAATGTCGCACATGCGGTAGTTGTAACCATCCATGGTAGCCAACACATACGTTCTGCCAGGGCCAGAACGTCTCGACTTGTCCTTCTCATGCAGGAGATCAAGCGATGTCTCACTGTTGTTGCCAAATCGAGAGCCGAATGAGTGAGACTTGAAGTTGAGAGCTGGTGACGTCGGTGACTCCACATCGTCGGGGCTGGGGAAGGCACCGTCTTCCTTTTGCTTCTTCTTCCTAGATAAGAAGCTGAGAAAGCTCTTTCCGTCCTTTGCAGATGATGGGGGTTCGGTGCCAGCCGAGCGATCACCATTGGACTCCTGAGGCGATGGGCGCCCACCATCCTGACCCAGTCGGCGACTCTCTGCGTTACCGCGAGTGGCCTGGATCATGTCCGCGATGTTCATACCACTGCGCAACATCTGGCTAGCCTCGGGAGGAATTCCAGAACCATATATGGCAGCGTTGGAGGACAGAGAGTCGGTGCTGTTCCGTGACCGATGCCCAAATTTGGCTGAGTGCGGAGAGGCTGAAAGGTTGCCTGCCGACGAGGGAAAGAGGGACGCGCTCTGCGGGTTTGGACTCCCATTGGGGCTGTCGGTTCGTAGAGGCGGCGGGCGGAAGCTGTCGCCGGGCTCGCTGGCGTTCGGGCTGTGACGCCGGCTGCCGTCGATGTCGATTTGCTTCAGGATGTTCCTGTGGTTAGAGTCTGAGCTCATTGTGCTGTTGAGCGTAGGCATAGTAGTAGACCTGGTCTGCGAGAACCGTCGTCCGCCAAAACCAGGACCAGGAGCCTTGATCGGCGTCTGCCGGTCATCAGTCTTCGAGAGTTCACTCGGACGAACGATCATACTCACGTTGGGAGAGTCTGCGCCATCGGTCCCTGCGCTGGGCAGGTTGTTGCCGTGGTTCACAGACTCTTTCCTCCCGTGCGAAGATACTTTCGATGGGTCAGCCGGCAGACCCTTGACGATGTTGCGAATGAGCCGTCGCATTCTCTTTCCTTCCTCTCGCTCTCGTGGCTGGTCCCATCCTGTCCCGCTGTTGGTGCACTCGACTGCCAGTCTCGGATACACCTGTTGGTGCATCATGCCAAAGTTCCCTCGTCCTCCTAGGCCGCTCCCGAGCTCGAGGAAGTGGGTTCCGTGGATGTTGAGGCCCTTGAACGTCTCCTGCCAGTCCTTTGAGAATTGGTTGGATGCGAGAAACAGCAACACCTTGTCCAGCGGCCACTGCGCAGCCAGATCCGGGTGAATACTCCAGGTGGTGGCGTTAGACTGTTGCGACAGCCCTCGAGTGTGCATAGCCTGGGCGTACATCCTGTCTCGTCCAGTAATGTCGTCCTGGGGTGTTGTCATGGTTGTGTCAGCGCTGGTCTGGCTGTTCGTGGGCCACGAGCTTTGCGACGTTGCAGAGAAGGTGGATGTCTCGTCAAAGCCGCCCAGGCCTGGTATTCCAACTCCTTCGCCATAGGTATCGCCTTGCGGTATGTAGGTCGCAGACATGCCGCTGCCATGGTCATTCGGGGGAGGCGGGGGCGGGATCGATAGTGTCGTGCCGGTCGCAACCTGGGCATGCAGCTTCGGATTGTAGGCCTGATGTTGTCCTGGCGGGGGAGGGGGTACGTTGAAGCCGTTGCGGCCGTCGTACATTCGTCCAAAGGCGCCATGCCACGGCGCCTGGCCTGCCATCGCACTCCCCGGGGGCGGACCGGGAGGCGGCGGGAGCATCATGCCGCCGCCGCCCGTGGCGCCGGGAGCAGAGGGAAAGCGCGGCGGGGGAGGAGGTATGGACATCATGTTGCTCATCTGGCCCTGGACGGGTGGTGACATGGGCGGCGGCGGCGGAGGGACCTGGAAGGGCCTGGAGGAGTCGGCGGCGGAGACATGTCGTTGGTTGTTTTGATACATGGCTTGTGGTTTCGGAGGCGGGCCAGCTCGGGTAGCTGGCCTCGCGGCGTCGGGGCCGAGGAGGAGAGGAGTGGTCGGGAGGCTCGTGGGGATTGAGCTCGCGGTGGCGGCTCTTGGGCGAGCACCGCCGGGGGAGAGGAAGCTGGAGTTGGATGCCTTCGTGTGCAGGGAGGGCGGCGGGAGTTTGGGGGTGGAGGGCTGGTAGTTGGAGGGCAGGTTTGTGAAGACGAGGCCGTCGAGGTTGTGAATCTCGTCTCTAGATCGTGGGACACTGGGAAAGGGACTCGAATTGCGGTCGTGGGTATCAGATCTGGTCGCAGAGCGCTGGCGCGAGCTACCACTACTCATGGTATGCCCAGGTAGGTACAGTGCCAATGTCGTGGTTCCAGTTCGGGTTACCAGCAGCAGATAGCGTCGCCGTTGGCAGGGCCAGTCCCGTCGTGGTAAGGTGTTGATGGATGGGTTGGGATGGGATGGGTACGCGGCACATGGCAGGGGTGGTGTGGGCTGCTGCAGTGGGCGGCGGTGGGCCTCAGACCGTGGTCATGTCGGTCGGGTTCAATCGACTCGTCCTTGTCGGCTGTGTCGTTTGCGGTCGCTTGTTCTTCGTCGGGCTGTCGTCGCGGGGGTATTGTTGTTGGTGGTGTGGTTGGTGTTTGGAGCAAATGCGGTTTTGGGGCGAGTAGGTAAACCAGCGACGGGATGGAGACTTTTTTTTTGGAGGGGAAAGGCAGGAGGAGGGGTGGGCAGCCAGTGGTATGCGCTCCAAGGTAAGGTAAGGTCGCAGCCTGTCGGTCGGGTCGCCTTGTCTGTGTTCTGTCTCTGTTTCTTGTCTCTGAGAGCGAGGTGAGACGGGTTCCGCAGAGGACGAGAGACAGCAGTAGCGCGCTTAGAGCGATCGGGCCAAGGTGGTGTGGTGTGGTCTGGTATGGTATGGTCGTCTGGAGACTGGGGTGGGAGGTTGGGACTTGCGTCTAACAGGCTACCTAACCAACGCACGGCACCTTAGCAGACGGGAGAGTAAGAGAGCGTACGCAGGTCTACCTGTCGAATCATGTTCGAAGTATCAGGTATCAAGCATCGTCTCAATTGCCCAGATGCAGCTTTAGCGGGGCGGATGTGTGCCGTGCGGGCGTCCCGGCCAATCAAGACAATGTGACGAGACGTGCAGGTCCCTCGAAAGCACAGATTACCAACTTGCTGACCTACATACATACATACATGATGCTCTCTGTATTCAATTAAGAAAGCTCTTCTGATAGCACATCATCGATGCGACCGGGGACGAGAAGGCGAGGTGTCGGTCGACAATTTAATTGTCGTGGAGTGCCTAAGTGTTGCACCTGTGCGAGCCACTCGTACAATCAATTCTACGTCTCGCAGAATCGAACGCCGACAGGAATTCAGTGTCACCACCCACTTCATCTTGAATAAAACCCCCAATCATCCTTCTCAAGCCACCTGCCTGCCTTCGCCGTTGCTGCGCCTGGCCCGCCCCGGTCGTTGCGACTCTTTCTCATTGAACCCGGCTTCGGCCGCGCCTCTATGCCTTGCCATTTCCTCTCTGCTGTCTTTCCAACACATTTGACTGCCATCCCAATTCGACCACATCCAGTCCAGCCTCAACTTTTAGTTCAACGCACCAACACAAGACGGAAGACACAGTATTCTTACCCACCGGGCCAGACCCGACCGCAATGCTCCCTCTGCGACCCGAGGCAGGACCCCGTCTGGTTTATTTCGCCTTGCATGGGGTCGGCTCAGGCGCGTCCCACCATACGCTCCTTGCCGCACACTAACACGAGCAACTCATCAAAGCCTGAATCCGCACTCACTCTGCGCAACCCATGAGCCTTCATTTAATTCCGCGTCCAAAAGAGACTTTATCGGTTTGGGAAAACCTCCTGACCTGAAGAGTTTTCCCACAAGCAGAGATGTTGACAGTTGTTCTCTTTCGAGTCTTGCTCCGTCGATAAGATATGGTCAGGAAGTTGACTCGTCGAGACTCCAGAGGCCGGCCAGACTAGTAGTAGATACGGGTCAAACCCCATCTCAATAGAAGATAGCATGTTCGGATTGACAACTCAATTGTCTGAACGTGGCCTAGCGAGGGGGAAGAAAACTCTTTCAACTCAAGTCCTTCCTGCGAAAGACCCTTATCCGTACAGCGGCGCTAAACCCCAGCCACCTCGCACAACTCAAAAGGCACCAAATCGTGCCTGGGCTAAGACAAGCGGGGGAAACGCATCTCGCAGAATGCACCGCCAAAAATGCAAGCAGCCGCCAGTGCCTCGTCCTGATTCGCCAGAATCCGCATTTCCAGCAAATGGAAGCCCACAATCAGCCCAGCTCAGCTCACACCGCTCTCGGTCTAGCGGTATCCTGCTTTGCTGCATCTCGCCCTCTCGATAGCCGAAGATCCCTCAAGAATGCCCAAGTCTGTCCTGGGCTTCTTTCAACGGGCACTCGGTCTGTCTCGCCAATGCGCAGTAGCGTGTGGAGATCCCATTTTCAGCCTCAATCATCCTTCAACGTCGTCGTCAACATTGCCGTCGTTGTTGTGAGACCCGTGTAATTTCCAGTCAAATACCAACCTACCTTAGGTATGCACACCAAGGTACTGCCAACTTGCCTATATCACGCTCAGATATACCAGGAGCAGCCTGTCACACCGGCAAACGGCGCCGCCAAACGACGTCATCCCCCACCGCTGAAACCCCTGTCCTCAAGCCGCCCATCCTTGATTCAAACGATTTGTGTGTACATCGTCGACCACATTTCCCAAACCCGCTCTTCTCGTGACAGCTTCAGAATACAGATGCAATGCCTACAATCCACACTGGGAAATCCGATCACCATGCGGATAACTTCCCCAGCAACCAACACTCGCCCGTTCACACAAAAAACAACGTCGAAACTGAAAACAATCCAATGTGGCCGTGCATGAACCCCCCTCCCGTCCAACGCACGTCACAACATGAGAAGACTCTAAATGCGCGCCGGCCGCCTCTCCCTCCGCACCGCATAACCAAGCAAGGCCACCGTTGTCATGGGCTGCACGCGGCTGCACCCTCGGCCCGGAGCTGTAAATTGCATGAACATCGGACGGGAGAGGTCGGCCGACGAGATGCCTAACCTCGAGAGACTGCTGTTGTCTCGTGCCTGGCAGGGACCAGGCTTCGAGCGTGGTTGTTTCGACGCCAAGACTATGACAATGAACAACTCCGTCCCCTTGTAGAAGCCAGGCAATGGATCTTCAGAAAGCCACATGGGGAAAGGTGACATGAGACCCGTATGTATTGTCAATTCCTGTTGTACCTGGATCGTTTGTTTAGCTTTGATCATTTTGTCCGAACGAGCGGCGCACTCCGGCCCCGCAGCTTCGGAGACGGCGGCCAAGACCGGCCCTGTCAGTCTGCGTAGGTAGGTACCTCGTCATGCGTCTCTGTCTCTGCCCTCACTCACCGTCTCCGCCCCCGGAGTAGTATTCGACACTGTCCATCTCGAATAAATCTTCGCCTCCAGAGTCTTTTGAAGAACCTCCTCATTATTCGGGGCGATGGTCGTTCTTCAGGTTGATCGACTCTGCGAGTCTCCGAAGCCGCCTTCCCAGTTTCACCGACTGCTTGTTCGGCCTCACTGGCTCCTCGACCGGTCCTTGTCGTCTGCGTCGATGTCAGATTTGGGGTTTCTCAGGCCCAGCGCCAGCATCAGGGCATCAGTTTCCGCCGCGGCTTCCGTCTCTGCAGCAACGACCTTTTCTTTCGTCTTCTTCTGCTCATCATTCGGTCGGGTCGAAGCCCCGAACACAGCCAGGAGGAAGGTCAGCTGGGAGTGGATTTGGAATATAACCCTTGACGCCATAAGGATCGACCGGTTTATAGGAATAGAGGTTCAGACGCTGCGTCGGGTAGTAACGGGCGACTTCCAGTTCGATGCTGGACTTGAATTTCCCGGACATACTGGGCTACCGATGTCGCGGTCCACGAGGAGTCTGAGGGCAGGTTGGCGATTTCGCAAGACGGGATGGTTGTGAGATTAGGCCGATGATGTCAGGAAGGAGTTGATAGCGATCGAATCCCCCCTCGATAGCTAGTTGAGTAGGGATTGGGATGGGGTTTGGAAGTGGTAGGGGGCGGACAGAACCGCGATGGTCTCAAACAGAGTCAAGGGCAGAGTAAACGAGTTGGGTTTTGACGTACCTAAGCGGCCGCTCAAGGTAGAGGTATGTGATCCAAAAGTCACAGAACCTTTAAGGAAAGATTCGTGTGCTGTTCCTTCCGTAAAGGTTTCCAGGCTGAGCAACCTAGACAACGAGAGGCGCTGTGCCCATGGTCGAAATCAGACTTTCCGCTCATTAGATTTTTTGCTCCGTTTTCTCTTCGGCACTCCAGGTAACCTCAAACCGTAAGAACCGCTCTTGCGCAGCCGCATCTCTCCAATCTCTCTTCAAAATCCATGCAGCTCTCTCCAAAGCCTTTCTAGGCATCCTCTGTTCTTCGTCTTACCATCCTCTTTTTGCCTACCAAACCACAATCGACAACGCAACATAGCACTTCATCATGGAGGGATTTCTTGAGCTTGCAACCTGGGATAAGCCTGAGGAGATGTATACTGTTGGCAAAAAGCTGACCCTATTTCCATACGAGCCGGTACGCCCATATAGCACGCCCGCATACCATTCACCTCGAGGCGTGCGCAACTTCGACCCCAAGGCCGACTTCGCCAAGACTCAAGCCAAGGTTCAAATCGAGAAAATCATACGCGTTGGTCCCGAACGAGAGTCTCAAATCTTCAGCTGCAAGGTACTGGAGGCACCGGTCGAAGAACGCCCAGCCTTCTACCAGTCACCTCTCAGCCTGATCCCCAAGAACAAGGACTCCAAAGCCCGCCGCCCGCCCCTGACTAGGAAGCTCGTCAGCAAGGTCTACGACAACACCTGGCTTCCTAGCTGCTTTGTTAACCCTAGCCCTGATACAGGTTACTTCAGCCGTGAGCATGCCGCCTACGCCTACTATCGCTGGAATAAGAAGACGGGCTACGCGCATACTATGCCACAGTTCTACGGTGGCTGGGTGGCGAAAGTCAAGTATGGTACGAATATGACGGGTGAACCACAATTCAAGTACGTTGGTCTTATCGTTATTGAGTACATCGACGGCCGCTCTATTGAGGACCTGTGTTTTCGCGAAGATATCGAAGAAGGATATATTGGCGAGCTCTGCCCTTACGAATTTTCTTTTGGCATATCTGGCGAGGGCAACCAGATTAGGCGTGTTACCTTTGACGAGAAGAATCGACAGCTTGTCATCCAGATAATGCTCCACGGTATTTGCCAAGGTTTCCAACTCGGGGTCGAGCATCACGAAATTTCCCCGAAGAATGTATTCGTTACGTTGAAGAACGGTACGCAGGACTTGAAAGAATTACGAGTCGTATTTCTTGACCACGATGATACTCAGGTATGGTTTGAGACAAAATATTCGGAACGACGCGGGAATTCAAGCTACTGTTTACAGAAGCTTCCTTTTCCAACCCACCCTCGGGAAAGATGCAGTGTCGTGGCTTTGGAGAAGTTCCAAGGCTGGTGGCCTCCATCTGCCAACGGCCGTCCTGAACACGAGGTAGAAAAAGAGTTTAAGCAGTGGCTCAAGTGAAGAGGTCTTTGGTCCCCTGATTGAGGCGACGGACAAGAAAGACTTGGTCAAGCAAGACAAGATGCGGCCGTACGCCAACCAAAGGTATTCTACCTTCGACACGCTGGACTTGATTGGGGAGAGACAGGACGCAATGCTGGACGTCATAATTCCTCAAGTTCTCACCCTTCTAGGCAACCTTGAAGACAAAGATTCTTTGGGACAGGATTTGGAGAGGGCCATTCAGAGGGCGTTGGAAAAGGTCACCTTGCATAACACCGTCACAGGCTCGCGACACCCACCTTCGCACCATAAACTTCGGCGAAGACGTCTCGATTAGGACTGTTCTGATTCTGGTATCGCATAAAGGCTACTCGGTAATGAATATCCACTGTTCGATCCATGTTATGATCTCACACGGCTGTAAGCCGGGATACAACTCTCACCCCAAACATACCTGCATCCACTATTGTCACTTGCACTAAATGCCCCCGCATCCCTTCTCACACCTTATCCCAAGACGCACCGTCTCCTGCCAAAACCACTCATAGTGCCATGCTGGCCGTCTTTGAGAATTATCGCCTCGCAGACTCATACATACGTAGCGCACCTGTGAGTCAGCCTATCAAGCATTTACCAACTCAAGGAGCAACCCACCTTCGTCCTCCTGAGCGGACACTTTGCGTTTTCCATGTGTTTTGCTTCAAAACCTTGCTGCAAACTCACTTTCTAGCAAAAGACTGGTCTTCTATTCTCTCTGAGTGGACCACGATGGTGCTGCGGTGGGCGACGCAGGGGATGACGATGTCAATGAATGGAGTATCATGCTTCTCTATTATGCTGATCAAGTGTCACACTTCCCCTGACTGGTCTTTCTTCTTTGGCCTCTCGATGTCGTCGAGCCCGTACCAATTTCAGAACGCCTTGAAACTGCTCAACGTCTGGTAAGTCGCGTGAGCTTCCGGCGTCTTCCGCCCGCAGATTTCTCAGAGCGTCCTTGAGGTCGCGAAGCTCTTGCGCTTTTTGAAATGCCACAGCCTCTCTAACCTCTCTATCCTCATGAGCCCCGAAGAACTGGGGGAAGTAGTCGATCTCATCCTCGTTGTCATTGTCGTCCTCGTCATAGTCATCATCATCGTCGTCGCCGTCGTCGTCGTCGTCGTTGTTATTATCATCGGCGGTGGCATCGTCCGTGACATCAATGGCAACATCCTCGATCTGTCCACCCTTCTGCTCCTGCCTCTCTTTCTCCTCGTACCACTCAGCGTGCGCATCTTTAAAGGCTCTCTTGGCCGCAGAAACCACTGCATCCATCGCCAGCTTCATCGATTTCTCCTTCACAGCGGCCCACTCTGCTGCCTCCTCGGCCTCCTTCACGGGGTCCCTCAACCAGTCCCGTAACGCCTTCTCCACCGCGAATGCCTCCTTCGCCGCTGTCTCCCTCGCCCTTTCCTCCGCCTCTTGTATCAGGTACAAAGTCTTGTAGACTGAGTATCTCCCCTCCTCAAACGGGCCGAAAGTCTCCACGAGCCATTCATCACACTCGATCTCGCATTTATGGCGGAGCCGACCATTGTCGTCCCTGATGCGAATCCCTTCGGAGTCACGGGCCCACTCGGCCTCTCTCGCCTCATTATCGTTCGTTGTCTCGTAGCAGTACGACGAAGGCCAAAATCCGATGGTACTGTGTAGCTCCTCAAAGTCAAAAATCTGCATCGGGTGGACAGGCTTCGGGAGCTTTTGCAGGTCGTAGAGGCGATGTCTGTCGACAGTTTTGCCGACACGCGTCATACACCATACATCGCTCATTGTATAGTCCAAAACCACCGCTCGGGGCACTTCCAGGTCGTGTTGGCTATTCTTGATGGTAATCATGATCTGGCGGGCCTCAATGGCCCCCAAACTCCAAGCCCACGTGCAACATCTTGACCAAGCCATCAAGCACTTGTCTCATGACCTCCTTTCTGTTCTGCTTGTGAAGTGCAAGGGTGACTGGACTACCGTTGGCATCGTAGTGAAAGATGGGGAGCAGGTTGCGGGGGACGAGCTCATGCGTGGTGTCATGACGGGTGCGTAGGTTCTCCATTGAGAAGCCTTCGACATGCTCCATGAGAATGACCGGAACGCACCTGTAGGCTTGGTGCTTGTCCTCAAGTCCAAGGTCGATGAGGTCATCGTCTTCAAATCCAAGGTCGAACACTGCGACATATGTACCATAAAACTCGGGCGTCGGGTGAGGGAAGCCGGTCATGTTGTTTGAGTAGAGGTATCGATAGGCTCCAGCCTCTCTGCTCAGCGCCGCCTCCGCTGCCTTATCCACACCACGACCCCCCAGGATTGGGTAGAAGGGGGGGTCAAACGCCTTGCAGACAACGAGGTCGGGCCACTGCTGACTCTCGCGAGGACCCTGGACACTGGGGTCATGGTGGTTCTCGAGATTCATCACAATCCTGCATGCGGTGATCTGATTGCACTTCTTGATGCCCCATGACAGGCCCTCGAAGACCTCAAGGATAAGATCTGGAGTCGGAGGTAGATTGGTCGGATCAAAGCCACGGACCCAACCAGGTGTGAGGTCATCCGGCAAATTATTCAGCAAGTACTTTGTGGTTCCGTGGGGATCAACGGGGGTGTACGAATACAGATTCAGCCGGCGGCCTGCCCTGTAGCGCCGAACCTCCATTTCTATCTGAGGCCAAAACTTCTGAGACATGGCGAGTGCTGAGTTCTGGAAGCTGGAAGTGGTGGTGTGCTGATGATGAAGGGTTATTGGTGATGAACTGTGTTGGTTGTGAGTGATGGCAGAGTGGTGTGACTTGTCGAAGCCTGCGAAACAGGCGCGTGAAAATGGACAAGTATGGAGTGTGTTTTCTGCTGTCATGTGTTATGAGAGAGGTCAAACGGAGAAAACGCTTTGCATTGCGATACCTCTCAAGGTTACCCGTAGAGCTTGTTTTTGGAACCTGCTTGGTTTTGAGCCGTTGCCGCTAGGAGGAACTGTCCTATCGTCCATTTTGCGTGTCCTTAGGGCTTTGTTGCTGCTCCGCAAGTCTTCTTTTCTCTTGTCACTGTCGAAGAAGGTCCTCTTTGACCGCATCAAGCGACTTGAAGAGCGAATATTTGCCATACGGGTATGGCCATTCAGCGCCGTCCTCCAAACCCTCCTCGACTTCCGCGGCCTCTACGAGCGGACCGAACACCTCTTCGCTAACAATCCAATCTTCGTACTCCTTCTTACTGTTGAAAGTAGCTGGTTCATTGCCGTACCAGCCGTCCGGAGGCGACGGAAACCAGCCGACAAAGTCGTCAACAGCCCTGAAGCCGAATCGAAGCCGTGGATGCGGCGGGTATGCCAGGTGTTCAAGAAGCTGTTTGAGCTCTAACGGCCCTTGTGCCTCCGTAGTCTTCGACCAGACCTGCGCTAGCATATGCCCAAGAAGGACAGCTCTTGGCTTTTCCAGGTCGAAATCCCTATCACGCATCGTGAGATAGATGTTCTTCGGTTCAAACATCTCGTGTTTGACGCCGACGTGAAGATGGCACACGATTCCGTGTAGAGCCTGCTTTAATATGTCTTGGCAAACTTCTTTCTCTAGTTCGAGACAAACCTGGCCCTATTCCGCATCATCGGAATCGTGAAAGAAGACACGACCCTCGAAAGGGAGTAGCTGACCATATTTGTCCCTATGACAGAGAGCCTCGATTGAATGGCCGATTATATGCTCCCTCAGAACAACACCAACGAAGCGTTCAGTCACACGGCCAGTAGATCTCTGTCGGGCTTGGATGCGTGCAACCCAGCAGCCATAATACTGAGGCGCAAAGTGGAGATGACCTGTTAAGCCCTTGGTGAAGAGATGTCTGAGAGCTGCATCTGCGCAACTCAGATTTCCGTCAGCTTGCTCGTCATTGTCGTAGGGAGCACCTGTGCTACCAGGGTAAAATTCTGGATCGAAGATCTCTGCAGCAATTTGCACCTTGACAGGCTTGCCGTCCTTGGTCAACTGAGTGAGTTCTTCCGGTGATTGTTGATGCTTGGGGGCTTCGACCAGATTGCAGGCAAGGATTTGGGCAAGATGATTGTCACCGCCGTGAATCATGTCGTCAATCTCGATGACTGCGGCTTCCTCGGCTCTGTTGTTTAGAGTTGTTGGGTCAAAGTTTCTCATCCAACCTGGATGGAAGTCGCGGGGCAACGGATTGCGCGTGTACTGTGAGCGTCCGTGGGGTTCTGCGGGCTTGTACGGCCATAGTTCTAGTTTTGTTCCCGGCTGGTACTGCTTCGTGGGTGATATGTATCGGAATGTCGACATTTTGTTGCAATCATGCTCCGGAGGTTCTGCAAAGAAATCTGGATTGAGAACTACTTTTCGACTCTGGGACAGGTTGAGCTGGTTGATGGCTGCTGGTCGAGAAACGCAGGGTGAGATGAGGAAAGGGATGGAGGTGAGGGGAGTTGGGTCGGTTCGAGACGCAGTAGACACGGCGCACAAGAATGAAGAGAAAATGAGGAGCCGCAGAGGTGGGCTTGGGATAGTTATGGGTGCCCTTGCTGGGGTTCACAAATGGTCGATTTGGAGGAATTCAATATTCCCTCTGGATATCCAATGTCAGCATCAGGACGTAGAAAAGGGAGTCATGATTTGGGCATACTTCTCGCAGAATTGGTATCGATTTTGGGACCAACCATGTTTGCCGTATTAGCTCGACTGCTTCTCGTCTTTAACCTACCTTACCGTCGTTACCGTTACTGCTATCGTCGTCGTCGTCGTCGTCGTCGTCGTCATCGCCGCTCACATCGTCTTCGATAAGGGCAATGAAGCACACAGGAAATATAGCCGCGCAGACACAGGGAAGTTAGGCGATCTCTTAATTTATTTCTACTATTTGTAACCTTTCGTCCGCGCAGTGGACAGATTGATATCAGCAAGAGCCTGCACATTTGCGTCACTATCCTTCTTGAGCTCTTCCTCCTCTAGATTTCTGCGTCTCTCCTCTCGTTCCTCTAAAAGTTTTGGCTTAATTGGGTCAAGCGTCTTGAATAGAGAGTACTTCTTGTACGGATGCGGCCACTCAACGCCCTTGCCCAGCTCGGCCTCCACATCCGCAGCCTCAACCAGTGGCCCGAAAGCCTCGTCACTCACAAGCCACTCATCGAATTCAGCTTCGTTATCGAAGTCACCTGGCTCGTCGCCCTCCCAGCCCACTTCAGGGGAGGGCCACCATCCTATGAAGTTCTCAAGTCCTGTGACACTAAACCGCTGGAAAGGATGAGGTGGATGGGGAAGATGCTCCAGTAACTGTACGGGACCCTTGGGGCCCTTGGCCATTTTTGTCTTTGACCATACCTGTGTGTTCGTGAAGCCAAGCAGCACAGCCCTCGGCCAATCCAAACCCACCTTTCCGTTGCGCAAGGTGATGAATACCTTGCGCGGCTCGAAGACATTATGCTGAACGCCGATATGCATGTGTTCGACGAGACCATTGACGGCCTGCTTCATGACTTCTTGGCACAGCTCCTTGGAAATTTCCAAAGTGTGGAATCCATCGTCGACATCTTCGGGCATGTGGAAAACGACGTCGCCATCAGGAGGAATAAGTTCGTCGTATTCATCGCGGTCGCAAATATCCTCAATTGAGTGGCCATTGATGTACTCCTCGAGGACAAGGCCGACGTATCTGAAAGCGTTCTTGTCGTACGTATCAACACGGGTCGCCCAGCAGCCGTAATATTGGGGAACGACATGTGGGTGTCCAGTCTTATTCTTCGAGAAGAAATGCTTGAGTGCGGCGTCAGTGCGGCTGAGGTTGCCATCGGCCTGTTCTGCGTTGCTGTAAAATGTGTACTCGTCGCTGGGGTAGAACTCGGTGTCGTAGAGGAAGCCGACTACCTGCGTGCCATCTCCGGGAAGCCTGGCAGCATCGCCCCGATACGAAACTGGCGGTTGAATGACGTCGAATAGAATGACCTGAACCGTGTTGTTGTCGCCTCCGGAAATGACCTTGCTGACTTGAAGCACGGCTTGCTTGTCGACATCTTCCTTGCGTGTGCTGCGAGTCATCTCGAGATCGAAATCTCGAAGGTGATCAGGGGGAAGATCATTCGGTAGAGGATTCCGAGTGTACTCAGACAGGCCGTCTGTGGGGCTGCACTGGCTCATACTGCCAAAGAGTCAACCGCGTCCCGGCCTTGTACTGCTGGGCGGCCGTGATGTATTGAGATGGGAACATCTTGTAGCTGACAGAGATTGCGTTGATAGTTGAAGAAGGTCGGGCTGTCGCACGTGTCGAGTACGCTTGAAGACGCGGTGGCAGGCTCGGCAAGAACAAGAAATAAGGGTGATGCTGGGAACAGAGAATTTGAGTAATTCTGAATTCAGATGGTGCAGGTCAGCAGGCTCAGTGTGTCAATTTCATTCTAGCAGATAAGCCATTTCTAATAGGGAGAAGGGTTGTAGTGGCTGATACTCATCAAGGTTACCTACACACGGAATTGGGGGCTTAAACACATAAATAGGCCGACCTTGACATCGCATAAGTAGTTATCTTGAAAGGAAGTAGCGAGTTGTGGGTAGCACTGTACACTAGGAGAAGTTCTTGATTGTCTTCGCTTTTGAAGACATTGTGAAAGGCATGAAAACAGTCAACACGCCCCCGTCAACTCAACTCAACGGACGGCAGAGATGGCGACGATAAGGACGACAACGATAGGGACGACAGCAGTAGACACGTATTGAGCATAGCACATGAAGGGTAGGAGTTGCTTTTCCCTCGTGTGAAGTGGACAGAGCATTTCGGCCGTCGGTGGACCGTTTCCCCCAGGCTTTTGCAACATTCAAGCGCACTTTGGTGGCACCAAGTTACCATGAGGAGGGTTATGGCTTTTCTATGGCCGCTCCTTGTTCCATCGCCTTCTTAGCCCACTTGGCGCGAGGTAAAAGGTGGTTGGTCTTTCGCTACGAAAGCGAATAGACACCTGAGCTGTGAGAGTGTCAAAAATTCAAATTGTCCAAAAACGGCAAAAGTATATGTTCCGAAACCGAGAATCGAACTCGGGGCTATGCCTATCCTCGCATCAAGGATGAGAGGGCATCATGTTGGCCACTACACCATATCGGATGGATGTGTGATTGTTGAAGTGGAGAGACGGCAAAGCTCTTCATCAACGAAGACGCCAAGGTGGGGCTTCTCTCTTCGCTAGCCAGGTTGGCAGGACAAGCACAAATTTCGCGCTAGATGGTCCTTCGGGGTCAAACAACCGCCTGAAGCATCTCATATGGTTGAAAATCAATGATAACATGAGAGCAAGTTGATGAAGGTGATGAGCAGTGATGCAGGATGTGAGATTGAAGAGCTGGCACGAATGACGTGGAGGTGGATTGCAGTTCTCCGGGGCTTACGTCAGAGCTCCAATGACTAATCGCCGCTCGGTATCGATATGCATGTAACAGGGGCACAAACAACCTTTGAATTCGGCTTCGACATCTCATAGACACAGCTTCATACGACCGCCACGACTTCGAAAAACTGTCAGGAAGGTCAATTTCGTCAATTGGAAGAGTGTGTTCAGATACCCATATGCTTCTCATCACACTATGCTCACTAGCCTTGGCAGCACCATCCCTCACATGAGTACCAAGCTTCCAAGGGCATCAGCGCATATAAGTCGACGAGTTTGCGGGGCAACGTTCACACCTCGAATTCGTCTCCCTTCAACAACACACGTCCCTCGAGCTCACTTCACAACAAGTATCCGCCTGCGACAAGCACAAGACGTTCTCAAAATGGCCGCCAGCAACAAGTACTCCTCCCCTAGCTTCACCAGCCTGGTCGTGGATGCTATGAGAAAGCAGTAAGACCCCGCACCCCCCTCATTCATACATCTCACACTCACAACCGCCACAGCTACCCCGAAGAGCTCGCAGACAGACGCTGGGACAACGTTGGTCTTCTCCTCGGTAACATCGAGACCCCGGCTTCCCGCCAACCCAAATCCCCCGTCGTCCTCCTCACAAACGACCTCACCTACGCCGTCGCTGAGGAAGCAATCCAGAAGAACGCCAGCGTCATCGTCAGCTACCGTACGTCTCACGAATCTCCCATCCACCACCAAATCTAACCATCCTCCCAGACCCCTTCATCTTCTCCGGCCTCAAGTCAATCACCACAAACGACCCGCAACAAGCAACCCTCCTCCTGCTCGCCGCCCACGGAATCGCAGTCTACTGCCCGCACACCGCCGTCGATGCCGCCCCCAACGGCCTCAACACCTGGCTCGGCGACATCGTCTCCGGCGGCCCCGCCACCTCCTCCACCACCGCCGCGCCCTCCGAGCGCACCGTCGTCACCCCAATCTCCTCCACCCCCGCCGGTTTCGAGGGCTCCGGCTACGGCCTGCTCTGCACCTTCCGCCAGCCCGAGTCCCTCGCGGCCATCATCCGCCGCGTGGCCGAGCGCGTCGGCATGCGCCGCGTCATGGTCGCGAGCCCGGACCCGAAGCGGGTGTCGACGGCGCGCGTCGATGCCGTCGCCGTGTGTGCCGGCAGCGGGTGGGACGTCGTCAAGGGCGCGCGCGCAGACGTCATCGTCACGGGTGAGATGAGCCACCACAACGCGCTCAAGGCCGTGCAGGAAGGCAAGACGGTCGTGACGGTGTTCCACAGCAACTCGGAGAGGGGGTACCTGACGGAGGTGATGAAGCCCCTGCTGGAGGGCGAGTTGAAGAGTAAGGAGGCGGGTGTGCAGGTGTTTGTAAGCGAGGCGGACCGGGATCCGTTTGACATTATTGACATTTCGGAGTTGTAAGAGGCGGGGTCAGGGATTCACATAAAGGAGAAGCAGGTCTAGAAAAAAGTGAAGAGATTATGAATTTTTGCGGGGAAACGATTCCTATAGCAATGCAAAGGTATTCTACCACCGGATATGGGTGATGTGAGATGTGCAAATCCCCTGCTGTATCGTCCAGTTCTTCCGATTTAGTCTATATCAAGTATTTCAGCCCAGTAAGCAGTCAACTAACGCCACAACACCCTCGCTATGCCTTTAAACAACCGCACCTCGGCCTCCCTCAAGACCTTCCACTGTCTTTCGAAGTCCTCACGCTGCTCTCCCCTGTGCCCCTCAACGCCGCATCGCCCTCTTCAAGACACTCCACCACGTCCGTCCCACCGACGCCCTTCTCTTTCCAAACCTCGAGCAACCGCCTCGGCATTTCCCATAGGCTCCTCGCCTCCTCAACCTTGCCATCCTTCACCAGCTTCCGCAACTTCTCAGGCGTCCCCAGCACCTCCTTCGCAAGCTGCCTCGTCCTCCGCCGCCTCGCCGCGGCCTCCTCGTCCAAGCGCTCCTGCGACCCGGGCGGCGCCACCGTCTTGCGCAGCGCCTCGCGGATCGAGCTCGCCTGGGCATATATCCCCGCAATAGCCGGGTCAAGTGTCGACGCCATGGGGTTCAGGGGGTCCATGTTCGCGCGCATCTAGAAGCTCAGCGTCAGCAAAAGACCACATCTTCAATAATTCACAATACTCCAACGAGGAGCGGAGGATGGCAGAGAGAGCATGCTCACCTTTCGAATCGTCTCCGTGGCAGATATCAGCTTCGAGTAATTGTCGTACACCAGCGCCTTCTTCTCCGCATCCAGCGCCCGGATCTCGCCCAGCACGCGCGTGTACACCCTCAGCAGGTCGTCCAGCGTGTTCTCCGCCAGCGCCTTGCGCACATACGCCTCGGCGTCGAAGCTCGCGTTGTCGAGCTCGCTGGGCGGAACCTCGCTGTGTTCCGCAATGCCGCCGCCGCGCTCCGAGGAGACGTCGTCTGCGTCGGTGACTTCGAGGGACGGGGTGGTCGTCCCCTTTTTCAGGTTGTAGTACTCGCGGAGGGCGGCGCGGTTGGCGCGTTTGGAGGGCGCTGCCGCGGTGCCGGGGGCACCGAAGGTTGCTGAGGAGGACGGGTTCGGGGAGGATGTCGCGGAGCGCGGGGCGTCTAGGGAGGGGCGGGTTGAGGATGTTGGAGTGTGTGGCTGCGCGGAGACGCGGCGGGTGAGGGCGGGCGGTTCGCGGGGGGAGGCGATTGAGGCCATTTTCGGGTGCCGTTTTGATTTCTAGTTTCGGTTATTGAGGGGTAGGTTGCACTTAAAGAAGGGACGGAGCCGATTGAGGCTGTGGTGGTGTGATGCGTAGAGACGCTGCTGTGAAGCTCGTGATGGTTGACGGTTGCCGGTTGCGGCGCGAGGCTGCGCTGGAGGATGACGGGGATGCTGGCGATAGGTCGACAGAGCTCGTGTGGGGTAGCGGCCCCTTGGACTTCAGCTGTTCAGCGAGGCTGCGCTAGCGTGCACATGCAGTGGTTCTAATTTTGGAGATCTATAGTGGGGCCGGGCCCGGGAAGTTGGGGGTAGGTAGGTACCTTAAGTGCCTGCCAGCTTTTTACCCCACTGAAGCTATTCTTCAAGAACCTCTCTTCCAACACTGCAAACCCAACAATATCAAAATGTAAAATTTCCTACCAAAACATCGGGCATGAAAATGGACGCAACCACACAAATCCGCAACGCCCTCCACTCCCAATCCTTCCCGACGCCCTCCGTCCCCTGGACCACGACCCTGACCTCGCGCGTCCCGACCCCGCCGCTGCCCTCCCTCATCGCGACCGCCAAAGCGCGCCTCCTCGCCTCGGACCTCACGACGCCCAACCTGCTCGATCCCTCCTCGTCAGCGACATTCCCGCCCGCGGCGACGGACCCGCAGACGCCGGAGACGACGCTGCCCCGCGACGTCCCCTGCCAGGTCGTCGACGTCGAGAACCTGGCCCTCTCGCGCTGGGAGCAGGTCGAGGAGCTCGAGGCCGTGGCGCGCGGCGAGATGACCACCGGCCGGCGCGTGGTGCGGCTGGCTGCGGCCGAGGAGCAGGCCGAGTACGATAACGTCGACGAGGGTGCTCCGGGGCGGACGCAGGCGGCGGCAGCGGCGCCGCAGCAGAGGAAGAATGCGACGCACAGGCTTGTGCTGCAGGATTGCAAGGGGCAGAAGGTGTATGCGATGGAGCTGAGGCGGGTGGAGAGGATTGGGGTCGGGGTTACGAATATCGGCGAGAAGGTCATGCTCAAGGCTGGGACGGTGGTGGCGAGGGGCACGGTGCTGCTTGAGCCGGAGAAGTGTGTGATGTTGGGAGGAAAGGTTGACGCATGGCAGAAGGCGTGGATGGAGGGGCGGATTGCGAGGTTGAAGGAGGCTGTCGGGGCTGATCGGCCGTAGAGGGAAGGGATGTGATGCATTAGTTGGAGTTCGGGTATACCCATTTGACTAGAGACACGATATGCATTTGCTTTTAACTTTTTTTTCGTTTTATTCGTCCGTCTGGATCTATTTGATGGACACGTCCTTCACTATCATGAGCAACTTCATCTAGCCCTATTTGCCCATGACTTAACATCTAGCCTTCAGACAAATTCGGCCACGCTCGCCACATCTAGTTCCCGGAAACCGCCTCACGCAAAGAGTTCCAGCCGGCCACCGTCCACGGCGCCAAGAAAATGGCCGTCTGGGCATGCGCAGCAACACCCGTGCCGGCGTATGCCTTGGCCAGGTCCTCCGCCTCGAGCGTTCCCCGAGGCGGAACGCCCTTCTTGGCCACCGTCAACGCCATCTCGGCCGGGTACTCCTCGCCGCCAAATTCCGCCAGGTTCGACCACCCGTGCGGCAGATGTGGGTACAGCATGATGTCCGTCTGGATCTGGGTCAATACATCCTCGTCGGTGCTGTTCTCGCCGAGCTTCGCCACGGCGCCGAGCACCTCGCCGATCTGGGACTGCTCCGTGTCTGCAATCTTATCGCTCGTGCGGAGGCCCTCGAGCTCGGCGACGACGGCCTCGACGGACTCTTCGTCGTTGTCGAGGACAGCAATGACGCCGAGGAGAAGAACGGCTTGGACATGATCGGGCTGTTTCTCAATCACTTCGAAAAGGGAGTTGCGAGCCTTCTCGCGGGACTCTTCCGAGCCGTTAGCCCAGAGCACCTGAGCAAGGAGGCAGACGGCATCGGCATTGCCATCGGATTCCTCCAGAGCCGACTCGAAGCAGAGAAGCGCCTCGTCGATGTCTTTGCTGTAGTATTGCGCCAGGCCGACGGTCAGGTGAGCCGAGAGACGTGCCTTCTTGCGCTCCTCCTGTGTCAGCTCGTTGTCAGACTCGTCGCTGCTTAGCTGGAGCGCCATTTCACCGCACTCAACGGCTTGCTCGTACGAGCCGGAAGCCAAGTACGATCTGGCCAGGTCCGTCTTGGCGAGAGCGAATTGTGCGAGAGCTTGAGGCGACTCCGTAACCTCGAAGTCCGCCTCCAGGATGCCGCAGATCTTCTCAAGAATCTCGACGGCCTTGACGTTGTCGTGCGTCCGCTCTAAGAACATAGTCGACAAATGTCCGTATGCCAAGTCCTGCGGCTTCAAGTTGTTCAGTTGGCCGAGCGCGAAGATGGGCTGGATGAGCGACGAGATGTTGGCGGACGTCGCGGTCAGGATGTAGTCAAACACGGAGACGGAGAACTGGCGCCTCGTAAGGACAGACGACGACTCCGCGATTTCCATGGCATGTGTAAACAGACCCCTCGCCTCTTTTGTCTTCCCGTAGAGCAGCGCGACGAAGCCCTGACCGAGCCAAGCATGCGCGTAATCGGGATCTGTCGACTGCGCGCGGTTGAAGGCCTCGTTGGCAAGTTGCATGTCGTTCTGCAGCAGGGCCAATGTGCCCAGGTTCGTCCACGCCGCAGGGCTTCGCTCGTTGAGGTGCAGACTTCTGACGAAGGAATGCTGGGACACCGCCGGGCTGATTTCGCTCGTTACGACACCCAGCGAGTTCCAAAAGTCGGAATTTCCTGCCTCGAGCTCGATGGCCCGCTTGAAGCATTTCATAGCGGTCTTGAGATACACACTAGACTTCTTCCGAATGCTTGATGGGAGACAGATGTGAGCTCGGTGCTCCGCCCAGCCCAGGTTGTAGTACGCGACGGCCTGCGCGTGCAAATCGTTGGCCGAGACATGGATTGCTCGCTTGTGGCAGAGGATCGTAGCGTGGATGCATCTGGTCAGGTCGACGCCTAGTCTCTCATCTTCAGAGAATAGACCCTTGGCAGAAATGACACCGGTGCCAACATTGTCTACATCGGCAAATATTTCATAGGCCTTCTTGTCGCCGCTGTCGATGAGCGTCATGATGGACTCGGCAGGGAACTCAATAGCCTTACTTTGCACCGCAGAAAAGACGGAGCACGCGTCTGCAAGCGACTTCCAAAAGTTGAATGTCTCGACGACGGTCGCATCTGCCTCGGAAGCAAAAGCAATGGTGTCCTTAGCAAGTTGAATTGACTTGCCAAAGAGGCCCTTCTCAACACAATCAAGCGCGTTGTCAACCATGGTCTGCATAAGTGCGATGGCGACGCCATCTTCATTCGGCCGGCCATCGTTGACCTCCTGGTAGAGTGCAATGGCTTCGTCAAACTCGGCCAGCTCACGCTTGACGTTAGCAAGCATGTACTTGGTGAACCAAGTATCGCCAAGAACTTCCTTGGAAGCAGTTTCTTCCAGCCTCTGCGCATTAAGAATAGCCTTGGTCGCGGCGATGTAGCGACCTGATGAGTAGTAACTTTCTCCTAAGCCCACCCATGAGTGGTAGTCCTCCGGCGATATCCTCAGGGCTGACTGGAACGACACGATTGATTTGTGGAAATCCTGCTTGTTCAGCTCTGCAACACCAAGTGCTGCAAACGGCCAGCTGATGCCTTTCCTCTTCGAGCCTGGCGGTGGCTTCACCTTGCCAGAGTCGACCACCCGCTGAGCGACCAACTCGACTCTGTCCCAATCACCTTCGTCAGCGAATGATTGAGCCAGGCGCTTAGCTGCCTCGACTTCTGAAGATGAGAGCTCGACAGCCTTTTGGAAGCACCGTCTAGCCCTCTTCTTGTCTTTGGCGTAGTCGGCATAGTAGATGCCGAGACTTGTGTACGATGGTGCGAAGTTGAGGTTGTTTTTGAGAGAATCCAGGAAGTATGCGTAAGCACCTGTGCGACTCTTGCGAGCGGCCTTTGAAGAATCTAGGTTCCACAGACAGGACCCCAGGCGGTACTGTGTCTGTGCAAGAAGATCCTTTGACGGAGGCGTCATCTCCTCGATCAATGGGAGGGAGGCCTCCAGTTCCACCTTGGCCTTCTCGTAGTCACCCTTGAGCGCCTGTACCCAGGCAGATTCAGTCTTGACACGGAGGTTGCTAGGATCTCTCTTCAGCGCGCGCCCAAAGAAATCGATGGCATCATCAAAGTCCTCCTCTTCCTCGTAAATGAGACCGACACCAATCAGCGCCGGGGTAGATGATGGATCGTGTGTGAGAACCTCTTCGAACAGTCTCTTTGCTTCGCCGTGGTTTCTGGGAGACTGATAGAATACCAGAGCTGTGCCCAGGTATAGCGAGAAAGAATCGCTCGTGTTCTGGAATGTCATACCGGTCTTTGTCCTCTCCGACTTCAGAAGATCCATGGACTTTCTCATCTGTTCAACAGTGCTCTCGTATTCCTCTAGATGCTGGTAGTACTCTCCCATCAAACGATGAGCGAACAACGAGTCTGACGTCGTGATACCGTCCGTCATCATCAGGATTCTATCCTGTTCTGTCAGCGGCACCATGGACACACCGCCACCCTCGTCGTCTTCACTCTCGGTCTCCTCTGCCTCGAGTGCGGCGGGCGTCGGTTTGGGGAATGGAGAGATGCTGCTGGTCAAAAAGCCAGTGATGACCTTGTACAGGTCGGTCTCAGGGAAGAATGTGCAATAGTCCCTCAGCATATTGACGTCCCACTCCTTGATCTCCTTGGCGTCCTTCCAGTTGATGGCAATCTCCCATGCGAGTCTGTAAGGGTGCTTGATAATGACCATGTCCAGGGCCAGCTTCAGAACGGCTTGAAGAGCGAAGCCCTTTTCGGGGCCAAGCGGCGCAACCAGCAGGCGGTCGTAACACCACTGGAGGAGCTTCTCCTCATACCTCCGCCGGAGCTCGTCATCGTTTGTCCAGTTGATGAGCTGTTGGTAAATGTACTCGAGCTTGCTCTGAGCAATGACCTCACGCTTCACCTCGAGCGTGACCTCGTTCAAGCGCGCTCCTATCCTCGTCCTGCGCTCGCCGATGAGCGTGTTGATGCGCTTCTTCTCGTCGGTCTCAATGATCTGCGCCATGGTCTCGTAGGTCTTGGCGGGGTGCGGCACTCGGCCCTCAAGTGCAGGGTAGATGGGGCTTCCTGGGAGGATGACGCTCAAGGCGTCGATGTACTGGGCAGTGTCACCCTGTGATCTGGCAAAGTCGACAAACTTGTCGATGACATCCTGGCACTTGTACATGTCCTCGGCATCACGGTAGATTTCTGCCAAGCTCACCGCAGCCTGGTGGTAGGCCTCTATGCGCTTGCGGTCCTGTTTCTCGTAGAGCTTGATGAGACCCTGCCACGCCGCGGGCTCTTTGGGCTTCTGCGCAGCGGCAGTCTTGTACGCCTTCTCAGCCTCATCGACGCGGTTTTTCTTGTCAAGAGCGAAGGCCAGCAAGATGTTTCTGCGAATTGCGTCAGCAGGCTTGCAATGGAAATTGTCATTTGAGGAGAGAAGGTACGTACGCTTGGTAGTGCTTGGGGTCGCGCTCGAGGAACTCAGTCGCCTTCTGAATGGCGTCGTCCCATTTTTGCTGTTTGACAGAGTCGCCAATGGCCTTCACCGCAGCCTTGGAGCTCGACATGGTAGTTGGCGACTGAGGGTGTGAATCATGAAAGTGAGGTCTTCTTCCGATGGCGGGGCATCACCAGTGACCAGGGTGGTGAGAGCTCGCAGGAGGTACTGTTTGTGAGACGACAAGTCCAGGTGCAATGTGTGGTGAGCGCTACAAAGTGCAAGCCCCACCACAGCAGCCACGGCGCCTCCCTTATTACATCATGCCCCGCTTTGAGCGTTTGTGACGACCCGATAAGATAAGACGCCCGCTAAGCTCCACATCGCGACCTGCGTGAAGTGGCTTGATTAATCTAGCTACGAACGCGGGCGCGCCTGGCTACAAGTGGTGTGGCCGATCCCTTACGTAAAGACGGGATTCGGGACGGGATTCGGGCCTCCGGCCCGGGGCCGACTTCCGTCTCGCACGACCCGTCTAAGGTAGGTGCCATGGACCTTAGTTTATCGCTGCTACTGCTGTCATCAACACTTCGAAGATGGGAAAACACCATTTGTATCGACGGAAGCTAACAGATCAACTCGATTCATTTTTCGCTCGCATACAAGGGTATCTATAAGTGCACAAATCATCGCATCCGCCACAATCACCTTTTCCAATCCCGTGCACCTACTCCCCCTCTGGGACCGAATCGACGCCAGAGTTGTTCGAGTCCGTCTTGGTCAGAAACCTCCTCAGTCCCCGTCTCTGCCCCAGCGGACCATGAATAGCCTCGCTCGACGTGGACGACCTCGTGAAGACTGTCGACGAAGAGGCATCGCTGGACTTGCGCGTCGGCATTTGTGCATGCTGCTGCAGAAGTCGCTTGATCTCCGACCCTGCCAACCCAGAATTGTTCGCGGCCTGGAAGGCGTTCCTCCCGTTCGCGTCCGTCAGATACGGGTTCGCACCGTGGGTAAGTAGCATTTCTATCACGGTGATCTTTCGGGCGCTTCTGGTCGCCACTACTTGGATTGCTGCAATCAACGGGGTGCAGATGTTGGGGCTCTCCGTGCCGGATGAAGCAGACCCCCTCCTTGCCTGGTGGCAGATGTTTGGATCTGCCCCTCGAGTCAGGAGGACCTTCACCATTCCCTTATTGCCCATCTCACACGCCATGTACAGAGCCGTTTTTCCCGAGTTGTCGATGAGGTTCAGCAGGCCGGGCGTGTTGTCGAGGAGGAGCTGGGCAACGTTGACGCCGCCGGACTCGCTCTGGCACTTGTGGAGAGGGCTCTGTCCCGCGCTATCCCTGACGTCCGCTCGAGCATTGTGCTTAAGAAGTAAGCCGACGCTTTCGCGGTTTCTTGTCGAGGCGGCAAGCAGCAGCGGCGTTGGGAGACCAACGTTGCCCCCGTTCTCTAGACTGGTGACGTGTCCCATCATCAGCTTCAAGATCTCGACATTCTCGTCTTGGATCGCCTTGTGCAGAGGCGATGTGCTGGTCAAAAAATCGCAAGCGTCAAAGTGGAAACCAGTTGGTGCGTCAATATCGAATCCGTTCTTGCTACACCAAGCGTACACCAGCGACAGCTCTCCCATGGCCGACGGGCGTCGAGGACCCGGTGTTGTGTCTGAAGCGGGGGGCGAGGCTGGTCGACTGGTAAGCGGGATGACATCCGTGTCGACCCAGTTTTTCACCCCGCGAGCTTCATCATAAGCCTCGGCGAGTTGCAAGGCCTTGATGTATAGGTTGGCAGTATCCAATACCAGGTCGACCGGCATGGGGGCCTGATTCTTTCTCCCCTCAAGAGCGCGGCTTAGGAACGTCTTTGCCTGCCTCAAGTTCCCCAGCTTGATGTAAAGGCTCCCGAGGTCATGGTAGAGCCTGCTCCTACGCTCGTCATCCCGCTCGTTCTCGGGTTGCTTGACTTCCTCCTGCAGCAGCTTTTGGAGAATCACCTTTGCCTCGGCCGTCTCGTCCTCGGTCTCACAGTACAGCAGGATCTCGGCGAGGCGCTCCTTCATAGCCGCTTGTTCCGAGAACTTGAACGCGTCGTCGTATCCCGGTTTGCTGAGCTGCTCGCGGAGTTCGATGCCCCTTTTCTGGTACAGCGACGCTCGAAGAAAGATGCCGCATTTCACCAGCTGATTCACGATATCCTGGTTGGCCTCGTACTGATGCTTTAGGATTTCCTTGCTTGGACCGTCCTTGCGCTCGGGTTCCGGGTCCCAATCATCGGACTCGACATCGCTGAGGGACTCCCTTGAGCCAAGGTCCTTTGCAGTCGGCAGTTTGGGGAAGGAACCGCTGAAGGAATGCAGAGATGGGTCCCGGCCGATGTCGTGGCCAACATCGTGGAGCGTCACTGCCGCTGCGACCTCGTCTGCTGACATGCGCCAGGCTTGGATCTCCTTCGTCACCGACAGAGAATCCTCTACCCGGGTTCCATCGTCATCGTCCCATTCCATCGATGGTCGCCGATGGACGCTGGTCAACTTCGAAACGAGATTGGCAGAACGAATGGCATCGGTCAGCTTTCTGATCTCAATGTGGACTTGGTCCTGCGACTTTTGCTGGTTCCAGACGGAGCCGCTGGTTACTGTTAGCACTGATATGCTCGGAGAACTCGCGGGGACTTTTGGTTTACTTACAGAGATAGAGTTATCAGACTCAGTTGAAGAACCTGGGTATACGACGTGATGTGCGACACGAGATCTCGAATGACACTCTGCTTCAGCGTCGCGGTGAAACTGGCGCGCGCCCTCGCGATGGGGCCGGAGTTCTGGGCCAGCTCTGGCAGCGCCGACCTCAACCTCTCAAGCGCTCCGCTGCACGACTTCAAGATCCGGTAAATATCTTGGTGGTGTTCCCTTTCGAAAGGAAGCTGTGTCGGGTGTTGGTCCAGGATCCGGGCGACGTTCCGTAGTGCTGCATACAGATTTCGGATCGTCTCGTGGAAGTCGCGAATGCTAGAGTCAATCATTTTCGTCTCCTCCACGAACTTTGCGGTCCCCTCGACGATCTTGCCGGCCACGCCGACAAGCGTCATGGTGAAGGCCGAAATGCTGATGGGGTCCATCATGTCGGTGTGCCTTCAAGCCTTGTATTGGATATCGAGCTGTTGGTCGACGGGTCAGTCGTTCGGGACGCAGCCGCGCCCCAGTGTTTCGCGGGAATCAGTTGACGCTGGCCTCGAGCGTTTGTTCAGGCACATGTTATGCAGCTTGTGAGAAAGTCCAAGTCTGACGTGGGGAACACGAGACGGGCCAAACGATGATGTGTCAGAACTTGCGGTCGATAATAGCGATGAAGGAGTTTTATTCCAGACCCTCACCATCGATGCCGGACCCCCTGTCCTCCCCCGCGATCGACAGGTTATGACCCGTGTTTAGTCACCCCCCGAGACACACACACGGTACACTCTTCCTTGGGAATATGGGGGGCATGGCCACATCAGCGGCCATCACGAGCGCACAGCAGGCAACCGCTGCGGTGTGTGTAACAGTTGGTCGCCTTGGGATTTCCTCACCGAGTACAATAAAAACACCCACGCGAGCCCTGGCACTGGCCAGCTAACTGTCGGTGGCTCAGTTTCGAGTCCGAGATGCAATACTTCGAATCCGTTTGTCTGAGCTTCCTTTCTCGGGCACCATCTCATCTCCAGTCGGTGGGCATCCCCGCGGGGTATTTCATTGGAGACCTGGGTTAGCGCCGCCGTCTTTGCAGGGGGGTTGAAGTCCAGTCCAACCTCCAGTTCATCCCGTCAACCCGTCCCCGACTTTGCCAAGTGGAAAGTTGGAGTCGGGGCCGCACCCGCGTGGCGCAGCGGAGACACGGGACGATTTGAGCACTCGGTTGGGTCTTGAATGTTTGCTCATCATGACAACAGCAGGCGTGTGTGATCTGCAGCCCTGCAAGACAACGACACATGCGAGCTGGACATGGCCATTGGCTCGCGGGGGTAAGCCACCCGCAAGTGCTGCCTGTTCGTGGTGCATTAGCCGTCTGGCTGACCTTTTTCTTCTTGCATCCATCGGTGTAGGAAATAACCACGGGAAGCCTTCCATCTCGAGAAAAGAGAGGCGTTTGTTTGTGTCCGAAACGAGGCTCCGATATGAGCCATCTCGCTTGACATGGGAGGTCTCTCCCACACCACGTCCGGTCAGGAACCCAGAGCCTTGTCTCCCCCAAATCCATTCTCGGTGTGGAGAGAAGTGGACGTGCCACTTCCCAGCGCAATGGAAAGCAATGTCACGGCATGGGCAGCTGAAGTCAGACATGCAGCTCTCGCACCCGAAAGAGGGTTCTTGGAGGGTGTGACAAGGGAGATTGGAAAGGATCGGCTTCGCCACCTATGGCGGCCCAGCCAGCCCTACATAGGAATTGCCAGGACTTTTTTTAAGGCAACCAGGACTCCAACCTCTCTCCCCGCTTCTTCCTCCCTTACGGTGCTCACTACTCCGCATGAGGAGTATGCGAGTTCACCGGTACTTGTCTCGTCGTTGGCTGAGCCCGGAAGGATTCACTTGGGTGACGGCCTCATGCATGGTGCGCGCGACACATTGGAAGCGCAGTTCTTTCTGCTGCTGCACAGCCTGCCCACACACGGGGGAAGAGGAAAACGTTGGCCAAGCCAGGGTCTCATTTTCCCTTTCCTAGACGCGGAAGTGTACTTTGCGTTCCCATTGGACTTCTCCCCCGCTCCCGCGGGGCGGCGGGATGTGCTGGGGGTCTTGGATTCTAGGACCATGGTTCGTGCCATTTCGCGAAGCCTTGTGTGGCACGATGGGCGGGAGGGCCTTAAAATGATTGAACGTCCCGGGTCGCCCTTCAATTATGATCCGGGATTGGTGTTTGGCCTTCTGGGACACTTCAGCCCTACGTTCGAGGTCTTCTTTCCCACATGGTTCCTCTCTGAAGGTGATTCGCCTCACGCGAGCAGGGAAGTAGCCTGATCATCAAGATGGAATTGACATCGATGGACACGCTGGGGCACGCCGAGTCGTACTCGGGCCGCGAACGGCCGACGGCCCAGGCCCTGGCGAGGCGACGACAGATTAACGATCGTGCAGTGATTGAGAACCCGCTTGGTCAGTTAGGATGCTATCTGATGTTCGCAATTGCGTGCTGACTGTGAGGGAAAAGCCCACTACACGGATGAACAGCTTGAAGCAGACGTAAAGTCGTTCGCTGAACGGCTGACGGTCGACACGACTGCCTTGCTTCGGGCTGCTCGCGTGGCAAAGGATATCAAATTGTACGATGAAGTCGCGCGAAACACCTTCCCGGGCGCAGGCAAAGATCTGCCGGTACAGTTGACGGCGGAGGAGAAGCGTGCGCTGAGGCGGGAGCGTGATGTTCCTTTCAGCGAGAGGGGCATGTGGACTATTATCATCACCGTCTCTCTTGCGGCATTCCTCCAAGGTAAGATGACTCTTTGACAATCCCGCGATCATGAACCGGAGTGTAAGCTTATTGTATCGCAGGCCATGTTCAAGCATCTCTAAACGGCGCATCTCTATACGCCAACGAGTTCGGTTTGAACATGACACAGCCTCTGGAGTCAAACGACGAGATTGTGAGCGGAAACAGATTCGACGTCCGGCCAGATGATTGGAAGCTAGGGGCTGCCAACTCGTCACCATTCCTATTCGCCGCAGTACTCGGCTGTCCGTTGGCACTGCCCGTAAATCACTATCTGGGTCGTAAAGGTGGAATGATTGTCGCCGCTATTTTGATCTTTGCGAGCTCACTGGGTTCTGCATTTGCTCATACCTGGCAGGAGCTGTTTGCTATTCGTCTCGTCAACGGCATTGGTAAGCTCCCCGTTTGCTCCCAAGACACCTGCACTGGGGCTAATGGTTGTTCAAGGCATGGGACTGAAGGCAGTCAGTACCCCGATCCTCGCCAGTGAAACTGCCGTCGGTTTCTGGCGAGGTACGTCCATCCTCGCCTGGCAGCTGTGGGTGGCAGCAGGCAGCATGATCGGGCTCGCATTCAACCTGATATTCGATGTATCCGATAACAAGAGGCTCACGTTTCAACTCATGGTCGCCGCCCCTCTCGTACCTGCACTCGCACTCCTTCTCCTGGTCATTTTCTTCTGTGACGAGAGCCCGCGTTACCTGATGCGCGTGTCGAGTCCCCGCTACAACCCGCAACGGGCATACCAGATTCTCAGGAAGTTGAGGAATACGGAGTTGCAGGCCCTTCGGGACATCTACCTCGTCCACAAGTCAATCGAGCAAGAGGAAATGTCGAGCAAGACCGCCGAGCCGGGCATGATCCCTGGATTTATCAAGACAATGGCTGGCTTCTTGCGCCAGTACAAGCAGCTTTTCCTCGAGAGACGCCTGCGCAACGCGCTGATCAGCAGCTCAACGGTCTCGCTAGCCCAGCAGTTGTGCGGCATCAACGTATTGGCCTTCTATAGCGGAACGCTATTCAGCCGCGCCGGTCAGGACGACCGGGCTGCCATGTACTTCAGTCTCGGGTATGGGGCCGTGAACTTCGTCTTTGGGCTCCCCGCCATCCGGACGATCGACACTCTCGGACGCAGGAAATGGCTCTTGCTCACGCTGCCAATAATGGCGCTCTTCATGCTCCTCGCGGGCGTGGCGTTCAACATCAAGGATGACACTGCTCAGATCGGCGTCGTGGCTCTCTTCCTCCTCCTCTTCGCGGCGGCTTACTCGCCTGGCCTCGGCCCGATCCCGTTCACCTACGCGTCGGAAAGTTTCCCCCTCTCGCACCGCGAAGCCGGCGCTGCGTTCGCCATCGCGGTCAACCTCGGCTTTGCGGGCCTGTTGTCCATCTTCTTTCCGAGCATCAACTCAGGGCTGGACGATGACGGCGCGCTTTACCTGTTTGCGGGGCTCAATATCGTTGCGTTGGTTCTGGTTTTTCTGCTGTTAGAGGAGACCAAGCGACGAAGCCTTGAGGACTTGGACTTGGTGTTTGCGGTATCGAAGCACAAATTCATGCGCCACCAGGTCGCCGAATACCTGCCGTGGTTCATCAAGCATTACTTCCTCAGGAGGCATGACATCAAGCCGAGCTTGTACACCGATCTGATATGGGGCTCTCCTGAGCCGAGTCCTGGGGGAGGGACGTTCGGGGTTGGGCAGAGGTATAGCAGTGATACCGACAGGAGCAGTATTCATGCTTGAGATGGGAGCAGATAGTTTGACTGAATGTAAACAATTGTTCACTTTAACCGTCTGATGTCCGGAATGGCCGGTGATTATGCGGCGATTTGAGTTTATCCTCCGGACCCAGAGTTCGTCCGCATCGTCAGCAACGCCAACGCCACCGCCAACGTGCAATTGCGATTAAGCTGACGACGATGCTGTTTCACTGAGCAACGCTCCCGGGGATTAAGCGGCGCATGGTGGACATTGCCTCATCGGGTAATCCTCTGGGTAAACTCGTGGTTCATTCCACACCAGGTTTCGGTGGCGTGGTGTCTCGCCACCGACTCACCGCTCCACGTCCCTTGCGAAGTCCAAGCTCGACGGCGACGTGCTCCTAGCCCCGGGGCGAACGGCCGCTGTCCCCGCGATTTTGGCGGCGTCGACCCGGAGTTCAAGCGGGATTCGACGCTACGGGCCCCGCCATACCCGCTGAAAGCCTTGGGTGCCGACGCTAATTGGCTCCCGGGTCGGTTCTGGAACACGAAAACGAGCGAGTGTGGCCGGTGCAAGTCACGCTGGCGCTCTTCAGACAGTTGATGAGGTGTTGGAGCAGGTGTCGTGGCTGGTCGTGGTCGCTTTGTTAATTATGTTCAAAATTCGTGTTTATAAAAACTGTATTACTCTCCCGAATCCCAAGTTTTAAATGACTGAACTCTCTTATCTTGTTCCGTTACTCATCGACTAAAGGTTACTTTCATGTTCAAGAGCACTGGGTGCCAACGTCGTCAGAAGACCCTTCCCGTCCAAATTAGCGCTTGGCGATCGCTAAAGCGTTGCACTGGCGTGATAAGGCACCCTGTCGCGGTCCACTAATCCCGGCCCCCCATCAGGACGTCATCGAACCGTCCCAATTTCAATCTCGGACCTTTAGCATCCCGTCCGCCGCGGCTCTGGACTCGACCTCGCACCTATCGTCCCTCGTGCTCTCCTATCTGGACCTCTTTTTCTGCCAAGCAGCAGACCGCACAACCTCTCGACACCGCATTACCCGGGCGCTGTCAAGAGCCGATTATCACACTGCCCAACGAAACCATTTCGTAGAAAGCCCGTCGTCATGTCTTCGTTGCGATTGACCATCGAGGACGGCCAGTTCCGCGACGGCTACGGCAGACAGGTCGTCCTCCGGGGTCTCAACGTCGCCGCCGACGCCAAGCTGCCCAGCGAGCCAGACCAGCCCTCGCACGTCGGCGAAGACTTCTTCGACGGCGACAACGTCAAGTTCCACAACAGGCCCTTCCCCAAGGAGGAGGCGCACGAGCACTTCTCCAGGATAAAGCGATACGGCTACAACACCATCCGTTATGTCTTCACATGGGAGGCAATCGAGGCCGCCGGCCCCGGACGCTACGATGAGGAATGGATACAGCACACGATTGAGATTTTGAGGATAGCCAAAGAGTATGGTTTCTATGTCTTTATGGATCCCCACCAGGACGTGGTATGTCTCCTCCGCTCCCCGGCTACCCGCTCCCACCGCATACTGACGTCTTGAAGTGGTCCAGGTTCTGTGGAGGCTCCGGCGCGCCCATGTGGACGATCTACGCCTGCGGCCTCAACCCCCAAAGTTTCGCAGCGACCGAGGCTGCCATCGTACACAACACCTACCCCAAGCCAGACGAGTTCCCCAAGATGATCTGGTCGACGAACTACTGGCGCCTGGCCGCCGCCACTATCTTCACCATGTACTTTGGCGGCAGGGACTTTGCGCCCAAGTGCATTATCAACGGTATCAACATTCAAGACTTCTTGCAGGGCCATTTTGTCGCTGCTTGTGCGCACCTCGCCAAGCGTATACACGAGGCCGGCGATCTCGAGAACGAGGTGGTCGTGGGTTGGGAGAGCATGAACGAACCTGGGTGCGGCCTGGTGGGCTACGCCGACGTCAGCGTCATTCCCAGCGCACAGAAACTGAAAAAGGGCTCGTGTCCGACCATCTGGCAGACTATTTTGACGGGGTCTGGCCGTGCCTGCGAGGTGGAAACTTGGGACATGGGTGGCATGGGCCCGTACAAGGTCGGCCGCTCGTTGATCGACCCCCACGGCGAGATTGCGTGGTTGCCCGCGGACTACGACGACTCGAGGTATGGATGGAAGCGTGACGAGGGATGGAAGTTGGGAGAGTGCATCTGGGCCCAGCATGGTATCTGGGACCCCAAGACGGACACGCTACTCAAGAAGGATTACTTTGCGAAAAACCCGAACACCGGAAAGACGATCGACCACCCGGAGTTTACTAACACCTATTTCATGCACTCTTATCGTCTCTACAGAGACGCTATCCGCCCTATTCACAAGAACTGCATCATGCTAATGCAGTATCCTACACTGGAGTTGCCGCCACAGATCAAGGGCACCGAGGACGACGACCCGTTGATGGGCTTCTCGCCACATTGGTACGATGGTATTACCCTGATGACGAAGCGATGGAACAGAGTTTGGAACGTTGACGTCGTGGGCGTGCTACGCGGGAGGTACTGGCATGAGGCGCTATCGGTCAAGGTCGGAGAGACTGCTATTCGCAACTGCTTCAAGGACCAGCTAGCATCGCTGCGCCAGGAGGGAATTGACCGCATGGGCAAGCATCCTTGTGTTATGACTGAGTTCGGCATTCCTTATGATATGGGTGACAAGAAGGCATACAAGACGGGAGATTATACGGATCAATCACTAGCTTTGGACGCCAACTACTTTGGAGCCGAAGGCTCGGGCATGGAAGGCCACTGTTTGTGGGTCTACGTTGCAAAGGTACGCAGTTCACCTTTTTGGCCCTGACGGCTCAACTAACTCTCATCCCAGAACACACATCAACACGGCGATTTATGGAACGGCGAAGACCTGTCAGTATTCTCATTAGACGACAAGACGCTGCCCATGTCGCCCCTCCCCCGAAGCCCGGAACCCAGACAGTCGGCAGAAAACCCCCGTACCTCCATCAGCAGAGACGTGCCAGACGAGACAAAGGTCACTCCCGATAACCTCCAGAGGACAATCACAAACCCGTCCATCTCAACAGAGCCAACCAAGGACCCTACCATCACCAACGCGCCAGGCCTCCGCGCCGCCGAAGCCTTCGTCCGCCCCAGCCCCGTTGTGGTCTCAGGCGACGTGCTGCAGTACGGCTTCGACCTGCGCAGCTGCACCTTCAACCTCAAACTCAAGGCCGCCGCGCCACCCTCAGACCCCGCCCCGACGGTCGTCTTCCTCCCTGAGTTCCACTTCCCGCAAGACAACTGCCAAGTCGAGGTGTCGTCCGGCAAGTGGGCCATCAGCATGGACGACGACGAGGGCCCGCTCGTGCAGAAGCTGAAATGGTGGCACGGCGATGGCGAGCAGACGCTCAAGGTCAGCGGCCTGGTGAGACAGCACAATGTCGCGGAGGGGTCCGAGGAGGATATGGGCTACCTCGAGCAGTGCCAGAAGAACTACGCCAACTGCAGCGTGATGTAAACGAGATTCAAGACTGGGGGTTAGCAGGCATGTTTTAATGGGAAAGAGGGGGACTGCGGCTTTTTGTTTTTCTGTTCCATTATGACTTATCAGACGGCTCACCCACAATATCGACGTGTGCCGAGCTGGGTCCTCGAGGGGCTAAGTACTAAACAATGCCTACATCTAATCCAACTTCCGTGACCACTGAAAACAATCTGTGTGTGTATGTATCATCCATTACCAACATCTTCCGTCTCTGATCTCTCCTTTTGTTTTTGTACCTGACCAAACCAAACCCATGTGCCCAACAGTATCTTCCTCTGAAAACTCCCCGGCTATGAGACGGCAGTGGAATAGACGTGGTCTAAATGGACTGTTAGTAATCAAAAACACGACCACAATAGATCCAACATCCATACCGACCAAAACGATGTATGCGTGTGGCTCGCTAGTTTGCCTCGGCGTTCAACGTCTTCTCGCCCAGGGAGGCGGAAACTCATCCTCGGAACTCGTCTCATCGTCAGATGGTGGTAACTTGGGCAAGTTTTCCTGGCCCGCGGGCTGTGCAGATGAGGACACGGTACTCATCTGGCTTGGAGAAGCGAATCTCTGCCTAAGGGGCAGGGACGGGCTGGCGGGGGACGATCCACGTGGGGGGTGTATCTCTGAATACAAGGGGGACTGAGGAGCGCGTGAGAAGGTCGGGCGTTTCGTAATTGAAGCCAGCTGGGCCCGAGAGGAACCTGAAGAGGTCGGGCGGCTAATCGGGTCTGAAGGAGAAATATTGGCATCCACAGATAAGGGTCGATGCTGACGCCGGGTTGCTGGAGATCCTCCTGAACCTGGACGGTCCACGGAAGGTATGGGAAGTTCGACTTATTGCTCCTCAAGTCGAGAGAGATGGTCGAGGGTTTCTTGATTCATGGGTCTGCTATACACACGAGTCTGGGGGGGACGATTCTCCGTGCCGGCCGGCGTAGCACTATGGATGGTGCTGGCATGGGACAGGTCTTGGTGCGAGGAATCGATGCGAGTGATAAAGGTCTATTCCTGTGAAGTCGGGCTGAGAGCCTGAGCCTGGGCCAGCCGACGACGCTCCCGAAGCTCGCGGACTTTGGTTCGGAACCACAGAGTGTACGAGTCTGAAGTCATTGCTGACGTGGCGGCGCATTCTTCAACGCCCTCCGTGATGGCCCTCTCTCTCTCTTCTCCACGGCCGTCCCGGTTGAGGTCTTCATTCATGCGTACAAATTGAAGGATCTTGGAAGCAATCCCTGCGTTGTACACCTCGTCCTCTTTCGCCTCGATAGCGTCCAAGGTCGCGAAGGTGGAGTACTTGTCGTAGCTGTGTGGCCACAACTTCTTCTGCTTGAGCAAGGAATCCAGGACGCTTTTCGCTTCAACGTGAGGCCCGAACACGTCCTCGCTGTACAGCCACTCGTCAAACCTGTTCTCGTCGTAATTATTCGGAGGCCACCACCCTTGGAACGTGTCAAGGGCCGTAACGCTGCATCTCTCGGTGGGGTGAGGAGGGTAAGGAAGCTTCTGGAGACACTGAAGATATCCTTGGGTCTCAGCGTACTTGGTTAGAGACCAGACTTGAGTGTAGCTGTGGTCGAGAAGAACGACTCGAGACTACTCTAAGGTATTGAGGCCGTTTTGCATGGTGACGAAAAGGTTCCATGGCTCGCACTCCTGGTGCTCGACTCCCAAATGCATGCCGACGACGACGCCATGGATCATCTCCTTCACGACATATTGCCGTGTCTTTTTGTCGAATCTGACTTTCGTCACGTTGTCGTCCCGATTTCCCTGTCTCCGCTGGTTCCAAAAGTGGAACTCTCCCCTGATGGGTTCAAGCGGGCCGAAATAGTCGCTCTTACGCCCGGGGAAACGCTCACGGAAGCACATGTTCTCCACGGAATAGCCGTTGATGTACTCAATGAGGATCAGACCGACATATCTGAACATCGGCTGATTGTTTTCATCGTGCCCGCAATAGATCTTGCTGACCCAACTGCCGTAGAATTGCGGTATAATATGCGGATGCCCAGTCTTGCCGTTCCGACGATAGTGCGCATAGACGGCGTGCTCGCGGCAGTGGTTTCCGTCAGCCTCCTCTTCGTTGGGCCAGGGGGCACAAAAATCGATTGGATAGTAGTGGACGTCGAAAACCTTGGCAACCAGTTGCCCGGGAAGAACTCCTCCATGCTCGTCTCTGAAGGGTGGGAGTGGCTCCTGGAGAGCAGCGGGCCGTTCTTCCTTTGGAGGCTTTAAAACCAAGCAGCGGAAGATCTGGGAGTTGCGATTGACACCTTGACGAATGATCTCCCGAATCTCGATCTTGGCTTTGGTGTTTTTGTAGTCGCCGTTGGTGTTGAAGTTGCGGATATGGTCCTTCGGAAGATCCTTAGGCAGAGGGTTGAAATGGTACTGCCCCGAACCATGCGGGCGGTCGGGCTCGTATGGATACAGGGTCATTGATTTACCCTCCCAGTATACCTTATCAGGCCTTGACCAGGTTGAAGTAAATATGGTGGGCGATGGGGTGCGATGGTTGGTTCGGCGGGAGTGTGAGGAGATGGAGATGAGAGTGGAGGCAGGAGAGGCGATTTGTGGTTTCAAGGTCAAAGTACAGCCGAGCCTCAGAAAGCCGAGGAGCGCAATGGTATCATTAAGACTGAGAAGAGATGTTTATCAGGGTGGTCTGTTGAAAGGGACAGGAAAGACCGGCAAGACCTTGGGAAGCTGCCCATTTGATGTGGTGGTGGAAACGTTGAGACAGGCGCGAGGACATGGCCGCACACATCCAGATTCTTCGTGCAACCTGGCGTAAGGTGGGTAGGTAGATTACACATAAAGGTGCTTGCCAAACTCGGATAGTACCACGGGCTAGGTAGGTTGATCGGATTGGATAGGCAGCCATCTAATAGCCTGCCAGTCGACGAACAATGCAAAGTCAATATCTACCTAATGCGCCATGGGCACCGTTTTCCCCTCGCGTTTCGACTTGCCAAAGCCAACCACAGGCCATTCACTTCTTGCTGACTGCCGGCAGGAAGGTAGACAAGACTGCTAGCTATCTTCAACTAAGCGATTCAACAGAGACCGTCTACTTTTCCAGTGTCTAGGCGACTTCATTTCCTTCGCACTTGGTGACTTTTATGAGGACATGGAGGAGGAACGACGACGAGGATGAGGGACGATGACGAACACGAGGGACGACGACGACGACAAAGCAACAATAATATTATTAATAATAGTAACTAGTAGAAAGCACATAGGAAAAGTAATTGCTCTAGTATGGAAAAAATAGGGTATCTAATTGAATAAAGTTGATTCAAACAGGCATTATTTATGTAGAAGACACATCGCTCTGAACAAGCAATAGACGTAGGACTCTCTGGTCCATCATCTAAAGTTTTGATGAGGCCGAAAAGTGCCTTGCGTTACTGTGGGATGTGGTAACAATATCGGAACATGCTGGGGCATACCAGACACAGCAAAAAGCAAGCAGACGTGCTGTAGACATTGCAGCTCACGATGATGAACTCGATGCACTCTCCCAACATGCTCCTGCTTACGCGCACTGTGCCCCTTGACGTAGCAAACCCTGCCCTCCTCCTGTCTTTAGACCATCAAACAGATAATGGAAATACGACAGGTGGACGAGGTATCCACCTTTCAACGGCATCAGAAGCAGACTTCCCATATACATCCGTATCATGCAGTGAAGACAGAGAACCCATATCAAAGTGCCTAGAACATCACAAGAGAAGTACTTGTACGAAGACGTGGCACATCTGTTGACCTTCACGTGAGTAGCAGATCACCGGGCTAGGCAATCGTGACTGCACAAGACAACATGCAGCACGGAGCAACAGCTTAGCTTGTCATCCCTTGTTCAGGGCCACCTTTGATCCAACTAATCCCCATCGCAAGATATCAGCTCAGGAAAAGGACTTTGATAATTTGCCTCTCACACGGGCAGGATTGTGCCACCTCGCCAGGAAGGAAACTCCTTGGGATGTCGTCGCATGAACGGGAGAAGGGAACGCGGGGCAGGGACCGCAACATAGATAAGACAGAGAGGCGAGGGACAGTAGAGCGGCAACAGAGATAAGCAGATTTAGGAATGAGGGCTGAAGATGAGTGGCATCGAGGTGGTAGTATGAGTGGTACAGTCTGTTTAAGTAATCATGAAAAATTTGTTTCGTTTGTCGAGAATCAGACGTTGTCCAGACTGCCTCTTCCCCCTTCGTAAAGGTGAAATGTGATGCCACAGAGAAAATCGCCACACCATTGTCTTAGGTATGCCCCCGGTAGAACATATCAAGTACAAACGAGAGGAGGAGACAAGACAAGAGAGGGCAGAGGGGATGGGTTTAGAAAGGTGCCGTAGAGTTGGCGGCAAGGTCCTCTCGTGTTGTCGTAAAATTGTAACTTCCACTTGCATCGGCGACCGAATATCAATTGGGTCCGCCATCGTAGGAGATGCAATGCCGCAAAGAGCGTTGCGATGGGTACGATCCCATGCCATGAGGGCGTACCGGCTCGGCGCGGAACCAGCATCAGCTCTTTACCGACAGCGCACGCGGCGGAGGACGAGACGGAGGTGGTGCTGGAAAAAGAGGAAGCGGGATCTGCGTCAGACACGATCATAATAACGACGAAGACGGCGACGAGGGTAAGGTAGAATGAGCATAAATCTACATGAGAAGTTGTCGCTCACACAGGGAGAATAAGGTAGGTAGGGTAGTCTCTTTACCCCACCCTTGCCAAGGTAACATGCGGAACCCATTATGTGCAGAGAGAACAACAAACCAGATCCCATTGTAAATGCTCCAAGCCAAGTTGGATTGATTGATGGGTCGGAGGTGCAGCTGCCCAGTGGCCTTCGAGGCTACGAATGCAGGGGCCGTTTTGGTGAACAACGAGAGGAGTGAAGCACGACCAAGGCTGGAAACGATGCATAATGGGGGCTGATGACAGTTGAAGAGCAACAAATGGGCGAAAGTAAACATGACAACACTCGCGCTGAATAGCCCAACATTTGCATAATCAAGGAGTGCTGTATTGTTGTTGCTGTTGTTGTTGTTGGCCCCATTACCCACCTTTCACACCGAACACTGGCGTCAAACCCCCAATTGCCCGGCCGGCAACTGACAACCACGGTTCAATTCACCTGTCGTCGCCGTCGTCGTCGCCAGATCCGCCAGGGATGATGCCTCTCGGCGCTATGACATCCAAGAACCAGGACGGACCTGCATGGGGTGAGACCACAGCGTCGAATCACACAAGCGGGGGGATCAGGCCCAGCCCCACAAGGTGCAGTCCGTCCCGACGGCCGTGAGGCAGGCGCGGGGGCGGATGAAGGACCGCACATACAGCGGCTATCTCCAAGACACACAATGCGGGCTCTCGGTGTGCGGAACGAACTGTCGTCGTCGAGAGCCTTGGTGTGTGCAAAGAACAGCTGGGGTCCGCAGCGGTATTGAGCGGGTGGTTGGGGGCGCTAACTACCTACGGCGCTGTGCTGCATGCTGCACCCAGCGGTAAGAAGGTACCATTTTCGGCTGGACGGGTCGGAGGGTCGGAGGGGTACCTAGGTAGTGCAGTGTGAGTGTGTGGTCTGGGACGTGGACTGGGACAAACTGAAGGTGGACCCTCTTTCTCAGCTCGACGCCATCTGGGACGGACATGGCGTTCCATCTACCGTACGGACTGTGCTAGTGCAGTAACAGGGCCGCCAGAGGGGCCCGTTCGAAGGGATGCCTGTTTCATCGCAGCTTTTTTTTTTTTTTGGTAGTTGATCTCGACTCGACCTGGATGCACTTTTTTGGGGGGGTTTCCTACTGTGCTGCAAAGAGCACATTTGTGCATGCGGAAAGGGAAGGATGCGAAAGACGTCACACCAACACACCCGGCAAGTCAGGCTGCGTACTTTGTATGTACAACTCGGAGGGGATCGGCAGCGACTGACCTCCGACGGAACCCGTGGGACCCCTTGTGCAGCCGATTCGTGCCACCTTTGCCTCCCGAACTCTCGTAATCCGGGAGGAAGGGATCATGCTTGATGGCCCGGTCTGCGTCCTATCTCATTGCAGGAGCACAAGTCCCGGATTGTGGGGCACAGTGGTGACGGAACCTAATGCCATGAATAGTGTCCTGGTGACTCTATTGTGACTATGTAAGGTTGGTGGGAATCAAGTAAAACAGGCCCGAGGAAACCGCAGTAAGCAAACGAGGAAAAAAGGGTACACGACCGAATGAGAGAAGAGGGTATGTGCTGTGAAAACCGAACGAAACGAACGCCGCAATCCAATCGAGAAAAAGAGTCCAAGATAAAGGCGGCAACAAACAAATGAGAAATATTGCTCTCAATGAAACCCGTCTCGCCACAGTATTCCCAACTCCTCCGATGACCCCCCTTAGCCCAGGTAACATTGGAAAAGGAAGAAAGGAAAGGGGGGAAAAGATGCGTGCCCCTCGTCCCTTGAGACCGACGGGTAAGAAATGCGAGATGTGCTGTTACTCCCACCCAGGCTCATGTCCTTGTGTTCGTCCCCAAGCCCCGACATGGCCTTATCCGCTGCCAAAGTGCGTAAATAATTGTCGAAAGGGTGTTAGGTCGTATCCGGACGCCGTGGTATAGAAACAAAAGGGGTTTCTCGTGAGAATTCATCGGTCTAAAAACACTCTGGACGTTGTTGTTCGTGTGGTCTCGTCATGGTGGACCCCGCAGGAGCACCGTTATTGGGGGAACATGTTGTTGATCTCCTCGTCGCTCAGAACAATCTCGTGTACCGGCTCCCGTCGGTTTTCGAGGGGGACGTAGTCGCAGTCGACGTAGGAAGGCAGGAAGATTTCCGGGTTCCATGCGAAGCCTTGGCTGGAGGAGAGGTAGGAGATCTGCGGAGTCATGTTAGTCGGTGCCCACATGTCCCCAAGGGCGGAGTGGTGTTACCAGGCGGGGAGTGCCGTTGGGCTCGCCAATATTGATGACGGTGCTTTCTTGCTTCGACAACGCCGTGCCTGGTTCTCGAAGTCAGTAAAGGTTCACGGGTGTAGTCCAGCCGCCCGGAGCAGAGCAGGCCGTCATGGCCCGGGCCTCGGAGCCCAACTCGTGGTGGGATGACATACTGAGCAGGCTGGGCCGACGCTGGTGGACCGACTTCTGCTTGGAAGCGGAAGGCGGGGAAGACGTCCGCGGGGAGCTGGAGTAGGTTGAAGAGGAAGAGCTGGTTGCACCCCGGCCTTGGGAGGACTGGTGGTGGTGGTGACCGTAGGTGGCCGACGACGGGGTCATCGGGATCGCAATCGACGACGACATGGTGGTCGGGCGTTGAGGTATTGGAGGGGGAGAGTAGAGGACGCCAACGTGAGACGATAAACCCCAAGAATGATTGGAAGCGGTCTGAACGATAGAGAGACGAAAAGAAGCACACCGGACGGCTCGTTGGTGGAGGGAAACCAGCTTGTTTCGGCTGAGGAGTCGAGAAGTTGAAGAAAGCAAGGAGGATTAAAGGTACAAGACCGAAGAGAAGTGTGCCTGTGACTGCGTAGAGTGACTGATACAGTGTACAGTGCTAGGTTGACTGCTGGGACGAGGCAGGCCTAACGAGGCATCCGGTGAATCACGCCCACATCATCCCATACAGTTGACCTTGGGGTCTGATAAGAGATAGGTGCCGGCACTGGAGGGACTGCTAAGACGGGGTATGAGCTGCCGCGGGGACCTGCTAACAGTGGATAGCGGGAGAGACCCTCACATCATCATGGCAGGGATGCTGGCAGTCGCTCCCCACTGTACATGGGGGGAAGGCGGCCCCCACTCGCACCAATCGGAGGCCGTCGCTGCCTACAAGCTGGGTAACGTGCTGCAGGCACTTCGCCCTGCTCCATGCCGTCCTCTCGACCAATCACCCGCTGGTGGGACTTTGAGGTCACGTGTCAGAGACCAAGCTTCGACCAGATTCCTGACTAAGCCGGGCTGAAAGGCTGCTGGCTGCATGCGTATCCATTGACGCCTACAGGCCGAGCTAGAGCAAGCAAGCAGCACCACACCCAAGCTCTGTGAACAACAACTCTCCCATCACCAACAGCACCTCGTCATCCTCACGACCTCACTCTCGACACGGTCCGTCAAGCCACTCGAGTCTGCTCCTTCCCAAACCAACGCTCGCGAAACCCCTCCTCTCCCCGACAAAATGGGTGACGTTTTGGTGGAAAACCCGGCCAACCACTTCGTTTCTCAGAAGAAGACGGCGCCCTCAACAATCCCTAGTATTGAGAACTTCGAGGGCATCTCTTCGGAAGGAGGCGACGACTATGCCACACTCAAGAAGCTGCAGAGGCAACTGGAGTACATCCAGCTCCAGGAGGAATACATCAAGGATGAGCAAAGGTTCGAATTGCCGCTTCGTCACCACAGCTCGCCGGTTTGCTGACACGCCGCCACAGGAGTCTGAAGCGTGAGCTCGTCCGAGCTCAGGAGGAGATAAAGCGTATCCAAAGTGTGCCCCTTGTCATTGGGCAGTTTATGGAGGCTATCGACCAGAAGTAAGTTGACCCCGCGGCACAACTCAGCGCCGTCGAAGCTGCAGACAGCTAACGACCGCCAACAGCACCGGAATCGTCCAATCATCGACCGGTTCGAACTACGTCGTCCGCATCCTCTCTACCCTCGACCGCGAGAAGCTCAAGCCCTCCTCCTCCGTCGCCCTCCACCGCCACTCCAATGCCCTCGTCGATATCCTCCCTCCCGAAGCCGACTCCTCCATTGCCATGCTGGGCGCGGACGAGAAGCCTGACGTGACATATGCCGATGTTGGTGGCCTGGATATGCAGAAGCAGGAGATCCGCGAGGCAGTAGAGCTGCCTCTGACGCACTTCGACCTGTACAAGCAGATCGGTATCGACCCCCCTCGCGGTGTCCTGCTGTACGGTCCTCCCGGAACCGGAAAGACCATGTTGGTCAAGGCCGTCGCCAACTCCACAACTGCCAACTTCATCCGTGTCGTCGGTTCAGAATTCGTGCAGAAGTACCTTGGTGAGGGTCCTCGTATGGTTCGTGACGTCTTCCGCATGGCTCGCGAGAACGCCCCGGCCATTATCTTCATCGACGAGATCGACGCCATTGCGACGAAGCGTTTCGATGCGCAGACCGGTGCCGATCGTGAGGTCCAGCGTATTCTCCTCGAATTGCTCAACCAGATGGACGGTTTCGACCAGACCGCCAACGTCAAGGTCATCATGGCCACCAACCGTGCCGACACTCTCGATCCCGCCCTGCTGCGTCCCGGTCGTCTCGACAGAAAGATCGAGTTCCCCAGTCTCCGTGATCGCCGCGAGCGCCGACTCATCTTCTCCACCATTGCCAGCAAGATGTCTCTGGCCCCCGAGGTCGACCTCGACTCCTTGATCGTGCGCAACGACCCTCTGAGCGGTGCCGTTATCGCCGCCATCATGCAGGAGGCCGGTCTCCGCGCCGTGAGGAAGAACCGTTACAACATCATCCAGAGCGACTTGGAGGATGCCTACTCAAGCCAGGTCAAGGGCACGAGCGACGAGAACAAGTTTGATTTCTACAAATAAACGACGAGCTACGAACGGAAGGGCACGGACAAGTCGAAGGCGGAGGAGGGGTCGAAATACTCGCTGCAAGGTTGGCGATGTAATGGGACGGACATGGCCGGAAGGCAGCGGGCAGGGATAGACTTCCTTATTATCAACGGCTTCGGGGGAGCGAAGCCCGGCGTCGCGTTGTACAATATTCTTGATAAACAAGCTTCGTTGGTACCTGCTAGCCACACGACGGTGTTGCCGAGTGATTACATACGTGACATGCCATTCACATCCTGGTCGAGCCCTCTCAGGTAACCCGCATTTCAAGATGCAATACAATCCCATGACCAGGGTTTTCCGACCGAGAAAGTAAGTAGCACCATCAATCCTTGACGTCCAAAATTGTCGAGAATTGGGTTCACAAGCCGAGGATCAACCGTTTCTCAAAACCTGACGTCGACGTCCCGGCCGAGTCCGGAACAAGCCGAGTTCGATCCTCCGGACCGGGGCGATGATGGATGGGTAAAGGCCTGAAACTCGGTTTCTTCCGATGGTCAATTCCCTCATCAGTTGTCAATTTTTGGGGGGTGATCAAACAGGAGGGCGCTCGACGAATTTCCACCCTCCGAGTCCCGTTGCCATGTCTTTGGATCGTCTTCAATTGCATCTCCAAAATTTCAAGGGCACAATCATGTAATCTCCAAGTATTGGCCACTCTGCACGAAAACGTTTTCTCATTTTCAGGATCTGATCCCAGTGTCTAAAAAAGAAGGAAGAAAACTGCTTTTTCTTTTTCTCGCCATCATCCGGTTGTCGTTTCCGCCGTTTTCCCTGACTTTGATTTTTTCCTCTCCTTTTTGTTTTCCGTGCCGTGGCTCGAAGGCCGTGTTTGTGTGTCTTGTCTCTCTGTGTCCTTTGTCTAATAACAAATAAAGACAACGCTGCCATGAAAGAAGGGAAAAAAAACAAGCAAGAAAGGAAGCCGTGAATCATAGCGTGGATCCCTGTCGTCAATAAAAACCTGCCGCCGCCGCCCGTAATCTATCAAAAATGTTACCCTTCCCTGCCTGCTTTGACTCGTCGCAAAACGCTTCAAGACATGTAAAATAAACTCCACAGATGCTAAACCGTCGCTGATGCAAAAGTCGTGATGCAATACCGGGATGGGATGCGTCAACGCTGAGATGCCGCAATTCCTCATCGCCAAAGGTGATTTGGTTGGTTGTGTGGTTGGGTATATCCTTCGTCCCAGCGCAAAGTCTTTCTCCTCCCCCGACTCCTCCTGTCCGTTCCGAGCAGTGGGCAGAGTGATTAGGTATTATCATTACCCATTACTGCTTTTCGTATAATAGTACCCACGACCTGTTGCGTAGATGCAAAGGCCTTCTCTGGGATTTGCCTGTGTATGGACAGGTGAACGTGGTGGCATCTCTCTGCCTGGGTATCTCTTCTCGATCGTCTCTCGGGTCTCTGAGATCATGGCTCAAGCCATGTCTGGTTTCGTAACGTATATTGCTGCCACTGTAGAGGCAACTAAGAGCTCAGGATAACGCCAAGCTCCAGCATCATCTTCACGAACTTGGCGTGCAGCTCGATAAAGAAGTCCGGCATGCCAACAAGCTCTGCCAGGCCTCTCGCTTTGAGGGAAACACCGCCGGGTCCGCCGCCCATGCGTCTGGTGAAGCCGCCACCTCCGGTCAGAAAGCTGCTGCCACCGCGGTCGGGTCCCTCCCTCTCGTGGATGTTCATCATGGGATACGGGTTGTGGTGCTGAAGACCTCCGATGGGGCTGGACTCGGCTATCCTCTCGGCCTCCGCCTCAGCAAGCTTCTGGATCCATTCTGCCAGGCCTGCGAAAGCGGTTGCCATGAAGCCGAACGTCTTCATGGCGAGCCGCTCCTTATGCGTGCTGAGAGCCAGGAAGGCGTAGACCCGCTTATGGCCGCGGGCGTGCATGTCGGAAATGCGGAAGATGTATGCCGTCGTGTAGCCGTTGACTGGGTCGCCAAAGAAGATGGGCCCGCCAGACGCGGCAGCTCCGGCGCTTTGTGTGGTTACGAAGGGCGTGGAGCTCGATTGTGGCGAGGCGCTCGGCGTCGGGTTCGCGGGAGAGCGGGGGAGGGTCTCGAGGGAGAGTGTCCGCAGGCATGAGGATCGCACGATCGAGAAGGACGTTGGTATTAACGGTTCATGTGTGGATGTGTAGTCGAGGTAGTGGGTGTGACTGGCATGCCTTCCCGAAGACATGCTAGATCTTGTCGTAGTCGAACCAGTGGCTCTTCGGTGCATTCGCTCGGGGCGTCCCTCACTGTCGGTATCGCTGGCAGAGGACCCTTGCGAAGTCGGTGGCGACGCCTGGCCGTAGACCCTTGCGTACGGCGCGCGAGTGCGCAGTGTCGGGCCGCGCTCTGCTTTGAAATCATTCTTGTCCTTGCCACCTTGCCGCTGCGGTAGCGTGAGCGCGCAGTTTTCGCAAGGGCCGGCGCGCTTGGTAACGTTGTCGTCGTAGGTTCGGCGGAAACTCGAGTCTCGTCGCGGCTGCTGTTGCTCCGATATCCGGCGGGGGCTTTCGGGTGGGGTTTCGATGGCGGAGGGCGACAGAGGCGAGGCCGGGGAGGCGTTGGCGGAAGCGCGTAGCAGGGCGGCGCGCTGGGTCTGGGCCTCGATTTCCGAGGCGGGTAATGACGAGCTGCGGTGGGCATTGAGGTGCATCTTGCGCAGAGCATCTGACATGGCGACGGTCTGGTTCAGCGAGGCGGCCGACGTTGGCGCGCTTGTCTGGGGTCGGATCTGGTCCTGATCGGCGTAGTTGGCGGCGCCGTCATCGAAGCATGTGGTGCATGGAACGGGCAGGCCCTCGGTGACCATTAGCGGGGTCGGGCCATGTTGGTCACAGTAATGAGCGAGGCAGAGCTGGATGCCGGTCATTAGCGACAACGAATTCGGTTGTGGTTGATGCATCGTTTCAGCGTGTTCGCGAGGCGAAGTGAGTGTGTCCTCGAACGACGGGACACGCATCGTGAGGGATGCAACGGCCTCGTGTGATGAAAAAAGGGAGAAAGGCACTGCTAGCCAGAGAAATCTGGCGGCTCGGAAGAGAGAGGGCAAGAAGGGGAGCTCAAAGGACGAGGGCAGACATGGTGAAGATGCTCGAAACTATGAGGTTGTAGGCGCAGCTTATACAAGATTTAGTTCGGAGTAGGTACGGGGAAAGAGCACGATGCTGGGAGGGCGAGTGCGAGTCGTGGCATGCGACCGTGGGTAGAGTTATATGTGTAAGAGACAGGGTTCGACGAGAAGGCGGCAGGAGGCCATGGCGGCGCAGTCTCCCTTTCTTATGGGAAACTCTGAAGGGGGTCTGGGTGTGAAGGAGAAAAATGTGGGAGGACGAGAGGATGAGATGGGAAACACAAGAAAGTTGCGTCTGCGTAAGGCAAGAACAGAACCGCAGCCCAAGGGGGTGGGCTAATTAGGGGACGGGCATTTCGAACATGGGAGGGCATAGACAAGGACACCGGACAGGACAGGCATGGGAGTAGAGCAGAGCAGATAGGACGACTTCGATGAGGAAGTTGGGCAAGGTGAGGCCGGTTGCAACAGGCCGGGCCCCGGTCGTGGGGTGGGAGGGGGGATGACTTCCTGATTGCCGGTGTCTCGTGTCTGGCTCTTGTCTGAGTGTCTGGGAGGACGGGGAAGACGGAGAGGATGGGGATGTGCACTGATATGCGGGAAGCGGTGAGGCGGTGAGCGAGCGGCTCTCGTCGTGTCTGCCAATTACACGACGGACGGGAGGCTTTGGTGACGGCCGGGGACAGCAGTGCTGCAATCGAGATTGGCTGCACGAGGCAAAGTAACTTGGAAGCTTGCAACTTTGCAGCCCGAGATGAGATGCAACGGCAGCGTGACGGCAGCAGGGCCAAGCAGAAGCAGGCCAGGCGCAATGCGGTGCGGTGCGGGTGCGGGTGCAGTGACAGCAGAGACAGCGACAGTGACAGACAAGACAAGACAAGTCAAGACAGACGGTTGAGGGAGGAATAAGCAAAGGTAGGTAGGTAGGTAAACGGAAAACAAAAATAATACTCACAATGAATGCCATGACGTATCACCCTCCCCAGCCGAATCCGGATGTCGCTGGTGTTTGTTTCGCCAATGACGAGAAGAGCGCAATCAAGCCAGACACCTGAAGGGGAGGGAAGAGAAAAGAAAGACCGGCTGTCTGTCTGTTTCTGGTGGTAGACAGCTAGCTGCAAGGGTGTGTTTGCGCCTGCAAGTTGTTTTTCTGCGACTCGGATTTGCGGGACGACAGCCCAAAGACGACGGAGGCGAGGTCGAAAAGGCGAAGGTCAGGTCGGAGGGGGAGGAAACAAAATAGAAAAAGACATTAAAGTGGTGTTGGGCGAGGTGTATGGATGCGATGGCAATAATAAGAGCTCTCCTCCTTTCTCTCTCCGAGTGTGTGTGTGTGTGTGCGGTTTTTGGTGTGCGGGTGCGCGTGTGAGTGACGGCGAGAGTAGTAATTTGCGAGCGAGAAGGATAAAAGAGTAAGAGAGTATCGGCAAGTTCGAGTAAGTGGGCGTGGATGAATAAGTGGGTGTGGTGCGGATGCAGTGCAGTGCAGCAGCAGCAGCAACCAAGTCAAGTGCGATGCGAGGCCGCGGACAACAAACAAGGGCGAGAACGAGGATGAGGACGATGATGGGTAGGGTAGGCAAGGCAAGGTAGGCAAGGTAATGGGTGAGTGATGATGAGTGACGGCAGACGAGCGAGTTGGCTGCCGCGAACGCTAAGAAACCGCAGGCCGCACTAAGCAGTAACGATGGGCGGGGATCCCGGAAGGTGCAGGTTCGTGTCGTATGAGGAGCGTGGGAAGTCCCGGCCGCATGCGACGAGGCGATTCGATTCGATGCTGATGGACCGGCCGGCTTGGGATGGGATGGCTGGTCTGGTTGGTTGGCGGGTGAAGCTCGTAACTCGATGTGGTAAGAAGCAGCAACACTCACTTACTTTCTGCGCCGGTGAAAAGAGTAGCACCAACGGCGGGAGGATCGAGTCGTCCAGTCTTCCTGTTGGTGTGTCTTGTCTTGTCTTGGGGAAGCAGGCCGACTCTCTCGGTTGCTTCTAGCACCGCAGGTTGACAGCGACAATGACACGGCCGCTAGTAATGACTCGACGCTGAGTGGCCGACTTGCAGAAAGTGAGGAGGCCACGAGAACCTCAACGGGCTGTCAGGAAAAGGAACAGAGGGGTATTAGCGGTACGTGGTCGAAGGTTTTACCAAGGCAAGTGTAAGCTCGGCGGGGTTGGTCGGGGAAATACGCCCATAACACCTTTTTTATTTTTTATTTTCTCGGCCTGCTTTTCCCCTCTCTCAAATCTGGCCAGTACGTAGCCAGGAATCATCGTCGCCTCTCGAAAGCCAGGTCCGCCTTGAGTTGGAGTTTGAAAACACTGGGACTTGGAGACAAAGAACACCCCCAGGGTTCAACGGGATTGGGCGCGCAACTGGGGTCGCTGAGACCTGGGACGGGGATATGGAGTCCAAAGTCTGGGACTCGGGAATGGGAACAAGAGGGCAACAAATGGGAAAACACCGAGAATGAGTGATTACTGGCTGGATGGGGGCCGGGCTGTTGACTCGCTCTAGAACCGGCGACCCACCCCTGGCCGAATGAAGAAGACTGAAGGAAAGGACCACGTCCATGTCCCGTCCACGTCTGCAACCCACGACATTTCGTGGAGCTCACGATTTTCCTCCCAAAAGCCCCCTCTCTCGTGTCTTTTTTCGGCTTCGTCGTCGCGTGCCTGTGGGGGCCGCTTTCGAGCCGACGCCAGTCAAGTGCAGCGGTTTGATGGAGACGACGATATTTTGTATGTAATCGTAAACAACTTCCTCTGTAGCGGCGCCACGGCACTAGCATAGAAAAAAGAGGCTCGCAGCGCAACGGAGCGGAGCAGAGCGCCGATGCGAGTGGTCACTTCGTATGCCAATGGAGCATTCGGGCCCAAGAGTCAAACGGCACAATATTGGAGGCTTGCAGACGGACACAAAAGCTACTTCCTGCATAGGACCGCAATCAAAAAGCTTCTCAATTGCAAATACCATGGCAATAACAATAATAAGCTGGCAGGACAAGGTTTCCAGGTCAGCAATGGACAGAAACACTACCGGTGTTAGATGGGACGGATCATGGAGCCGCGGTGGAGGGTTCGGAGGGCCGGTGGGTTCTGGGAGTGGGAGTGGGAGGGGGAGCGGTTCGAGGGGCCAAGTGGCGGAATCAATCTGCATTGGTGAATCGAACGTTGTTCGAGATTGAGTTGGAGGTGTCGGTAATCATTTCAATAAAATAAAAATGGTCCCGGCCGTCACTCCCCTCCGTAAAAGATGCCGCCGCCGTTGTTCTCCGTGGTACTCCGCTGGCGCTGCAGTCACTCGCTCCCAGAGTCCAGTTGATGCAGGACCATGGAGGTGAAAAGAAAAGGGCCAGGATGCGGCATCTCGAGTTCCAAGCTGCTCCGAATAACGGCCCATGGTTGCGGTGCAGCTTTCTTTTTTTCCTCTTCTGTCTGTTGCCCGACTGACATGAGAACAAGGGTTTCCTCCTGCTCCTTCTCCCCTCCGACGCAACCGTCCCCCTGATCGGAAGAGCCAGTGACGAGAAAAAAAAGAGAAGTGGCCCCCTCTCCCCCTGTCGGAGGCAGGTGCAAGCAGAGACCCAGTTGGACGGCAAGTGCAGACACAGACAGGCCCCCGTTGGACAGTCAGGGGTGTGACAAGGAGAAATCGAAGGAAGGAACGGGGGCGTGGGTTGGCTGGGCCGTCCACACCTTCCAGAAGACTTCGAATTCCTCTAGTGGGGGCCAAGAACAGCAGTGTGGTGCCAGGAACAGAGGGGACCGGACAGCACGGTCCAGAGCGCGCACAGGGCAGGCAGGCACGGCAGGGCAGAAAACACCACGAATCCCAACACCAATACCGAAGGTGCAGCTCGAGGTCGAGGTCGGGTGCAGGTACGGATACTTGGGAGTCCCACCCAAAGTCGGTATGCCCCTTCCGCTGTTCTCGACCGAGACGACGGGAACGGGTACTTTCCCACCACTTCTAGCGCAGGGAATACCTTCTAGCTGCCCGAGCCAAGGTGCCTTGGGAAGGGCTTGGCAAAACGTGAGCGGCATGTGAGGTATCGCTAATCGGCCCAGCAGGAAAGGGGCCCAAAAGGAAATGGATGGATCTCTTTTACCCGTACATTTGGCGGTGTCGAGTTGTCTACGTGGCCCGGGTTTCTTTCTATTCGTTCTGTATGTGCCGTTGGTCAGTAATGCTGCTGCTATTCCAGGTTCAGATTTGGTTCCAGATTTCGGCTGTTTTGCTCGGTGTTTCTTTCATCCTCCTGCCTTGCTGCCTCAAATGGATGGAAGCCAGGTTGTTGTTCGTTTTCCCGGACGCTGGAGCTATTTGCGGCGACCGAGGCGACCGAGGCAGAGGCAGTCGCAGGTGCAGCTAAGGTAGAGACCAGCAACAGTTGCATACGTAGACCCAACTCGACTCGCCTCGCATCGCCTCGACTTGGTCGCTCTATTTCGTGGACGGGACTGAATCAAGGCCCAGACCTGAACATCGTGAATAGCACGTGCATTGCACTCCGTATGTGTGGCCAGAACGCTGCGAGTTCCCCTGATTGCATCTTAGCGCTGGCCTCGTGATGCCAGGTCTCATCTCAACACGCACCGCTCCTTCCCTCTCGAGTTCGTGCGTCGTCTGGGGTTGAATTTTGCGCGAGTGTCACTTGGGGAAGGAGGGGATGAGGTAATGCGGGGCTCTGCTCTTGCAGCCCACGCCTCAATGTTCCACGTCCCTTCCTCCCTTTAAT